ACCCTAACCCTAACCCTAACCCTAAGTCCGCCCCACGCCGTGTGCAAGCCGAGCGAACGAGGAATACGCACCGGGACTTCGAGGGCGGGAAACGGCGTTAGGCGGCGGCGCGGCGGGCGGTCGAGGCGTGAGTGCGTTTGAGTGAGCTGATAGCAAGAAACGGCGGCCGTAGCAAGCCCCCAGAGCGGAGCGAGGGTCGTCGAGGAGGACAAGGAGCGACTCGCGAGGAGGGTTGGACTTGACACCCTCACCGCTCTCGCTCGGACGGTTGCTTGAAGATGCTGTGCTCCTCCTTAGATTGCTCTCGCTGCGCCCCTGTCCTCTACCAGCCCGCCGCCGCCGTCACTCGCCTGTTTCTCCCACCTCTCGCTGAACCCGACAGAGCAAACAGCGGCAACTCGGCGCGGGCAGACTTTCAGGCTACATGGTGCTGCCACGTGATCTGTCAACCGGAGTGGAACGCGCTCGCGAAGCAACTGCCGCTGTGTTTGGCTTGCTCACTCGACTTCTGCGACGAGGTGCGCGTGGTTTCTCTCTCTCCCCCGTTCGAACGGTGCTGACGATCAAACATTGGAACAGAATGCTACAATTCAGCTGCTGTCACGCTGGGCTCGGACGCAGTCGCGAGGAGCGCGGGATGTAGGACTCTCGAGCACAAAGACGACTTGCTTGTATCTCGCGAGGCGGGAAGGATACGGTTAACGGTTAGCTTTGTCGGCAAGGAGAAGAGTATGAGGGGCAACCGCACGAGAAGCGCGCAAACGGGATGCTCACGGTGCGCCTCCGCACTCTCCTTCCGCTTCTCGCTTACTCGCTGACTCTTCTCGAGTATCTGATCTCGCCGTTCGCTTTGCAGCTTACAGCGACCCGATACAGGCTCTCTCGACTCCGCAACCCCGCTACATCGAGCTCCCTGCCCTCCCTCCGACGTCGCCCTCATTCTCCACCCCGATGATCCCCTCTCCGCCTCTGACTCCTTCAGCTCGTCTCCAAGCCGGCTCTCCGGGCATTGGCGGCGCGCGGAAGACCTTAAGAGCCAGAGAGACCCTCGACATCGCTGTCAATCCGACAGGAACGAAGGAACGGGCGTCTGGAGGCAGGCGAGTTGATTCGCCTCGTTCCGCTGCTTTTCACGCCTAGCTGACCTTCTCCGCACTCCTAGTAGTAGCTGCAGTCCCTTGACAGCAGTATGCGTCGCCTAAACCGTTCCCTGGTGCGTTCTCCTCCTTGTAACTCCGATTCTCGGTCTGCACCGCTGACTTTCGCATCGCAGGTCGATCGTCTCCACTCCTGAAGACGCTTCACGCCGCCGGCTCACTCACGACGACTCTCGATCACTCGCTCCTCCCCATTCCTCCCGAGCCAGCCTCTGCCCGTCTGACCTCGCCTCTCCATCTGCACGACGAGAAGGAACCGCAATCTCACCCCGCAACTCCGCTCGTCTCTCGCGCCGTTGAGTGTGCCGTCAGACAAGCAGGGCTAGGCAAAGCGGAAGGTGGACTGAGCGACGAGGAGGATGTTGAGCGGCGGCACTTCGCTGACTTGCCATGCTCCCCTCCCTCGCACGCGTAGCTTCGCAGAGTAATTGATGAGATATGATTGCAACACAAAAGTGCACAAACAACAGCGCACAACGTGAGACGGGAGAGAGGCAAAAGCTACGAGCGACGGGAAACTGAACTAGCGGATTGGCTTCGAAAGGTCCAAGTCGTGAATGTAGGACGTGTCGCGGAGGTACTGCTGCAGGTGATCGGACTTGGGAGAGACGGGCCTGGACTTGGGCAGGGCGGGAGGGGCGCGGGGAAGGGAGGACTACAAAGAACCGGCCGAGTCGTCGTGCGTGTGCGGCAAAAGAGTCGTGTCGTGCTGCCGCAAGGTGACCGCGCCGAGGTTCATGACCTCAGTCTCGACGCCGCTCATGGGCTGGACCGGCGAGTCGCGCGCTTGGCCCGGAGCACGCCGACGACCCGGACGACGCGGTGGGCGCGCGGTGCGTGTGTCGATGGCGTTTTCGGGAAGCGAGACGTGCGAAGCGAGATCGGCGTAGGTGAAGGAGCCGAGGTCGTGGATGTTGTTGGCCCAGAACGTGCCGGGATAGTCTGACAGGACGCGTTGGCGGAACTGGTCGAGGAGGCGGCGGATGTCTGCCTCTGTCGAGTCGTCGTCGAGCATCCAGTAGAAGACGAGGAGCTGGATGATGCCTTGGAGGCGCTGCAGGCGGAACTGATCAGCGATGTCGAGCAGCGCGAGCGGGCCGAGGCACGAAAACGCACGCGCGTCTCGTCGTAGACGTCGTACGACGCAGGCGACCCGATCTCGACCGTGTCCTTGACCGCGTAGATCAGGCAATTCATCGAGACGGGGACGCGAAGTGGCGGGAAGACCGCGTACTCCGAGTCCGGGACGTCCGCCGTCTCTGCACGGGACGCGATCGTTGCGCGACGAGCCGAGTCGAGGTTGATCCCCTCGACTTTGAACGATTCAGCCTTGCGCATCGTGCGGACGATGATAGGATCTTCCAGCTCGATCGTCCCGAAGAGGCGGAACACGGCGCCAGTCTTCTCGAGCTCGTCGTAGAACTCGTCAAAGCGGGGTCGAATAGGAGGAGTTGCCGCGCTCGAGTCGTCGGGCGATCCTCGTTTCTGCGGAACGAGGGGAGCGGGCGACAGGCGCCGTTCCTGATACTTGATCTCGGACACGAGGCGAACGAGGACGAGGTCGGCGTTCGGGACCAGGCGCAAGTGGCGGTTGTCGAGCGCAGTACGGAAACGGCGTTCAACTGCAGGTGTGAGAAGGCGGTCAGGGGGGGGTAGGTAGCGCGTGGCTCGCGCGGATGACTGACGCACGCAGGATGCGGTTCGAGTCGCAGTTGATGTCGGCACAGTCGGGAACCACGCCGGCGGCAATGAACCAGTCGACCTGAGAGAAATGAGAACGGTCAGGTCGTGGCTCGCATGTCGAGAAGAGGGAGTGCGCGCACCGTCGCCTGCCCTGCAAAGTCGTCCACACTCCGCGCCACCCCCTTCTTCCCCATGGCCGTTCGTGTGTACCTGCGGGCGTCGACCAGATGCACCGACTCGAGCTCGACGTCGTAGCAGCCCGTCACGGCGCTACGCTTCTGCACCCTGATGCCCTTGTCCGTCAAGTCGATGCCCGCGTACGTGAGGTGCGAGCTCGCCTCCCACAAAGCCTCGCTGTCGAGAGAGTTTTCCGCCTCAACCCAAGCTGCCTGCGCTCTGCTGTACGCCCACGGGTCGCTGTACCAATTCGTCCCAAAGTCAAGCTGCATCGAGAGCGCGACAGCCTCAACGCTCCAGCTCAGCTCGCTCTGTGCGACGCCGTCCGAGCTGTCTTCGGAGCTATATGCCATCCCGGTGAGCGTCGAGTCGCCTCAGCCGTCGGATCCAAGACGACGAAGCAGTTGATGACGGGAGCAGGGAGGAGGTTCGACGGCGTGGGAGCGGTTCAAACATGTGCGAGCAGGTCGACAAGCAGCGTAGAATCGCGTGCAGCAGCGTCTCGCGGCGCACGAGCTGTGTGCGCCGTCGACGACGAGGCCAAGGGGAGAGCAACCACTCTCGACCGTCGACTCCACCGCTGTCAAGCTCTCCTGAGCGCCAGGATGCCATCGAGGATCAAGTTTGGCTCACCTGAGCCCGCCGAGACGCCCGCCGCACCGCCCAAGCCCGCGTTTCCCGCTCCTGCAGCCGCTTCACCGCACAAGCTCGACTCGCTCAAGCGGCCACCGCCCAACGGCACGGCAGGGTCGCCCGCGCCGCCAAAGAAGCGCAAACTCGTCGTATTCGACGAGGAAGCCGAGCAGGAGGCAAAGGAGCGTGCGAACGGCGCGGGAGAGGCGAGTCCGCAGGTGAACGGGAACGGCGGCGTCAAGCGCAGGGCGGCGTGGGGACCAGAGCAGAAGCGCAAGGCGAAGGAGGAGGCGCAGCGACTCAGGCCAGAGCGGGAGAAGCTGCCAGTCTTCCAGGGTGCGTTCGTTCACCTCCTCGAACTCTCAAGCGAGTACTAACCAGATTCTCGCATCCGCAGGCAAGGATGCCATCCTGAAGGGGATTGCGGACAACGACACGGTAATCGTGCTTGCCGAGACGGGTTCCGGAAAGACGACTCGTGAGTACAGCTCGCGCAACTCGGATCCGCCCACTCTCAACTGATCCGTCCGCTCGCTCCGCCCTCAGAAATCCCGCAATACATCCTGCGCTCCGAGATCCCCTGCGCCGGCCCGCGCATCGTCTGCACCCAGCCTCGCCGAGTCGCCGCCATCTCGCTCGCCCAGCGCGTCTCCGCCGAATGCGGCACCCAAACCGGCGGACTCGTCGGCTACACCGTCCGCTTCGACAACAAAACGAGCCGCACCACGCGCTTGACGTACGCGACGGACGGCGCGCTGTTGGCGGAGATGCTGGGCGACCGCGACCTCGAGGCGTACGATGTCGTGGTTCTCGACGAGGCGCACGAGCGCAGCTTGCGAACCGACATGTTGATGGGCTTCCTGAAGGACATCCAGAAGCGGCGGAAGGAGAAGGTGCGCGCGTGGAAGGCGGAGCAGGCAAAGTCGAAGGGAAAGGCAAAGGCGAACGGGGTCGTCGCGAACGGCGAGGCGGACGGGAAGAAGAGCGCCGAGGAGAGGGATCCGACGGAGCTCAAGATTGTCGTCATGTCGGCGACGATCGACGCGAAGCGCTTCAGCGACTTCTTCGACCGGTGCGTTCGCCGTGTTCCCGCCCGTCTCGCTCTTCCAGCTGACCCGTTCTCTCGCGCACAGAGCTCCCGTCCTCTACGTCGCCGGACGACAGCACAAGGTCAAGATCCACTACGCCGAAGAACCGCAACCCGACTTTCTCGACGCGGCGCTCAAGACCGTCTACCAGATCCACATGCGCTATCCGCCAGGCAGCATCCTCGTCTTCCTCCCAGGTGCGTCGCGCACAATCTCTCGGTCTCTTGCGCTTGCGTCTGACGCTCCCTGCATTCCGCTCGCAGGTCAGGAAGAGATTGAGGGACTGGCGGCGTCGATCAAGTCTTTTCTGCCGAGCTTGCAGAAAGAATACCCGGACGCCGAGGAGGTACGCGGCGAAGTGCTGCTTTACTCGCGTTGATGATGCTGACTCCTTGCCCGCCTCTCGTCTCGCTTTCGCCAACTTACGCTCCGCTCGCCTCGCCTCTCCGTCTTGCGACCCGACATCCGCCCTCGTTCACTTCGCTCTTCTCGCCCTCCAGCTCCTCGTCACGCCTCTCTACGCCAAGCTCCACGCCGCCGAACAGGCGAAAGCTTTCCTCCCATCCCCACCTCGCACTCGCAAGGTCATTCTCGCGACCAACATCGCCGAGACGTCCGTCACGATTCCGGGCGTCAAGTACGTCATCGACTGCGGACTCGCGAAAGAGAAGCGGTATCACGCGGGAACCGGTGCGTTGCGATCTCGCTTGCAGCACGAGGACGGGATGGGGATCTGTCGAAGGCTGACCTCGCTACCCTCGCACAGGCATCGACTCGCTCGTCACAGAGAGCATTTCGCAGTCCTCGGCGAAGCAGCGCGCTGGTCGTGCTGGTCGTGAAGTGCGCAGCAGTCTTCGCTTCGTCTCGTCGTCGACGCCCCAACTTACACTCTCTCGCGCAGACCGACGGCTTCTGCTTCCGCCTCTACACCGAGGCGACCTACAACGGGCTCGAGAAGCGCTCCCAGCCCGAGATCCAGCGCGTCTCGCTCACTTTCGCCATCCTGCACCTCCTCGCTTCCGGCCAAGACGACGTGTTCAAGTTCAGCTTCATGGACCCGCCCGACGTCGAGTCGAGTGCGTGATTCTCTTCTGCTCTCGGCCACTCCCTCACTGACCTGTTCGTCGTGCGGGCAGTCAAGTTCGCCCTCCTCACGCTCATCGGCCTGAACGCGCTCGACAAGCGCGGCAAGATCACGCCGCTCGGCCGCCAGATGGCGCAACTTCCTCTCGACCCTGTCTACGCCCGTGTCCTCGTCGCCTCCTTCGTCGAGGGCTGCCCTCGCGAAATCATTGACCTCGTCTCGCTGCTCGGCTCGAAGGACCAGCTCCTCATCAACACCAGCTCGACCCGCGACGCCGCCAACGCAGCTCGACAGAAATTCGTCCACCGCACTGGCGACCACATGATGCTGCTCAACATCTTGCGGGCATACGAAGAGCTCGACGGCAAGGACGAGCGGAAGCAGTGGTGCAAGGACAACTTCATCAGCTTCAAAGCGATGTCGTCGGTCCTGGACGCGCGGAAACAGCTGCTCGAGCGTGCACAGCGGTTGAAGCTGGGCGATCCGGATGCGAGCGCGGGGGACGAGGCGGAGCCGGTCTTGAACGCCCTCATCGGCGGTCTCTTCGCTAACACGGCACTCAGGCAGGAGGACGGGTCGTATCGGCATACGATGACGAAACAGGTGCGTGCAGTGTGCCGATAACTTTGCTCTGTCTTCCTGACCCGCTTCTCCCTCCGCAGCTCGTCGCGATTCACCCGTCCTCGACGCTGCATGGCAAGAAGGCGCCCGCCATCATCTACGACGAGCTCGTCTTGACAACCAAAACGTACGCGCGCGGTGTCTCGTCCATCGAGCCGTCGCAGATCCGGAGCAAGGTTCGTCGCTTCCTCCGCTTTCTGCTTTTCGAACTCCAGTTGATCCGAGTCCTCGCAGGCTCCCTCACTCTTCGGCTCGTCTCTCAAGTAGCTTTTGCATGTGCAACTCGAAACCTCGCGAGTACCGCTCCGCGCAACCGAAAAGAAGAGATTGCGTTGGAACGAAAGAATGCATTGACTTCCACGAAGTACGAGACAACAACAGGACATGCGAGCTGAGAAGCAACCGTTCTCCGTCTCTACCGCTTGACGATCGGCATCGCCTTGATAGCACCGCTCCCTCCTCCGCTCCTCCCGCCCGCTACGCCGCCCGCCCTCTTCGCGCCGCCGCCGGCCGCCCCGCCGCTGTACGCGAACGCCGAGAGATTGAGCGGCTGTGCGGGCTTGCGGATCCCGCGAGACGTCGAGGCGGATGGTTCCGCCGAAGTCGAGGCAGTCGAGCGACTGCGCAGCAAGAACGGTCAGTCGCGGTGGGTGAGACGAGCGAAGAGGAAATTGGACGCACGAGTCACTTGTCTTGCCAGCGCCGGCGCCAGCAGGACCGCGCGAGGTTGAACTGGAAGCGTTCGACGCGACCTTCTTCGGCGGAGCCATCGCCGCCTTGTCCGTCTCCCTCGATTTGGAGCGAGCCTTGCGGACCGCTTCGATGCAGAGGACTTTGGCGTGCGAATGGCTGAACCAATCCATCTGCTCGTCCGTGAGCTCCTCGATGCTGCAAAGGCGACCGTCAGCGGGAAAGCACAAGACGGGAGGGGTACCGACTCACGCAGCGAGCTCGCGGTAGCTCGTCGGCTTCATGGCGGCGATGACCTGGCAAGGAGAGAGTTGCAAGCTGGGAAATGAAGAGGCGAACAGCGTGCAGCGCACCTGGAGGAGTTCTTCCGAGATGATGCCTTCGGCGTCGCAGTCCTCGTCGGTCGCCGTCTGCTCGCCATTCTAGGTTAGCGGAAGGCTTGCAGATCGAGAGAATGACACAATCGCACCTGATTGCGAACGTCGAGAAGCTGGCGGAAGAGGACCTGCGTCTCGTCTTCCTGCCCAACCTTCGCAGCGCCGTTGAGCGAACCCGAGGTCGATGAGCGGACGACGCGGCGTCCGAGGTGGTCCCTGCGTCGACTAATCATGTCAGCGACGTCTTGCAACGAGGTAAGCAGGCGACGACGTACCACTCCTCCTCGATCTCGTCGTACACGCCCGTCGTCTCGTCGTACAGCTCGTCGACGTACTCGCCGCCGTACTGCTCGTGGTCGTACGACTCGTCGATCGTCTTCTGCTTCGCGGGCGCCTTGCCCTTCTTGCCGCCACCGCCAGACTTGCCGCCCTTTGTGAAGCCCATCTGGAGCGAGAGCTTGCCGGAGAGTAACTGCTGAGCGCGCGGACCGAGCGTGACGTAGGCGTTGGTGAAGCCCAGACCGTTGCGCTCGTAGCGCTCGCCGAGGACCTGTTCGGCGGCGAGAAGCTGGAAGAGACGCTCGCAGTCGCCGCGGTCGATGCTCGAGCCTTTGCCGGCGTGTGCGAGCTTGTCGTGACCAGCGCCGGCGATCTGCGCGGGAGCTTCAGTCAGCGAGCGGGACGAGCGAGAGAAACAGCCGACTCCGGCGCACCTTCTGGGTCTTGCTGCCGCGGAAGACGTCGATGGCGTAGAGCATCGTGACGCCTTTGTCCTTCTGGATCGCCTTGACGAGCTGCGTGGCATCCTTGGCGAGGTCGGTGATGTCGCGGTGCTCGACGTTCTTCGGCGCGAGACAGTTGTCGCACGTCTTGTGGCATTGCTCGCGCGGGAACTGCTCGCCGAAGTAGTGGAGGACTTGCGAACGACGGCAGTCGGTCTCGTTCATGCAGTACTGCACGACGCGGCGGAGGTTGGCGCGGTTGTGGTCCTTCTGCTCGGGCGTGCCATCGCCTTCGTCGATGAGCCGCATGATGAGCTTGGTGTCGGCGTAGGCGTAGTAGAGCACGCAGACCGACGTCTGCCCGTCGCGACCAGCACGACCCGTTTCCTGCGAGCGGCGAGTGTCAGCTGAATAGTCCCGCTCGACGAGGCGAACTGCGAACGCACTTGATAGTACGCCTCGAGACTTTGCGAGAGCGTGTAGTGGCAGACGAAGCGGACGTCGGGCTTGTCGATGCCCATGCCGAAGCTGCGAGGGACGAGAGGCAGTCAGTTCGAGTGCGCTGAATGAGCGAAGAGTGTGCGACTCACGCGATGGTCGCGCAGATCACGTGGATCTCGCCCGACAGCCACTGCACCTGGACGCGCAAGCGATCGTCCTTGTCCATCCCGGCGTGGTAGTGCATGCACTTGATCCGGTGCTCGCGGCGAAGTCGCTCGGCCGTGTCCTCGCACTGCTTCTTCGACGAGCAGTAGATGATGCCGGACTCGCCGGCATGCTCGCCCTTGATGAAGTCGGCAATGTCGGAGAGGACGGAGCGAGTCTTCTTGCGGACGAAGTACTTGAGGTTGGCGCGGTTGAAGGACGAGGTGAGCATGAGAGGGCGGTCCATCCGAAGGTTGGTCATCACGTCCTGCTTGACGCGGTCGTTCGCCGTGGCGGTGAGGGCGATGAGGGGGATGCCCGGGTAGTCGCGCTTGAGGGTGCCCATCTCCTTATAGTCGGGGCCTGCGAGGAGGAGTCAGCGCGCAAGTCTCGCAGAAACGAAGAATGCAACGCACGGAAGTCGTGTCCCCACGAGCTGACGCAGTGCGCCTCGTCGATGACGAAGCGGGCGAGCTGCTTGCGGTTGTACAGGTCGGCGAGAAGGTTCTGGAAAGCCTTTGACTTGACGATCTGCGTGAAGTGGGCGAGCGAGCGAGTCAGCGGGAGCGCTTGACGAAGTCAGCGGAGAGCGCACCTGCTCGGGCGTTACGTAGGCGAGGCAGGCCATGGGCGGATCGTTCTTGAGGCAGCTCATCACGAACTTCTTGTCTGCAGCGGGCATCGTCGAGTTGAGGAAGACTACGGGGATGTCCTTGTCGTACAGCGCACGTGTCTGATCGGAGATGAGCGAGAGGAGAGGGGAGACGACGATTGTGACGCCCGAGGTGACGCCGGTCGAGACGACGGCCGGGAGCTGGAAGCAGAGCGACTTGCCACCGCCGGTCGGGAGGAGGACAAAGACGTCTCGTCCGGCGAGCGTCGCGTTGATCGCCTCCTCCTGGTTCGTGCGGAAAGACTTGAGGCCGAAGCGTTGCCGCAGCGCCTTGAAGACGTCCTTTGTCCAGGGGTGAAGCGCCTTGGGCTTGGCAGCGGGCGCAGCTTTGGCGACGGTCTTGCTCGTCGAGGCGACGGCGGCGCGCGGCTCCTCGATGATGAGGTCGCTCGCGGTCGAGACAGCCGAGACGGTGCGGTTCTGGGCGGCGGGAGGAGGAAGTCGAGCGGGCTGCTGGCGCTGCTGAGGCGGCTCGTATCGCGGTGGCGGACTGTCGAGTCGCACGACCGGCGCACCTAGGCCGAGACCAGAAGGGGGCTTCTTCGCCCTTGAGGCGGGCGGACGAGGAGCGGGAGACTCGACGATCTCGAGGCTCTCCTCCTGCGTGTCGAGGTCGCCGTCAAAGTCAACGCCGTCGAGGAGAGCCGAAACGTCGTCGTTCGCGTTGGGGTGGAAGCCGGTCGACGTGGAACCGTTACGCTTGTTGGCCGAGCCTGCGAAGGTCGAGCCACCGCCCTCGAACGACTGATCCGCCGCAGCACCTCCCGCCGGCCTGAAGCGCGCCGTCGCTGGCGTCGCGACTTTCGAACCGACCGCCTCCATCCGCTCGTGCCCGTCGCCCTGCGCTTCCTCGCGACCTTTCCTCGCTGCCATCGCAGCCAACGTCGCGCTATTCTGACTCTCGGTCCCGCTCGTCGTCGAGCTGGCCTTTTGCGGCGCCGGTCCCACTCCCAGGCCGCGGTTCGAGAGTCCCGAAGCGAGTGTTGGCGAGGGGTGATAGCCCACAGCAGGTGAGAAGCCATTCGCATGAGCGGGACTGAACGGTCGAGCGAGGGGGTGTTGATGCGTCGGAGAGGGGGCGATGCCTGAGGGAAGGAGTGAAGACATGCGATGGTTCGGAAGGGGAGGGCGGATGGCGGAGCCGGGGCGAGGGGAAGCAGAAGCGAAGGCGAAGGGGTTGGCTTTGAGCTTGGCGATGCGAGTGTCGAGCCACGAGCTGCGCGAGACCAGTGGTCAATACGTCGAGTTCGTTGAGGACGCAGAGCGAACGCACAGGTTGTGCCGCAAAAAGTCCTCATCGTTTCCCATGCTGCTCCTCCCTCCTCCGCTCGCGAGCACTTCGAGCAGCTCTTCAAGCATGTTGGCGCGCTTCTCGGTCTCGATCTGGACGTCCGAGAGTTGCGTGCCGGATGCCAGGAGTTGGGCGCGGTATTCGGCAAGTCGTTCGTCGACGTAGGAGCTGTCGCAGGCCGTGCGGGGCGGGTCAGCAGCAAGTAACGAGGATGAGAAAGAGGACTTTGCGCACAGCGTCAAGCGCAACTCGCCATCGTCTCGCCCGCCTTTCGACCTGCCCGTCCCGCTCTCCGCGATCTCGAGGAACTCTTGCATGAGCGATGCGCGGCGCTCGGTGAACGAGAGCAGCTCGATCGCAATGTGCGACGAGGGCTGCATCGGGAAGATCCGTCAGCAACGACGAGAGAGGATCGAAGAAAGCTGAACGTACGTCGGCACCCTCCATCGCCTGCGCCGGCTGTCCCGACGACCTCGAGACCGCGCCACCCTTCTCCGGGCTCGCCCTCGCCACTGCACCCACCAACATCTCCCCTTCTCCTTCGTGCTCGCTCTCAGGCACTTCCTCCTTCTCCATTCCCGTTTCAATCCCGCTCCCTCCCGCTTCGGCCGTCCCGTACCCCGAGTCGTCCGAAACACGAGGCTTCTTCCTCCTCGTCTCTTCCTGCTCGCGCTGCTGCTGTAGGAGGAGCGCCGCCTGACCACTCGGAGGGAGGCCAAGCGCCTTGACCGGATCGACATTCTCTATGTCCTCGTCCAGCTCGTCGAATTCGTCTTCTTCCCCTCCCGCGGCGCCGCGCGGAGAGGCGCGCTCTTTTCCTTTCCGTGAAGAGGGCGAGGGGCGCTTGGCGGGGATGACGAGGGAAGAAGAGGAAGTCGAGGCGGGAAGAGGAGCGGGTTTGGCGGCGAAGTGGGAGGAGACGACTACTTCGCCGGTGCTGCTCTTCGGTCCGAGTGCGGTGGTCGACGTGGACTGTCGCTGAAGGTTCGAGGGCGCGTTCGAGGTTGGGTTGAGCGAGGTGAGAGGTGTGTGAGGGCGGGAGGAAGGACCAGCGTGGGGTGTGAAGGGCATGGGGGTGTGGCAGCCGACTCGCGTAACGACTGGGTGTGCTGTGAGAGTGAACGAGCAGAATCAGCTGGATATCTCGGGAGGAAGCGACTGTCGAGGGGACGCACCGGACGACGAAGGACCCGATGCCGCGACAACCTGCACGACCCGGCCCGCGACACTGCCCGGCATCTCCTGCGGCCCCTTCTTCGTCCCTGCACCCGCTCCACTGCCCGCACTGCCCCTCGAAGCGGTCGAGCCAGTCGTGTTGGTCCTGACGGCAAGAGGTTGCTGAGTCGGCGTCGCGGCGGCTCCTGTGGGCGGCTGAGCGGCGTTGGCGGATCCAGCAGCGCGGAATGCGCCGGGCGGCATGGCGAGTGAGCCTGTCTGGCGCAGAGAATGCGAGGCGAGCGAGTTGTCAACAAGAGAGCGTGTCGAGGACGCGTTCGAGCCAAAGTCAACACGGCGAGCGGGGCTGGCGGTGGTCTCGTCGTACTCGTGCGAGTCTTCTGGTCACGTACAGCCTTGTCCCGACTCGCCAAGTCGAGTTGACGAGGAGATACCGAGTTGTAATGAGCTGAATACAAAGTCGAGTGTAATGAGCTGATTACAACTGTTGGCCAAGTCGCTCACACCGCTTTACTCCGCTCTGACAGCCTGGACAGACCCAGAGACCTCCCGCGACCATGCTGCGAACACTGCTGTCGACTCTGAGCGCCGCACTCGCGTTCTCGGCGCCCCTCGTCGCCGCCCAGGACATCACATCGAACGCGACCTCGCTCACCGGCACTTGGTCCAGCGGGAGCGGCGCGGTCGTAACGGGACCTGTGAGTCGGTGCACGTTCCGACTGGGCTGTGACAAGGAGCATCGGGGTTGTTGGCGGCGAGCAGAGGGTACTTGCTCGGTCAACGGTTTCGAAGAGGCCATCGCTCTGGCTTTCGCCCTGGGGTCCTGAGGGTAGATGGACTGAGGCTTGCGAGAACGGGAGAATGCTGTGGCGGCTGGGCAGGCCTCGAACTCGCTTACTCGCTGTTGACGGATTCCTCGTTCGATGAGGCGGCGTGAACGGAGCGGAATGGCCGACTGCGACGACGGGGCTTGAAGGACGCGGGAGATGAGCACACTGACGCACTGAGCGCTAAGCAGCTCGCCGATGCGCCGGGAGCACCTTGCTGACTTCGCTTCCTCCCTTCCTCCATCCCTTCGTCCCGCTTTCCCTCTCGCACTCCGTAACTTCCCGCCGTACACCTTGCCCGCGCGCAGAGCTTCGCCGACCCGATGAACAACGACCGGCCGTTCATCTACCCCTCGAACACGGGCATCTCGTACTCGTTCACCGACGACGGCTACTTCGAGATGGCCCAGTACCGCTTCAACGCCAACGGTGCGTCCGCACACACGTCTCTGAGGTGACAGCAGCGCTGATGCAGTACCGCGCACAGCCTCGCGACCGGATTGCCCGACCGCGGTCGTCTTGTGGCAGCACGGCACCGTGAGTCGCGCCCACGCTTCCTCATCTGCTTCCCTCGCTGACGCGCTCGCGCACGCAGTACGCCCTCCACCCGAACAACTCACTCACGATGGACCCCTCTCCCTTCGCGATGGACGGCCGCGTCCAGACACAAAACCCCTGCAGCCCGACTACGAACGTCCTGACCGAATTCGCCCAATTCGAGGTGTGGAACTCGTGGAAGATCGGGATTGATACGAACCATGCGGCGTATGCGTTGCAGGCTGTCGACGTCAATGGGAAGAAGCCGAGGTGAGTTCCCGCGCCGAGTCTGCCGGTTTTTGCTCCCTTTCGGGTGGTGGCCGAGACTGATCAGCTGACTGCGATTCTCACAGGATGTTCCTCACCGTCCGCCCTCCGACAATGCTGCCGACTGCGAGTCTGACGGGAATCTTGTGCGTCGCAAATCTGCATCCGCCGAGACGGAGCTTGCTGACCTGGTTCATGGCTCGCAGCAACGGCTCGATTCCCCTGTCGCCGTGATCCATTCTCGAGGACTAGCTCGCTCGCTCGCTCTTACGGACAGTGAGTCTGGCTGAGCGCTCCCTCCTTCAACCCGAACCAAACTGACTCCTCGTCGCCTTTCCAGCTACTTTGCCTCCCGCCTCTTGTTCCCAGCCACGCATACCCTTCTTTCACGTCCTTTCATCGCTCGATGCGCCAGCTCGGCCGCTGTGCAGGCGAGACGAGCGATCCTTGGCGCCGTTTGTTGTATTGCCAGACTCCCGTAGACACTCGCTCCCTACCCTGCGCTCGTCGCTCGTCCTCGAGAGACGTACGTTGTCCCTGGCGAGCTGCTACGACGCCTGCTTCGCCGCTGTGCTTCTCCATCGTCTTGAGCGAGCGTCCGGTTCGCTCCTTCGCCCTCGACCATTCGCTGCTTCGTGCGCTTTCGCTGCTGAACGAGCTCAGTCAGCTTCAGTGACTGTCTACTCGCTCTACCGATCACAGCCAGCCTGTCCCGCACCCTTCCCACCCACTTCTCATCCTCATCGTCACCTCCCCACCTCATCCTCCCTCGCTCCCTTCCTCTCATAACGACGCCCGCCATGTCCGATGCACGAGCTCGCCTAGACGCTGCTTCGACGTTCCTGCTCCAGAGCCCGCCAGGAGAAGGTGTGTTTGCTCGTTTCTCGTTCGCTTGCGGTCTGGCTTGAGAGGGGGTTCGGGCGGCACCTCGCTCATGCAAGCCTCTCTGAGGTGTCCAGACTCTTGAACGAACGCTGACCGATCGCGCCGCGCAGTGAACGACGTCCTCTCCGACCTGCGCGCAATCCTCTCCTCCTCCGGCCTCTCCGACTCCCAAATCGAGTCTGGCCTGCTCCCAGCTCTGACAAAGCACAACGCCGAGCAGTTCACGGTTGTTGAAAGTGAGGGGAAGAAGGTGCTCGTTACGCCTGCCTCGAGGGTGGAGGGTGCGGGCGAGGAGGAAGGGACGGAGAGGCATGTTCAGCTGAGGGAGGGAAAGGAGTTTGTATTTGATCATCTCAAGGGGGTGAGTCTTTCGCTATTTTTCGTCGCATGATGAACCTCCGCAGGTTTGCTATGCGTACTTGCAGCGGGTAGATTCACTTACAGCTCTCGCCTCTCACAGCTCGCCTCGTCCGCCTCGCCACACACCTCCCCATTCGACAGCGAGACTTCCACCCTGCGCACCTCACTCGACAAGCTTCTCTCGTCCTACGTCGCGAACCACTACGCTTCGGGCGTCGCAGCAGTCTACACTCTCCCCGACCCGGCCTACCCGCCTCCTGAGCCTGCCGCTGCTCCCACGTCCGAGGAGAAAGCCGCGGAGCCAGAAGGGACGGGTGAAACAGGCTCGATCGCGCAGGACGTCGAAGGCGGGAAGGAGGAGGTAGCGGATGTAGCAGCTGACACGGCTGAGGAGGTCGAGAAGGCGTTGCCTGAGGAGGGAGTTGAGACGGTTGGTGGAGAGGGGGCGGCGCCGACTGGGACTTCGGCGGAGGAGGCGGAGGCGAAGGAGGCCGAGGCGGAAGAGAAGGGGAAAAGTGCGGAGGCGGTCGAGGACGACAAGATGGATGTCGGAACGCCTGCTACGGCTCCCGCTGAAGTTGAGGAGGAGCCGCCTGCTTCGACGACGGAGGATGCTGCACCCGAGCTGCCTCAACCACGCCCGTCGCGACTATTCGGCCTGTACTTCGTCGGCAACAAATACAACCCGAGTAACTACTGGTGCGTTCGCCCGCAGGCAGCTGTCGGTTCCGATCTTCGCCTTGAGCGTTGAGCTGACGTGTAGTACGCTGTGCGCTCGCTAAGCAGGACCGGTCGGTGGCGCTCGACGTACCAGCTCGACTATGCGAAGGGGACGCTCGAGGGCACGGCGCAGATCAACATCCACTACTATGAGCAGGGTGCGTCAAAGGGCTCGCTTTCATATCTGTACCTTCACAAAGGGTCCTGAGTTGATGGAGATGCTCGTGCTTGTCGCAGGCAACGTCCAGCTCTCGACGACGCTCAAGTCCTCCGCGACCCTCTCCCCCTCGCCCTCGCCCGAATCCGTCGTCGCTTCCATCAAAGCAACCGAATCGTCTTTCCAGCGCCAGCTCGGCGAAACATACAACGACCTGTCGGACGCCAGCTTCCGCGGCCTGAGGCGCGCGCTGCCGAAGACGAGGAGCAAGCTTGATTGGGACAAGGCGACGGGGATGCGGTTGGGTCAGCAGATTGGTGGTGGGGCGCAGTAGGCGCGGCAGAGGGGATGTGCGGCTGTTTGTGCAGGGAATGGACAGTTTCGAGTTGTTCTCTTCGAGGTGGTGGTTCGCGTGTCTCCTCGTCTGGCTTCCGCCCGGGTTCGTCAATGAGCTACGAGTCTTCTGGAGACCTCGACATTGCTTCTGGCCGCGCCATCGCTCGCCTTTGTCGAAAGCTGTCCCCACTCGCTCCTCCTCGCCGGGTCTTCCTCTTCCGCTTCGCTTCCTCGCTCGACTCGCTCTCGCTGGACTCGCTGACAGCCCGCGCCTGCTCAACAATACTCGCTTGACCTGCCACGCCTACCGCACGCCCCGCCATGTCCCGCGCGACTCCGACGCTCACCGTCGCCTTCAAAGAAGCGAACGGACACAAAGTCCACCTCGACTGCCACTTGCCGCCCGCGGAACACGTCAAGGAGGGAGGCAAGGGTGTACCCGTCGTCGTCTGGATCCACGGAGGAGGTGCGCTGCCCTTGTTCTCGCTCAACTCGTCCCGAGCCCTTTTCGACTCCCCCACTTGGCGTTTAACGAGCGTTCGCTGACCTTGTGTTCGACCGTGCTGCTTTCGACGCAACTCTACGACACCCTGTCACCCCTGCCAGGCTTCTTTGACGGCGCCAGCTCCGACTGGTCCGACGTCAACCTCCATGCGACCCTCTCTCGCGGCTGGGCCTTCGTCGCGCTCGACTACCGCCTCGTCCCGCAAGTCACGCTCGAAGACTGTGTGCAGGATATCCGCGGCGGGTGCGAGTTTGTCAGGAGCGGGAAGTTGGATGAGGTGCTTGGAGGTGGAAAGGTCGATGGGCAGAGGTTGGCGGTGAGCGGATCCAGCGCAGGTGCGTGGCGTCGCTTCCAAACGAACGCAACGACTCGTGGATGTGGAACCGCACCTGTCTGCTCTGCGACGTAGATGAAGCACGTTCGCATGGGCAGCTGACCAGAACTCTTCTCCTCTCCAGGCGGCGCACTCGCAGTCTTTGCAGCGTACACCCTCTCGCCGCCTCCACGCGTCTGCTACTCGCTCTACGGCTGCGTCGACCTCCTCCACCCCTCCTACAACGCTCCCGTCCAGTTCCCCTCCGGCCACATCCCCTACGACGAAGTCTCCTCTCACCTCGACCGCAACGGACCCGTCGTCTCGCACTCTCCCGCCGAAGTCAACTTTGCGACGATGGAGGCGTTCAACCGCACTCGTGCGTGCTTCTACGCCATCCAGGAGGGCAAGGTCCTCCCCTGGTCGACCCGGGTCGCCGAGCCTATCGACTTCTCGAACCCGCCTGCCGAGCTCAAGCGCTATGTCGGTACGGAGCTGGTCAAGAGTGCGAAGGAGCCGAAGAAGGAGCACATCCCGCCTACGGTGTGCGTGCACGGGAGCGACGACTTGATGGTTCCGTTTGCGCTGTCGGAGGAGTTGGTCAAGGTGCTCGAGGATGCGGGTGTCGATGCGGAACTCATCGAGGAGAAGGGGGCGAACCAGTGAGTTGCAGCTTTCTTGCCATCTTCCAAGCGCACTAGCGCGGTCGTTCGCCTGGCTGGAGGGTTCGAGTGAACTGCTGCCTGGCTCGTTCAGACTGTCGACGTGCGCCTGAGCACGTCAGCTGATACTTTGCATCCACAGCGGCTTCGACCTCATCCCAGGCGTCTACGGCGACTCGACCAAGATGCAGGTGTTTGAAAAGGCGAACGACTTTATCGCCAAGTACATTTGAGGCGCCGGTTCTCTCGAGCTCTTATTGGAGAGTATTTATCGAATGCAACAGGGCTGTAATAGCAGGCAGACAGGGTCACTGAAGCGAGGCGACCGCGAGATTGTCTTCCTCCTCCTCTTGCATTCGCTCTCCTGGCTGCAAACTCGTCTCGCTCGACTGCACTGTTACTTCGCTAGCTTTGTACATCTGCTTTGACTCCACACGCGCCCTCAATCGCCCTCTCCACCGCGTCACTCCTTCCCCGATCCTCATCTCTCTGCCCGTCGACAACACGCTCTCCCACGCGACACACGCACGATGACGACCAAGCGACAGCTCGGACTGGCAGAAGCATTTCTCAACGCCCAGCAGCGCGCCTCCACGCCTCCTGCGAAGCGCGCGCGCCTGAGTGCGGCCGCACCTCTTTCGACGGCGGCGGCGGCGACTGTTGCGGGTGCGGCAGGACAGGCAGGACAGGCCGAAGCAGTGGAGCCGACGGCATCGACCTCTTCTATCTCCTCGTCGCCCTTCTCGCCCTCGTCACTCCTTTCGTCCCTCTCCTCGACCGGCTCCTCCCCCACCGAATCCGACCTCCTCGCTCTCGAATGCGCAACCCTCCATCCTTCCTGGCTCGAACACCTCCGCGACGAGATCCGCAAACCCTACTTCCTCGACCTGAAGCGGTTCCTCTGGAAGGAAGGGTTGAAGGGGGAAAAGGACCGCGAGGGTGGGAAGTTGAAGGTGTTTCCGCCAGGTGCGTGCGGCGGCGAGGGTTGCTCTTCCCCTGGCTTGAGAGCACTGGACTGAGCTTCTTCCATGCCGTGCTCCGCGCAGCTCGAGACGTGTACGCCTGGTCGCGCTACACACCTTTGCAGGATGTCAAGGTGGTCATTCTTGGGCAGGACCCGTACCACGATGACGGTGCGTCTCCAAACTGCTCTACAAGCACCTCCGACTGCATGCTGAATCGCTGGTCCTATAGGCCAAGCACACGGTTTGCCCAATCCCTCTTTCGCGCGACTCGAACCGCCGACTGACTCCTTGCCTCTTTCGCTGCGCAGGCCTCTGCTTCTCGGTCCGACCGGGCGTCAAGATTCCACCATCGCTTCGCAACATCTACAAGGAGATCAAGGAGGAGTACCCGGCGTTCGACGTGCCTAAGCATGGGTGAGCCGCACGGATGACGAGAGCCGATTTGCTTGTCGCAAACTCGGCTCGACGGTCTTCTGCAAGGAGCTCACTAGACTAACCGCCTTCGCTTCGCAGGAACCTGATCTCCTGGGCCCGCTCCGGCGTCCTCCTCCTCAACACATCCCTCACCGTCTCGCCTCACAAAGCCGGCTCGCACTCGAACCGCGGCTGGGAAGACTTCACGGACAAGGTGATCGAGCTGGTCGACAAGCATGCGGGTGCGAGCGAGGACGGGAAGAAGGGGAAGGGGGTGGTCGTGCTGGCTTGGGGTGCGTGGGCGGCGAAGCGTGTTGCAAAGATGGACAAGGTGAGCGCAAGGATCCGCGGAATCCGTCTCGAGAACTCGTGTGAGCGACAATCGTGCTGATGCCGTTCATTCTGCGGATACACAGAAAAAGCACCTCATCCTGACCTCTGCAGTGCGCTCAGCCTCTTGCGCTTCTTCGCGTCCAAGCTGATCGTTCTCGCCTACATAGCACCCCTCACCGCTCTCCGCCCGCCGCGGTTTCTTCGGCAACTCGCACTTCCGCAAGGCGAACGAATGGCTGCAGCAGAAGTATGGTCGTGAGTTGCGACTCCCTGCTTTCTGCGAGTCTCGCTAATCCAGGCTTCCGTTCGCAGCGGATGCCGGTATCGAGTGGACGAAGCTGGATATCGAGGTGGAAGAGACGGGCGTTGTGAAAGACGGCGACGTGGTGTAGATCTCGTGGCGCGGTAGAGACGCTTGACATGAGATGATGTTTTATGCCGTCCCTCTCTCGCGTGGGTGTGCTAGCTGTCGTTGAGGAGCGGCGAACGTATATTATCTTGCAAAGCGGCATTCCCATTCCCGCCCTCGAAGGACACCACCGCTCACTCCGCCGCCGTCTCAGCTGCCCGCTCCGCCCTCGCCAGCATGTCCTCTCGCCTTTGCAGCACCCTCTGCCTCCACCTCCGATCCCACTTCCTATTGACCTCGATCCCGAGCCTCTCGCAAACCATCCTCCCGCGCTTCGCCAACTCCGCATCGACCATCTCTTCCGTCACCTGCTGTCCCTCCTCCGCCTTCTCCACCGCCTCGCGCGCATCGTCCCTTATCCGCTGGAGGAAGCCCGACTTGATCGCCGCCGCGACGTTCGACTCGCGACGCAAGTTCTCGAGTTCCCACACTGAGCGGAGGAGCGCGTCGTCCCATGCGGGCGGGTGGTTGTCGTGGACCTCGAGGGCTCGGAGGTATGAAGAGATGTCGGGATCGATTGATGAGCTGATAGGAGACGGCGAGCGGGATGAGCGAGAATTGCGACGAATGAAGGGGGTGCGAGGCATGTGGCCCTGATGAACGAGGTAGGGCGGGATCGGGAGGTGAGAGTACGGTTGTTGTGCCTGTGAGCAAGTCGAGGAGTGAGCGCTGCACTAACAGGGAGAAAGAGAAACGGACGAACCGCCTTGCCAGCCTCGTCGTCGAGCAAGAGTGTCCGCTGCGCACCCATCTCGTCCCGCCGGGCGACCTCCTCCGGGCTCAACGCCTCTCCGACACCGTCCCTCGACGTCGCAGAACCTCTCCTTCCATCCTTCGATCCACGCTCCTCTGCCCACCCGAGTCGCTCCCACACCTTTGCCAAATCCTTGACCGTTTCGACGTCGCCGTGATAGTCCATCGGTGACAGCCCCATCATCTCGCGCGTAAAGACGAGTTTCAGGACGTCCCCCTCGCTCGGCTCAAGCTTGTACGGCGCCTGAACGTAAACGTAGTCGCCGTGGCGGGGCGGTGGGGTAGGTGAGCGGGAGGGCGAGAGAGCGCGGTACTTTTCGGCGATAGGTGAAGGAGGGAGAGGCGCTTTCGGGTCGAAAGGCGGGGGAACGCGCGAAGGCGGGATGAGGTTGATGGCGGCGAGCATGGAGAGGACGTTGTACGAGCGGGCAGAGGAGTAGATGATTGGCTGGAAGCGCGGCTTGCCCGAGACGAGATCCGGCCCGGTGGTCGAGCAGATGTACTCGAGAAAGGTGGCGAGGTAAGGGCGCACGACGGGCGTCTTGCTGCCAGCCGCGTTCCGCTCGCCTCGGACGAGGAGCGTGTTGTTCAGATCAAGGATGAGCACGACAGGTTCCTTCGTGCCGACTTGCTCCTCCGTCTCGAACGTCTCAGACTCGCCGTTCGCCGCGTCGAGGTACGTCTGCGTCGGCGGGTAGACGGGACCTTCGCGCCTATGCAGGCGCTCGCGGCGCGCGGGAGGGACGTAGGTGCCATCACCGGTGTATGCGTAGGAAATCGGAGCGCGATCGTCGGGTCGGTCTCCCTCCTGCCGACGAGCGTCGTCCCGTCTTCCGCGCGCTGGGGACCTGGGCGGCTGAGGACCGTATCGCGGCGTTGTGGAGTGCCAGCCGTTCTGGTCAGGAGCTGAAGGAGAGAAGGGTGCTTGAGTCGGTACGCTAGGGTGGAAGAAGGGTTGAGCGGGTGCCGGGACGAAGGGAGCGTCGTTATAGGGCTGAAAAGGCGGTATGGGCGGACCCCAGGCCTGCCAGTTCGACGGTCCGGGCTGCGGCGCATACGTCTGACTGAAAGGACCCCAGTCGAATGCACCGAAGGGAGGAGCGGCTTGCTTTGGGAAGAAAGGCGGCGAAGGAGCGAAGGAAGGAGGAGGGTAAGGCCTTTCGAGGAGGGTTGTGCCGGTGAGCATGTCGCGCCTCGCTGAGTGTAATCATCGTACGAACCTCGTTGCACCAGCCTGCCAGTCCTGCCAGCCCTGCGACTGCCCGTACCCGTACCCCTGCTCAGCATAAACCGCGTCGCCTCGTTGACCCCCGCCGCTGCCCTGCCCGCGCCTGTCCTCGTACGGCAATTCTCTTCGCTCGTCCCTGCGTCGGTTGTACTCCTTCCCCATGGCGTCTGAGCGTGTGGGCGTGTGTATGCACCGATGAGGCGAGAAGTGGGTCGTAGGACTCGGAGCGAGCAGCGGGAAGCGAGTTGCGCAGCGCAGCATTCGTCTGGGAGACTTTTCTGGTCACTTGAGACTGTCAGCGAGCTCCGCGAGCCGTTGTAGCGTCGAGCAGAGTGAGCGGTCGAATGTCAACCCTGAGCCGTTCACTCGATGTCGTGTTCTCAGCCGCAAGACGACGGTGCAGCTGCGCCAGAACAACCAGTACACACTCCTCAGCACTGCGCACGCTGCGCCTTGCCGCCCACGGTCGTCGCGCGAGGAACGGCCTATTGCGACGACCACTTTACTCAGTCGCTCGCGAGCAGGTTCAGGCGAGGGACAGACGGTGCCCGACTGTACGCGGAGAAGGGCAGGGAGACGTACGAGGGCTCTGCGGGTCCGTCGGATGTCGCGGCGAGGAGGGACGCCCGTCGCAGCGAGGCGAACGGTTCAGAGCGGATGACGAGGCTTGTGGTGGCCTTTAGCGGCGGATGCAGCTCGAGGTGCGTCAAAGGGAGTCATTTCTACTTGCGGACGGACCCTCTGACCCGCTTGTGTTGACAGGACCCTCCTCGACCTCGTCAAGACGACCTACTTCTCCCATCTCCTCTCCACCCCCGCCACCTCCGATCCCGTGAGCGCACCAAACGGGAAAGGGAAGGGCAAGAAGCACGGGTTGCCTCGGCGGCCGGTCTTTGCGGAGCTGGAGGTTGTCTTTGTGGACGAGAGCAGCGTGCCGGGCGAGGTCAGTTCGCTACCTCTCCGCAAAGCCTCCTCGTTACTGACACTCCGTTATACGTATTGACAGCCTGACTCCACCGTCAACGTCCGCCGCGTCGCCCAAGAAGCGACCCCGTTCGCCCGCTTCACCGCGCTGAAGCTCGAGGATGCCTTCGCATCTGCCCATTCTTCGGCTCTCCCGCTCTCCGTCTCGACGTTTGCGCCCTCTCTTCCCATCGTCCCGCCTTCCGCCTCTTCCTCCGCTTCCTCAGCCGACAACAGCGACTCTCGACGAACCCACCTCGTCTCCCTTCTCTCGAATCCGTCACTCTCGCCAACATCCCTCGCCTCGCTCCGCGCCGCTCTCCGGTCCTCCCTCATTCTCTCGCACGTCCGACAAACATCCTCCTCGCCCGCCGTCCTCCTCCTAGGGGACTCGGGCACCCGCTCGGCCATTACGACTCTCTCGGGCATGTCGCTCGGACGCGGTTTCTCGATCGGCGAGGAGAGCGGCGCCGAGTACCTGGCCGCTTCTCTGGGCGATGCTTCTGGCGCAAACGGACAGACTTCAGGAGCAGGGGAAGTGCTCGTTGTCCGCCCGCTCGTGCATGCGACGCTTGGCGAGCTCGAGCATTACTGCAGGCTGATGGAGCTGGAGGCGCTTTCGGCGCAGCAACGAGGTGTGGTGGACGAGAGTGCGAAGAAGAAGACGATTCAGGGATTGGTCGAAGGTCAGTCGGTCACTTCCTTCGCTCGCTGTGACGGGTGCAGCCCGAGCGGCACAGTTCCCGTCTTCTCTTTCGTCTGGTAGAGCTGGCTGACTCCGTTGACATGCGCGCAGACTTCATCCTCTCGCTCGAGACGTCCTTCCCCTCGACCGTCTCGACCGTCACCCGCACATCTCACAAACTCGGCCTTCGTTCCTCACACGCCTCCTTTGTCGCTGCTCAAGCTCGATCTCGCCCGTCAGCACCCCTCGAGACCGCCTGCCTCTGTCCTGTCTGCGGCCTCCCAGCGCCCGAGCGCGCTCAAGCCGAGTCCTGGCGCGAGACAATCGCCATCTCCGATCTCCAGGCTGTCTTGCGAGCAGAGGGAGAGGGAGTGGATGCGACGCTGCGAACAACGGGGGAAGACGGGATCGAGGCGCGGAGGAAGCCTTACGAACCGTCGAAGGCGCATTTGCTCGATTCTGCGGGAGCAGCGGGCGAAGCTGTCGCGAATGGCGATATCTCGACACCCTCGACCCCACCGCCTACAGCAGCAGACGACGACGCAGGCCCGTCCCTCGCGCCCTACCTATGCTATGGTTGCCTCATCGCCCTCTCCTCCTCCTCCTCTTCCGCCGCCGCCAAGAAGTCCTTCTCCGCTTCCTCGACTCTCGTCCTGCCGCCATACGTGCAAGACGCACTGCGTATCCGAGTAGAGCGGGACCAGGGCGTCGTTGGGAAGAAGGAGCTGCGGCGCGAGGAGGATTTGCGGAAGGAGGTTGAGGAGTTCTTGCTGGATGACGAAGAGGACGGGGCAGAAGAGCTCACTCCGTAGGGAGACGGTGCATCGATAGATTGCGTCTCTCGCGACATCTGCTCCGGGTAGTTCACCAAGATACTGGCACCGCAAGCCGTCCAATCCGGATGTCTTTGTACGATCTTGTCTTCTCGGTGCAGTCACTCGATCGCTACTCGCCCTCGCCAAAGACCCCGCTCCAGTCGACCTCCTTGATCGTCTTCGGCACCATCGCGTCGAGCGACCCTCCCTCCCGCAAGCTCGTGAAAAACCTCTGCCAAAAGCGCTTGTCCCGACGTCGATGCTCCGGGTTGGCGAGCGGTGGCAGGACAAAGTGCAGAACGACCTGCTGGGGGTGAGGCAATGTGGCGAGGATGGTGAACACCTGGGCGATGTCGGAAATCAAGCCGTTGCGCGGAGCCGACCTTTTGCGCGAGCCGGTCTCGTTTGTCCGCGTGTACCAGTCGCGCAGGGTGCCTGTAAAATCTTGAAGTCGCACGAGGGGTTGCAGGAGCTCTGGGTGCGGCTCGACTTCGCCGAGGGAAAAGTGGTCGCGGTTGGGGATCCTATCGATGCTGAGGTGAAGCAAAGTCGAACCCAAGGAACGGAAGAGCCGGGAGAACGCATCGCCATGACCAGAGTACTCGAAAATCTCGATCGGAGGACGGTGCTTCGGCTCTGTGAGGCGATACTCGCTGAATTTGCGGACAGAAAGGTGCCGCAGGTTCGGAAACACCGCGAGGAACTCCTCGTCGATCTTGACGTCGGCGACAGCGAGCGTGTGTAGACTGTCGCTTTGCGACGGTGGGCGAAGGTAGAGTTTGTCGGGGTCGTGGATCCAGGCTAAGCCGATTGCCGTGACTTTGGGCAACGTCGATATGACGCTTTGTACGAGGCCGAAGTCGGTGGGCCACATGCTAGCCGTTTCGGAGCGCAGTACACCGTTGGGCGGGCAGATCTTGAAGGTGCGGATGAGAATGCGCAAGTCGGGTCGGTCAAGGAGGACGGAGAGGCGGCAGCGAGCGGTCGGGCTAAGTTCCCAGCACGAAGACGACGAGTACGGGTCGTTTAAGGCCTGCGAGTATCCTTCCTCGTACGACTTCGCGACGTTGACGCATTCGACAAGAACCGCCCTCCAGATGATCGCCCTCGCGACGCTCGCGAACGCCCTCGACGCCAGGCAGCTCGAGAAGACGGCAGCGACTCCTTCGGCGGTTCCGTCAGACCAGCTGTGTTCGAGAATCCCCTTGACGAGTTCGAGAGGGAGTTTTGGCTGATGAGGCGCTGGGGAGGAGTGGGAGTCGTGAGAGGCGTCGCGCGGTTCGCTGGGATGCTGGGGAGTCCCATGGGGAGTGGGGCGAGCGGTGCAAGCGGTCTCAGCCATGCCTAGCGGCGAGCGAGAGTAGCGAAGAAAGCGAAGAGGCCAGCGAGTCGCTTGTAATCTTCGCAATACAAACTTGGGATACTGAAACGATTACAAACTCGTCCTCTTGTTGCAGGGCTCGCTCGTCTAGCGCTACTCGTGCTCCTCCTCGCCAAAGATCCCACTCCAGTCGACCTCATTCACCGTCGGCGGAAGAAGCATGTCCCATGTGCCGTCCTTGCGCAGATTCCGCAGTGCGCCCTGCCACTGGAGCCAGTTGGACACCTGATCCTTGGGGTTGGCGAGGGGAGGCAAAACGAGACAAAGAACGACCTGCTTTGTGCGCGGAAGTGTATCGAGCAGGCGGACGGCCTCAGTGAGCTGTTGAGCCAGCCACCCGTGCGTTCGGAATAAGCGATGGGGATTGCGACAATCTTCGTCGTTGGTGCGGGTGTGGAGGTCCCGAAGTGTAAAGGTGACGGACTCGAGGCGGGCGAGTGATCGAAACAGGTTGGTCCGGGTCCGCTGATCCGTCCAGCATAGCCCCGCAAGATCATCGAACCAGACGGCGCGCAGAGTTGCCGCGAAAGAGTGGAGAAGCTTGCTTAGACCGCCTTGGAGCGAACTGGCCCAGAGACTTTCGACCGGAGGAGCAAGATCCCGCGGAAGGATGTCGAGGAGAAAGAACGATTGGAGGTTGATTTGGCGGAGATTCGGGAAAGCCTTGGCAAAATCGACATTAATACTGATATCGCGGGCTGTCAGAATGCGCAAGGATTGGCCTTGTGCAGGCGGACGAAGGTAGAGATGGTCGGGGTCGCGGATCCAGGCGATGCCAAGCGAGACAATGGCGGGCAAATTCGAGACGACTGCTTGTACGAGCGCAAAGTCGTTGACCCACATCGTTGCCGAATCCGTTCTGAAAACGCCGTTCGGCGGCCACAGGTCGAAAAGACGGATGAAGAAACGCAAGTCGACGCGCTCGGAGAGGATCAGGAGTCGGCGGCGGGACGAGCTGTCGAGTCGCCAACACGAAGAGGACGAGTAGGGACTCTTCATCTGCTCGTCATGGCCCGGCTCATGTGGCTTGACGACGTTCTTGCACGCAATTCGGACCGTTCGCCAGATGATGGGTCGAGCCGCGGCGAGGAAGGTTCGCGAGACGTGGCAGCACCTCAGCAGGGTCGACTTGCCCTCTGCAGTCCCGTCGTTCCAGCACAGCTCGAGGATCTCCTTAATGAGCTCGAGAGGGAGTGTTGGCGATGAGAACGGCGGTGAGTCGGGATGAGGATCGGCGAAAACGGCCTCGGGCGCGTCGGACGGGTCGCGAGCGTGTAAAAGAGGTCCGTCGCGAGCAGTGTGAGCAGTCTTAGCCATGTCCAGCGAGAGCTAGCGAGCGAGCGAAGGTGAAGCGATGAACCGCATTACAAGTGCACCATAACAAGTTGTGCTAATGCAGCTGAATACAACTCGCTACTCCTCATCCTCGTCAAAGATCGCGGTCCAGTCCACCTTCTTCACCGTCTTTGGCACCCTCATGTCCCACCACTCGCTGTCCCGCAATGCACGGAAGAACTCCTGCCAAAAGCGCTTGTTCGCCTCGCGCATCGCAGAATGGGCGAGAGGTGGAAGCACAAAGACGAGCGTGAGCTGCTCCGCGCGAGGCAGCGTGCTAAGCCACCTCAGCATCGTTGCCAGTGCGCCCCACTCACTCGTGTCCACCCACTCTTGCGTAAAGTCTGCGCCGAGAAACTCGGCTGGGAGGACGTACTCATTCGTGCTGGCGTGATGGTGTCGGAGCGTCACGTGGATGGCCTCGAGACGAGATAGGCTGCCAAGGTTTGAAAGTGGGCGGTCGCCACAGTTTGGCGCAGCGGGAAGGTCGTCCAGGTCGAGGCGTCGTAAGGTGGACGAGAAGTGGCTGAGGAGCTCAAGCATGTGTGTGGTGGAAAACTTCATCTTGCTGCGGTAGGTGAGGTGTTCCAGAGGGGGCAGAGCAGGCAAGGGATCGCGGTACAGGTTCATCGTAGAAAAGTCGAGATGGATGAGGTTCGGACATAGCTCAAAGAAGGTCAAGTCCTGGTAATAGGATACGCGCTCGAGACGCGCGATACTGTAGACGGCAAGAGATTGCAGACGCAGGTGCGGGCGTCCTGGTAGGGTGACAGGGTACTTGTCCAGGTCGACGATGGAAGGGGCGAGGAGGCGCACGAGATTGTGCATGCCATCGAGCGCAAAGTGTATCAAGCCCATGTCGTTGCTCCAGATTACGGCGCTCTCCGACCGCTCGATGCCGTTCGGCGGGCGCACGACAAAATCCTGGACGAGCGAGGACAGGTCGGGACGGTCGGCGAGGACACACAGCCTTTTGCGCCCGCTCGAGCTGATGTTCCAGTGAGATGCCGAAAGGTACTGCGGCTCTGGCAGTATCCATTTCGGGGGCTTGTATGCCTTGACGACGTTCTCGCACTGGACCACGACCTCGCGCCAGATGAGCGGGCCTGCTGTTGCCGCGAACGCCCGAGAAGCTGCGCAGCACTGTACGACCGCTATCCTGCCCTCTTCGCCGTCGTCCCAGTACAGCTCGAAGATGTCCTCGACGAGTTCAAGCGGGAGGGTCGGCGGCGGGTTGCGAGGCGATGTGATGAGAGGACGGGCGGCGGGGACGGCGTCAGGCGGGTCGAGCGTGCGCTCGGTAGCATCCAGTCCTGTGTCGATCGCAGCATGCCCAGTCTCAGCCATAGCGAAGGGTGAACGAGGGTAGCGGGTGAGAGGGAGGAGGCGGAGAGGAGGGAGCAACAATTTGACTTCTCGCACGCCTGCAGCGACAAGTGCGTGTGTCCTGCAGCTCTTGTAGTCGTCTGTCACGCGTGCGAGCGGATCCCGCTTCGTGAACGAAAGGCGTGAGCGAGGAGGAGGGCAGAACTCGAATAGTTGCACGAGTATGGCTCGTCCTACAGCCATGCGAGAGTCTAGTCCTTCCCAAACACGCCGCTCCAATCAACCTCCTTGACCGTATTCGGAATCAGCTCGTCCAACACGCCGTGAGCCCGCAAGTCTTGCACGATATGCTGCCAGAACTCGCCATCCTCTTCGCGCTGTCTCGGATTGGCGAGCGGCGGCAAGGCAAACGAGAGGGCGACTTGTTGTGGACGAGGTAGGTAGCGGACAATCTCGAGGATGTGGGTGACGGTGGCAGTCGAGTCTCGCACTATATCCGCCTCAAGCGTGCGGTGGTCGCCCGTCCATGCGGCCTCGTTGCGAGTGGTTGCAAAGTTGCGCAGGACGAAAGTCACGGCCTTGAGCTTGGAAAGCATCGAGAATGTGAGCGTAGGCAGCCAGTCGTCGGGACCGGTGTCGGTCAAGTGGCAGTCGATCTTGAGGTGCGTAAGGGTGCCCCTGAGGGACATGACGAGGTTGCCGGCGTAGGAGTTGCAGCTGCCAATGACAAGACTTGTGATTCGGGGTGTCGAGTCTTTGCGCAGCAGCATGTGGCATTCGACATCCTGCAGTCTCAAGTCGCGGAGGTTTGGCGCGGATTTGAAGAGGTTCTCGTTGAACAGGATGTTGTGCGTACTCAAGGTGTGCAGGCGAGGGTTCGATGCCGGCAGATCGAGCGTGTAGTGGTTGGGGTCGCGGATGTTGCAGGTCACGACGGTTTCGACGGCGGGGAGGCGTACGAGCGCGCTGTGAACGAGGGCGAAGTCGGTAGGCCACATCATCGCCGGATATGTCCTCTCGACGCCGTTTGGCGGCGTGACAACGAAGGTGCGGACGAGAGCGCACAGTTCGGGGTCCGCTGCGAGGGTCCGCAACTGCCGCCTCGTCCGTTCCTCCAGGTCCCAGCATGCCGAGGAGTACGACGTCGACGCCGCTTCGTGCTTGTACTCGCTCTGGTACGGCTCGAGGACGTTGCGGCACTCGGCGACGATCGTCCGCCAGACGATGGGTCGCGCCAAACGCGCAAACGCCCGCGACGCCGCGCAGCAGGCGGCCAGCGCATCGGCGTTCCCTCCTTCGTCGTACAGGATCTCCAGAATCCCCTCGACGAGCTCGAGCGGGAGTGTGGGCGGCCGAGAAGGCGGCGAGTCGATGAGGGGTAAAGGCGCGGGAGAGGTGTTGGGCTGTTCGCTTCGGTGCCGGGGAGCTTCAGGATGCGTAGAGCGGGTCGTACGAGCAGTTCTGGCCGTGTCTAGCGGTGAACGAGTGGAGCGACGAGGTGAAAAGGCGACGGAAAGCACTTGAATCTCGTCAATACAAACGCGGGCTAATGGAACGATCACAATCTGGTCTCCATCGTTGCACTCGCTCGTCTATGCCTCATCCGTCCTTCCCAAACACGCCGCTCCAGTCTACATCCCTGACCGTGACGGGCAGCAACTCGTCCCACGACCCGTCGGCGCGCATCTCCCGTAAAACGTCCGCCCACAACGCGTTGTGCTTCTCGCGCAGGCGTGGATCCGCCAACTGCGGCAGCTTGAGAGCCAGTGTGACTTGCTGACAGCGAGGGAGGTGGCTGAGGAAGCGGAGGATGACCGGGAGGTCGGCGATGTCGCGGATTGACGGGGCCAAGCACGGGCTGTAGAACCTCTTCCGCTCCATCTCCTCGTTCTCGACCCGCTGGTGTAAGTCATCGCCACCGCGAAGGACGACCGTGATGTGTGTGAGCTCGCTGCACATGCGCAGTGCGAAGCTCGACAGGAATTCCGCGGTAGAGGACCCATACGTGACGCAGTCGAGCTCGAGGCGGGTGAGCGTCCGGTCGAACGAGCCAAGAATCCCGTCGATATCGTAGATGCCTTGGCGGATCGTAAGAGTCGTAACGGGAGGTGCGGTAGGTCGCAAGTCTTGTGGGCAGATGCAATCGTCGATGTAGAGGTGTCGGAGCTTGGGGAAGCAGTCGGTGAAGCCAGAGCCGATTGGAAGTGTTGGTAGGCGCAAGGTATGGAGGTGCGGGTTACGTGCTGGCAAGCGCAGGTCGTAGCCATCCCGGCTGAAAATGGCGCCGATGCGGACGGTTTCGACAGCTTGGAGGCGCAGGAGTGCGTCTTGCAGTAGGGCGATGTCGTGGGGCCACAGCAGTGCAGTATTGACCCTGTCGACGCCGTTCGGATCCGCCATGGTGAAGTGCCGGACGAAGGCGCCGAGTTCGACGTTGTCCGCGAGAAGTCGCAATTGCCGCCGCGTCCGCTCCGCGAGATCCCAACTCTCGGCTGAGAACCATGGCAGGTGCGCCTGCGACTCGTAGTCCTCCATGTACGGATTGACGGCGTTTTGGCATTCTACGACGACCGTCCGCCAGAGAATCGGCTTTGCGACGTTCGCAAACGCCCGCGACGCCGCGCAGCAGGCGGCTAGCGTCCCGGCATGCCCTCCTGCGTCGTACAGGACCTCGAGAATCTCCTTGACGAGCTCGAGCGGGAGTGTCGGCGGGAGGCGAGCGTGTTGAGTGAGGGGGAGAGATGAGGGTTTGCGACGGCGAGGAGGGCGGTTCGTGTTGAGGTCCAGGTCTTGTATGCGTCCTGAGCGACGCGTAGAGCCAACGACACGGTCTGCGCGAGCCATTCGGGCGGAGTGAGTGAACGGGAGGGAGGAACGAGGACGAATACAAAGTCGAGGCAATACAACCCGAGTGTATTCGAGCGATTACAACTTGCTTCCGGCTCACGTAGGTACGAGAGCCAGTCGTTGAGACTCTAACCTCCTTTTGCAAGCTTTTGTAGCGAGAAATGGAAGATTCGAGGTGCGCAGCTATCGAGGTGAGCGAGCCAACGACGATTGGGAAGGTCGACTCGAAGACGGCCCGTTGCGTCTGCCACGGCTGCAAACGCCCTGAGAGCTGCTCCTACAGAAACGCTGAGGTATCTACCTCCTTCACGGTCCCCGGAACCATCTGAGGCCACTCCCCCAACTCACGCAAGTCCGCAAAGACTCTCCTTCAAAACTCCTTGTCGCGACTCATCAGGTGTAGCGGTTCCAGCGGCGGCAGTCTGAGCGTGAGCTTGACTTGCTCTTTACGCAGGAGTGTCGCGACGAGCGCCATCAAGCGGCGGACGATGTTGTGCGCGGCGCGGCGTTTGCTGGGATGAGGGATACTCGGGTAGGTTGTCGTGCTGAGGGTGTTCAGGGCCGTAGCGCCGTATCGAAGCGTGATTGTCAGGTTCTTGAGGCTGTCGAGGCACTCAAGAAAGTCCATCGTGGGAGGGTCGGGTCGGTAGAAGAAGTCGAGGTGCAGGTTGTGCAGCGGAGCAAACGGTGCGAGGTTGTCGCCGAGACCCTCATGCGGCCGCGCAAGGAGGGTGAGAGACTGTACATTGTTGAGTGACCGTCCCGTGTAGCCAGGCATGCGCCTTCCGACCGCATCCGCCGGTCGAGTCTTGTTTCGTGCCCGATTGACGGGGAGATCCTGCAAGATATGATGAGCCCATGCTGGTCCGGTCCAGTGCAAGGCAATCAGGTTGTTGAGTCGCGGCTGGGAGAGTGTTCCAAAGTTCAAGACGTGCCGGGGATGAAGAAACGTTGACCAGCGGCCCATCTCCCACCAGTACTCGTAAGCCGGACCGGCGCAGAAGACGACGGGTACGCCGCACAGCTCAGGAGTGACAGAAAAGGTGATGCGGCGGTAACGAGGTGATAAGGTGAAGTACTTCGTTTCTTCTCGGAGGCTGAGGAGTCACGCCAGCGACGCATCCGTCAGCCGAACACAAACGACCTCGCTGCTGGAGTCTAAGGAATGACACGTGGTATGAGAGCGGTAGAGGTAGATGCCCTGGACCGGCTCAAGCTCGAGCGCAAGCGTGAAGATCTGGTCGAGGAGGAGTTGCGCCTCCGCTCGAAACGCGCGGGAGACGAGGCAGAACCGGGCAAGCTGTGGCGCCAGGCCGTCTTCTCGGCGCTCTGCGGCATACGCGATGATGGGTCGGTACAGCTCGAAGGGTAACCACGCAGGGCGAGGTGCGTTGGTGACGGGTTTGGCTTTGGCAGGAATGCGGGCGGGAGGAGGAGCTGGGCGCAGAAGCTCTCGAAGCAGACTCAAGAGAGCACCCATGATGACGCGAGGGACGCCTCCGGAGCGAGAGCGATGTGAGGGAGAAGGAGAAAGAGAGGAGCGTTCGACGCATTGTTCTTCGAGCCGGACGAGATTGCGACGGCGGCCGTTGCTCCACTTGTTCGTGCCCAGAGACGCTTCTCATCGCTATTCTTGCCCTTCAGCTCACTCTGCAGGAAGAAGAAGCTTGCTCGCACTGCGAAGGTCAACTCGAGGAGGCAAAGCTGTCGGGTTCTCTACGCCCTCTACGCCTTGATATGCCCGCTACAGCAGCGCCAAGATATCCACCTCCCTGACCGTCTTTGGCACCATCCTCGGCCACTCGCCTGCAAGATACATGTCCTCCAGCACGTCGCGCCAAAAGGCCTTGTCTGCGCGCCTGAGCACGACCGGCTCGAGGCACGCGAGGTCGAGAACCAGTATGACTTGCGCTGGACGAGGAAGTGTTGCCGCGCACTTGAGCATGATCCGAATACGCCGCTTTCCCACATTGAGATGTCGTGGACGAGGGTAGTGGGCCGTCCCAAGCTCGTTCCGGCTCGTGCTATCATGGCGCAGGGTGAAGGTCAAACGCTCGAGATTCTTCAAGCACTGGAGAGTGTCGAAGAAGTAGATGTCGCAATCGTAATCGAGGGTGAGGAGGGCAACGTTTGCGAAGGGGCGGAGATTCGTGCCGTAACCTTGATGAGGTCGAGAGAGTAGCGTAATAGAGTAGACGTGGGGATACTCAGCCGCACTGGCTATTGACCAATGAGGGGCGGTCTCCGGCAAATCACTCAGAGTGAGGCTGACTGGACGACCCTCCAATTGCCAGTCAAACAGATAACGCGTGACTCTGAACAGGCCGCGCATATCGACATGCAGCGGATACTGGATATTGCGCATAGCGCGCGGAAACGCGTGCGCATCGTCCCAGCAGAGATTGGGGGACTCGGTCCGCGACTCACCAACCGCCTGTATGACGAGTCGTCGTACCCGTGGTCCCGGAACCCTGTAGTAGTAAAGCCATCGTAACCGTTCAAGGTGTGCCAGGGCCTCCTGCGAGAAGCCGACACAGTTGAATCCGTCAGGCCGATCGTAGCCATCCGTACATATCCTATGGGCGCGCTCTGATGGGAGCGAGATAGGCTCCACCTCAAGCACAAGCGTGAAGATCTCCTCAAGCAGTGGCTGAGCCTCCGCCCTAAACGCCCGGCAAACGAGGCAGAACCGCGCGAGATCTCCCGCAAGACTGTCGACGCGTTCTGCGGCAACGAGGTGGATGATGGTGATGAGGAGCTCGACGGGTAGTCGGGCGGGGCGAGGAGGGTTGAGAGCGAAAGGGGAGATGGTGGGTGCGATGTAACGGGAGCGGGAGGGAGAAGCGGGAGTGCGCGAGCTAGGCGAGCTGTGCGAAGAACCCATCGTAGCTGGAGTCTAGCGAGCAGCTGTATCGTCGGGCGGAGAGAAGGTGAGCAAGAGCGGGGAAGAGAGGCAAGGACGCGCGACGTACCTTGAGCGGACCAAACCTCGACAACGCGTCCTCCTGCCCCGGCAACTCCCCATACCGGCGACGATTGATCAAGACGTTGCGATTGCAGAGCAGAGCGAGAGGGTATAAACACGTCCCAAGAGAAAGTCGAGTGGAGACAGGCAAAACAGTGCGAGCGAGATAGGCGCGAGGTGGAAAATGCGAAGGCGTGGAAGGTATGCGGCGAGGATAACGCTCGACAGCGTGCGATCGTGAGCAAGACAGGTGCGAGTGGCGTGAGTAACAGGAGAACCGAGAAGGGGGCGCGGCGAGGAGCGGATGCGCTCGCTACGCTCGAGGCGGAGCGGTGCGCCATGCCGAGGCGACGGTGATGCGCTTCGCCTGCAGCAAGGGAAAAGGCAGCGAATCAGCAACGAGTCTCCTCTGAAAGCTCGAACGGCTGAAACTGCGCAAACCGGCGACGCACCTGTTCCAAGCTGATCCCAGCAAACTTGAGCTCGACGCTCTGCGCCAACTTGTCCACCTCGTCCTCCGACATCGACGGCTGATTCTCATGCCCAATCCCAAGCGGTGCATCCGCGACGCTAAGTCCGGAACTCGCCGCGAAAGGCTTGAACTCGGAGATGACGCGTCGAGGAGGGGATGAGGGCGAGGTCGAGAGCGAGGAGGAGGTCGAGGTCGGGTGTGAGCCTGGTCGTGGAGGGAGAGTCGGGTAAAGGACGGAAGAGGCGCCGGGGATGGAGCGCGCGAAGGAGGAGTTGTAACGGGATTGGAGGTACTTCTCTGTGAAGCGGGAGCCGCGTATCTGGTCACTGGCGTCGTCAGCGTTCGCGAGCAGCGAGCTCAGAGGAGTGAACGCACCTTCTGCAGTTGAGGCTTGGCGGCCTCGAGACTGGGCGCCTCGACAAAGACCCGGACGTTATGCCGCGACTCCTCCGTTTCCCGCTGCGAGCCATCACACGAGACCCGATCAGCACTGCGGTCCGTCAGGACGTTGGCGGACTCCGGAGGAAATGAGTGACTCACGTGGATGCTCTCGAACTTGAGCTGCTTCGTCTCCTCGCCCCTCAGCAACAACCTCTCATGCAGCTCCCTTGCGACATCATCAACCGTCTGCATGCCCGCATGAATCCTCTCCGCGACGGCATTCCCGACCTCCTGGATGAGACGCTCCATCTCGAGGTGTTCGAGGGCGGATCCGACGATGACGTGAGAGAGGAGGTCGGCGGTCGTGAGGGGGACGAGGAGGGCGGAGGTGACGACTGTGAAGGCGTTGAAGAGGTCGAGGCCGTATTGGTAGCCGGAGAGTGCGGGTTCGCAGGCGACGACGAACTGCAACGGTGAGTCGTCAGTTATACTCGCCAATCACGACCATCGCGCTTGCGCCAGCTTCGCCCACGTGTAGTGCGAGACGATCCATGCGAGACTAACGCACCAAGGGGATGCCTGCCGCGGCCATCTGCCTGCACAGTACCAGCGGATCCTCCCCATCCGGTCCGCCTTGAGGGAACCCATCCCCATACTCTCCAATCCCATGACACGGCGCATCGGCAATCAAGACGCACATCTTCGCTGCGTCGGGGCGCCAGTCGAGGTCGAGCGCGGCGCGGATGCCGGCTGTGACGGCTTCGGGTCCGTCGCCGCCACCTGAGGCGTAGAGCGACTTGAGCTGCTCTTTCATTGTCGGGACGGAGGAGGTGAAGGGGAAGGACTTGGTGACGTAGGAGCTGCGGATACTGCGCTGTCAGCTGGATTGGAGCGAAAGGAAGGGGAGACGCGGCGCACTTGTCCTGCGGAGGGTAGTCGCTGCAAGAGAAGGTGTGTCAGCTAACCAGCTAGCCCACAAGTCGTTCCCGTCCCTCCTCGAGACTCTTAGTACGACACGGCTGAGCGAGCAAGACGGACGCACCGGTACCCGATCAATCCGATCCTGAGGCAGTCAGCCGAAGGGAGGTGACCGGACTGGACGATGTTCTCGCAGATGACCTCGATGTTCTTGGTCGCGCTCTGTTTCGCATCGTCGTCACATTCACGTCGAGTATTTGGCGCAAGGAAGAGAGCGAGGGTGAGGATGTTCGTGACAAGTGGGGGTCAGGAGGAGGACGAGGTCAGCATCGCTTCGAGCGGCTCGATGCATGGCGAGAGCGCAGGACAGCACACTCACCGCAATGTACGATCCCATCGCTGCGATCCACACGCACGCGAGCCGCGAGAAGCGAGTTGGTGAGCTCATCGGGACTTCGCTCAACGAGAACGAGGGGAAGAGAACGCACAGCCAGTGCAGTCGAGGATGAAGACGAGGTCGAGCAGCGTGCTGTTCCTCGGCTGGTGCGCTGCAAACGCTGGCTGTCCCCCTCCTCCTCCTCCTGCTCCTTGCTGTCCGAACGGGACAGTGTCGATGCCGCCCAGCGCGGCGAGCATCTCTGCGTTCATGACGGGCGAGTTCGTAGCGTGACAGTCACAGCGAGCAGCGCACAAAGCCACACGAAGCGAGAGACGAAGCGAGGTGAAGAAGAACAAGGGAAAAAGGACCCGCTCACTCCTCTCGAAGCATGCATCCACCCAAACGAGCGCAGGGAATGGTGAGTTGCAACGACAGCAGATTACCGCACCAGCGACCCGAGCCAGCCGATCAGCCCTTTGCTCGCGCCGCCAATAACTCCCGCCGTTCCTCCTCCGCCGCCGCCAGATCCAGCTGACGCCCCTCCTCCTGCTGCGTGCGTGACGATCCGTGCGCGTGTCCACCACACTAGTCCGACAGCGACCGTCGCAGTCAGACCGGCCGACGCATACAGGTAGAACTGCGTCCGTGTGACGGGGAAGCCGAGGAGCGACGAAGCCGACGACCGGTCGGGTCCGTACGGCAGCGCAGAGAGGCTGCGCGTAGTCAACCGGGTCAGCAGATGTCTTGAGTCTGGAATAGGACTGTGAAACGCACGGGTGGATCGCTATCCGCACAATCGTGTGGTACAAGTCCGCCAACTCGCCGCGCTTGACGGAGACCGCCAGCGGGACTCGCAGCGAGAGCTTGCGGCAGTACGTGTCGGGCTGGACCTCGTGACGCTGCCGGACGACTACGTTAGCGCAAGAAGCAATGGTGAGGGCGGACGAGGACGCGCCTGCTGCGCAAGGTCGAGGTCGCTCTTGGTCGCGACAAAGATGGTCGGGATGTCGTCAAGCTTGTATTGTTGCTGTACGACGGCGAGCTACACTGTCAGCGCCTTCTACGGACAGCAGGCACGGCGGCGCAGGAGGACTCGTCCGACGCACCCGCAAATTCGAGACGTAGCTAAACGAGTTCGTATCGCTCGAGTCGTACACGAACACCAGCACGTCCGCCAGCTCAAGCTTCTTCTTGCTACGCAGGACCTCGGACTCGTACGTCGAGCCGAACTCTTGTAGCTGGCAGCGAGAAGCGCGGTCAGCTCGTCGTGTCTCAGGGAGTGAAGATAATGCCACGCACCACAAGATACCGCTCGCCGCCTCCTTCCTCGACACAATTGACCACGCTTTTCCCCTTCCCTCGTCCGCTACTTAGCGCGCCGCGCAAAGTCCTCGCTCCGCCCGCACCCTCCAGCACCTCTCCTCCCGCAAAGCCCTCGACACCTCCCGCAGTTGCCCCAGTCTTCCGAGGCCACGTAGCCGCCTTCCCCCTCACCGCTCCCCCTACAGCCGCAGCAAGACCCTCCTCATCCTCCCCGAAGCCCTTCCCGACGAACGCCCTCAGCAAGCTTGTCTTCCCGCTTCCTGCCGCGCCGAGCACGTACGCAAGGAAGACGTTGCGTTCGACTGGAGTGCCTTTTCGGCGTGAGGGTCGGCGGGGCTTGGTTATTTGAAGGGCGGAGGTGGTCGGGAGGAGTTGGTAAGAGGGGGAGGAGTCGCGGGCGGATGTGGAGGAGGTCGACGAGAACGGGTTGCGGCGGGAGGAGGTGGAGGCGGAGGGTGAGGGCGTGGGTGGGTAGGAAGAGGAGGAGAACGAGGATGAGGCAGACGAGTGTGGGTAACCGAGGTAGGCGAGGTACGAGAGCGTTACACGCGGTTCGAGGAGGGTCGTCATGCTACGGGACGACGATAGAAGGTCAGTCGCAAGTTCAGAGCAGCGCAGAGTCAGCGATCACGCAAAGCGATTGACCAGCTCGAAAGACCAGAATCTCGCGACTCACGACCATTGCGCCAACCACCCCTGCAGCGTGACCGCCCCCTCGGGCGTTGTCAACGTCGTCTCCGGAAAGCCTCCCGCAGCCCAAGGGTTCCCCGGACTCGTCGAGAACAGGTTGTCGAGTTCCGAAGGCGAGAGCGCCCCGTCGCGGTCTTGGTCGAACAGCTCGAAGATGTCGGTGAAGAATTGGTAGCCGCGCGGGGAGAGCTCGGCTGTGCAGTCGCTGGGGATGTCGAATCTGCGGCGCACAACATGTGAGCGCTCCAAGAGACCGGACGAAAGGGGAAGGGGACGCACCGAGGGTAAAGGAACTCTTCCCGCAGCATAAGGTCTTCGCCGTACCCGAAGCACCTAAGCGCCTTCCACGTTGTCTCGAGCCGTCCCTTCTGGATGAAGTATGTATGCAGCGCGAGCCAGCCCTCCTCATTCAGCCCGCCCTCCTCGACTCCGCTTCCGTCCGTCATCTCCTCGACAACCTCCTTGACGCCCTCGATCTCCCTGCTCTGCAACGGCGCATCGAAGACAAGGCGCTGGAAATCGTTCAGCTCGTCGGGCGAGAGGAGGCCATCTTTGTCCGCGTCGACGAGGCGGAAGATGCGCGAGAGGGCGGCGACAGCAGCAGGTTTAAGGGTGTGCTGGCGGGTGTCGTAGAGCGGTGCGGTGGGATGAAGGACAGCGTTCTGGGCGAAGAAGAAGACTTCCGAGATGTTGAGAGGGAGGAGGGCGGAACACTCGACGCAGGTCTGCGGTGGAAGGTCTGTCAGCGGCATGCCAAGCAATCGGGGGGTTCACCCGACGCACCTCGACCTCCTTGTACTCCTGCATGATCGGCACGATCTCTGCAAGGCGCAAGTCATGGTTCAGCAAGCCAGTCCTGGACGAGCGTTTCACGAGACAGCGTTGCGGGGGGCTTGCGACTTACCATCCTCGAGTGCTTGGTTCGTCACTTGCCCTTCTCGCAGGTCAATCTTATTGCCGATGAGGATAACGGGGACGTTGACGCCGAGCGAGCGGATCGTCGGCAGCCAGTAGGTTGGGACGCGGTCGAAGGAGTTGGGGTTGTCAATGGAGTCTGCGCATCGATCAACACGAATCCTCAGCATGTTACGTCTACCGAGCGGAAGCGAACAAGCTAGCTGGCGCAGGACGCACAGACGATAGCGACGACATGCGCTTTCCGGATCTCGTTGACAAGGTGGCTCCTATCTTCTGGTCGGGCTGTGAGTGCGTTGAAGAGCAGCCACAAGAAGTGTCAGTCCATGCAGTACAACAACCAAGAACGACACCTTGAGCGATGCCGAGGGCCAACGCAATCCACTCACGCGAAGTATCGATGATGACGGTCGTCACGTTGTGGCCTGGCGTGACGGCGGGCGGGATGGTGACTTCAGGAAGGACTGTCCGCGGTGCTAGGCGGACGAACGACTCCCTTTCAGCGGTCGAAGCGGGCGAGAGGGGTGTTGGCGAAGTGGGGGGGTGCGCGACGTTGCAAAGAGTCAGCGCGCGCTGGTCTCGCCTGTATATACGTCTACACGGTCAGATGAGAGCATCTACGCACTTGATCAAGGCGGAGATGATGGAGCTCTTGCCGACACCCTCATCGCCGACCAGGCAAACCCTCACATCCCGCATCGCAGCTTGTTCCGACGCTTCGAGCGGGTCAGATTCGATGTGTATAGCCGTATAGCAGTCGGGAAGAACCCCAAGCAAGCGAATCTGAGCGGCGAGCGGTCGAGGTCGAGTCCAAGCAGGTTCCTCTTCATCGCTCTTGCTCCTCACACACGCTCAACCTCGCCTAGCCGGGTTGTAGACCAGCTTGCCGTCGTTCGAACAACCCTCTCAGATTGTCTCCCAGACCCGCCCAAGTCCCGTCGCTCCTGCTCCTCTCCTTCGACCCCCTCGCCGCCTCTCATCAAACACCCCCTCACACTCCTCGCCACCCCTTCGAGCACCCCGAAGATGCCCCAGTCGTTCAAGTCGAAGCCCCCTGCGAACGTCCACAAGGCGAAATCCTCGACGCAGAAGAAGGCGCAGCCCAAGGACCCGAAGAAGGGCGGTGAGTACCCCTCGTCTCGCTCTGGTGCCGCTTTTCGGGTGATAGCTTACTCTGTTCGAACACCATATAGCCCGGACAATCCCCCCGAAGAAGGCCAACCTCGTCACGAAGCAGCAAGTGCACCGAGTTTGTCCCTCTTCGTTCTCTTCCTCCACATCCACCAAGCTCATTTCGCTCCTTCCCGCCCCGCTCGCAGAGGACCACCTCCTCTCACGCCTCGGCTCTCGAGAAGGAGATCGCTGCGCAAGCTATGAGTCATGGGAAGTTGACGATCATGCGGAAGGCGGCGGAGGAGGTCAAGGCGAGAGAGGAGAAGGCGAAGAAGTGAGGCGCCGACAGTCTCCACACCGAGGACGGTGTTTGAAGGACGGGGACTGGTGTTGTACAGTAGCTAGACTGGCTTGTCGCGGCTCTAGTCTTTCCTTGTTGTTCTTTCTCTGCCTCGCTGCATTCGCATCTCCCCTCTTGCCCTCTCCGTCCCTCCCAGGCGAGTCGACGAGACAATGCGATGAATGCAAACAGGCGTGATATAGATCGTCTACCAGAGATCTAGCTGAAGGAGACCGCGAACCCATGCAACAAACACCCAAGACCCTGACTTCCCCTCAAACCCAGAAACCCAATAACCCAATTAACCCAGGATACACTCTAACCCAATAAGAAACTCTAGAAGACTGGTTGAGGGCATGCAACGCCCGGCATGGATGAGGGAGGCGAGCGGCCGGTTAGGCGGTAGAAGTGTTGGACGACGAGGAGGGCGTTGGATTGGTCTGCGGCGGAGTTGGGTCCTTGAGGGTAGTAGAGGCTGCGACGATGAAATCGCGTCAGTACAGAAGGACGAGAAGGAGAGCGAGGCGCAAAGGTTGCGACGAGAGGGAGGAGAGGAGGGCGAGTGCGAAAGGAATTAGACGTACGAGTACCCGTCGTTGTGCGTGACATAGTTGCAGCACTGTGCATCGTGTCCAAACACAGACCACATCATCGAGCCGAGGTACGACCCGCTCTGCTCGATCGCGCTCATGTAGGTCGGGAGCGAGACGCCTCCTCCGGCGGCGGTCCAGTCGAATTCGCCTGCGAGTCATACTCGTCAGCATCGTAGAGGATGAAGGATGCGAGGAGGGACAAACCGATCAAGAAACCCTTCTTGGCCGCCGAAGCGATCCCAAGTTCTTTCGAGAGGATATCCGTTTTGCGAGGGTACTGCGTACGACAATCTCGTCAGCACGCTCTGGAGAGTGCGAGGGGTGAGCGCGACATACTGAGTGGTCGGAAACGATGTCTATGCCTGCGACGTTGAGGCCGGCGGGAGTCGCGCCGGTCGTGTCTGCGCTCGTCCAAGCGTCAGTCTCGCCTTCAAGGGCAATTCAAGTGCGCTCGTCGCACAGTTCCAGATGCCGTTCGTGCCTGCAGACCGGTGCAGACTTCATGATCAGCTCAAAGGTCTCGCGAAGCCAAAGAGTCGAGGAGAGCAGTCGAACGCACCGTCAATGATCAGATGATTCCCATCCACCGCCTTGATAGCGCTCACGATCGCCGAAGTCCACGACGAAGGTGGCCACATCTCGGCGTTCATGTAGCCTGTTCGCGGTCCCATCAGCTCCTCGAGTGGGCAGAGTAGGCAGAGGGAGAGGGACGCACCTCCAAGCTCGTTACCTGTCTCCCAGGCGAGAATGGTCGGATCGTCCGCGTAGCGCTTCCCGTTGTAGACGTTCGTGTGCTGGAGGAACTTCTGGATATACGCCTGTTCTCAGAGGCGGTCAGCGAGGAGCGAGGTCGGAGAAGGGAACGAGGATGGACACACTTTGTAGATATTGATCGTGTTGGAGTCGGTGTAGAAGGCGGCACCTTTGTTGGCTGTCGAGGCGCCCGAGAAACCTAGGATGGAGTACTTGCCGCCGTGCTGCGAGCGGAGGAGCCGTTAGACTGGCTTCGGTGACTGCGTGAGCTCGAGTCAACATACGTAGTAATTGCTGAAGGGCAAGAAGGTCAGCCCCGGGATGGCGGTGGGAGGGAGAGAAAGGTAAACGCACTAGTTGTCCGTGAGAGGCAGGACGATCCTCAACCCATACTGTCCCGCAGCATAGATCACATAATCCCTAATATCCCACTGCTCCTCACTCACTCATCAGCGTCTACCCATCAAACCAAGGAGAAGGTCGGCGAACGCACCGCAACGTCCTGCCAGTTCCCGTTCGACAACTCCAGGTTGTAAGGATTGTTCGACCCGACTGACACGCCGCACGACATGAGGCGGACGGTGTTGGCGCCCATGGCGACGGCGATGGCGAGGGCTTCGCGGACGCGCTGCGCGATGAGATGAAGGACGGTCAGGGAGATGTTTTCAGATGGAAAGAAGCGAGAGAGAGGGGACGCACGCCTTTGTCGGTCCAGTAACCCCATGCAGGTCCCGAGTTCTCGTCCTGGCACTGCGGAAAGACGAGGAAAGAGTCAGCGAGATCCGCGAAGCTGTGCGGAGGTCTGCGCCGCCTCGATTGGAGAAGACGCCGCAAATTTCGCGCAAGGACAACTCCAACGCACCAGCCAGTAGATGTTCGGTCCCGCAATTCGGAAGTTTCCGCCGTTGAGGGTGAGTTGCTGTCCACTGCGCTTAACGAAAGTTGTAGGTTTGGGGAGGGTTCCTGCGGCGAGGCGGAAAGCGAGTCAGCCGCGAGCTTCAAGTCTCGCAGTGCGCTTAAAGACGAACTGAACGCGGAAAGCGAGTGTAAGGGGCGAAAGGGAGAACAAGGACGCACCCGTTCCAGAGATGGTGAAAGGCCCCCCGCGGTAAGTCGCCGCGCAAGCAGGTGTGGTCGTCGTACTCGTTGTTGTGGTAGTGGTCGTAGAAGGGGGTGCGGTCGTCGTTGAAGCTCGAGACGTCGTCGAGGGTCTGCAGAAAGCGCGAAAGAAAGGTCAGTCCACGGCTTCTTCATTGTACAGCGTCTTCCACTCACGTGGAAGTCGTCGACGGAGCCACGGAAGACGTCGTTGTCCGGCTAGAAGTCGTCTGAGGAGGTGGCGTCGTCGTAGGAGAGCTGGACAACCGAAGAACAATGTCTGTCGCAGCTCCTTCCTCTCACCTTCGCGTCCGCAGACTCACCTCGTCGTCGTTGTCGTGAGTGCAGTCGTCTTGGTAGAGGAAGAAGCAGCCGCCGCCAACGAAGACGCCGCCGCCTTGCTCGACGAAATCCGCTGGACAAACGGCAGCCTTACAGTCGACCGCTTCTCGAGGTCGACGACGAGCCTCCGTGCTTGCGGTCCTTCAGGCCAGGCGAATGTCGCGTCGATGCAGAGCAGGAGAACAAGCGAGAGACGGGCGAGCGACAGCATCCTTGGCCAGACCTTGCGGGACCGCTCCTCCTTGACCAGGAGACGAGCGAGCGAGAGAACGAGCGTGAGCGTGCGTGAAGGAGTACGGCGGGAACAAAGAAACGTGTGCAGCGTGCATTGCAGCTGGTTCGTTCGCAATCGCGTCTGCCAGACTTCCACCGCGATGCGAGGGTTTGCTCAATCGACGAGGTCGAGAACGAGCAGCGTGCGGAGAGCGACTCAGGGCGACACGGGCGACGACTGCGGGAGCCGCGATCCAGCCAGCCACGCACGGCATCCAAGCCGGAAGAGCGGCAGCGCATTAGCGATCGGGGACGAGCGAGCGAGAGAGAGAGAGGAGGAGGAGGAGCGAGGAGGAGAGGGTCGAGCTGAATGGGTGGCGAGCGCAATGCAGAGTGTTCTCGCAGGGTTAAGTGTGTTGCAGAGCAGACAGTTTCGAATGGCGAGCGAAAATGGCGACGAGGAAGCGACGCGGACTGAAAATGCAGTGGATGCGGGATGGACAGACTGAGGCTATAGAGACGACACGGACATCCTCTAGAACACAGACAGAAGAGTGGTACAGGACTCCCCGCGAACAAACGAACGAACCTAGTCAAGCGATCGGCCGAGCAGCATCCTCGCCTTCTCGTCGTCGTCCATCTCGACCGTCTGCTTCCGCAACGGGTTGTGGTGCGGGTACCCGATCGACTGGCGCGAGGAAGTCGACATCGACCGTGCGGGCTGGGTCATGCTCGATGGACGCTTGCGGGTCGAGCCGAGCGACATGTAAGGCGACGAGTCGGAGCGGGACGAGGGTGATTCGGTCGTAGGGAACGAGATGGCCGAGAGCTGCGCGGTCGAGAGCGTCAGCACGCTACCTCAGAGGCGAGAGAGACCGCGAACCTACGTCGCCGCTGCTCTGCGTCGAGTCGCGCACGACACCCTCACCCGCTCCGCCCACCTCTTCCTCATCAAAGCTCTCCGGCTCCTCCACAAGCGGTCCAATAACTCCATATCTTCCACCACTCTCATCCCTCGCCGCCCTCGCCTGCGCAATAGCCTGCGGGTACTCTCCGTCGTCTGCGAACTCGACGTTTGGGTCGATCAGTTCGGTTGCCGCAACGTCGAAGGGAAGAGAGGAGTCGGCGATGTTGTCTTCTTCGTCGTCGGAGGAGGAAGAGGACGAGTCGCGCGCTGTAACGGTGGGGAAGCGGGAGGACGAGGACGAGGCGGAGGCGGGATCGCGCACGGCGGGAGTGCCGAGGAGCGGGTCGTCGTGTCTGAGCGGCGGGGAGCGCTCATGCAACGGGACCGACGAGTTGTTCGCGGCAAAAGTCGACGCGCGAGCCTTGACGAGGCGCATGCGGTTCCGGATCGAAGCCTGGACAGCCTGCTTGGCAGCGGACCTCGCCTCCGCCATGGGCAAGCGCCGATGCGTCTTCGAGAGGAGCTGGCCAATCAGCTGGCCCTTTTGCTGCCAGACGCTGCGGATCATGTCGCGTTTGATCTCGTTCAGCATGTCGAGGAATGACCAGGTCTTGGAGCGGTACTGGATGAGCGGCGTCGTGTAGGTGATGTTGTAGATGTTCGGTAGGCTCGACTTGTCCTCCTTCTCGCTCTGGAGGCGGCGAAGAGTCAGCGAGAGCCTCAGAAAACCAGGAGAACCCGAACGCACCCGGTAAGTCAGGCAAAGCACCGTTGACGAGACCTCGACGAAGATGAACGTCCTGTTCGTCGCCGCCCTACGCCTCATCTCGTCCGCGTCGAGCCCTTCCTCGCGGTCCTCGTTGATCAGCGCTTCGGTCGAGATCGCCTTGCGGACGCGCGTCTCGACGCTGCGAATCGAACCGCTCGACGACGTGAGCGGCAAGTTGGCGGTGCTGCTTGATTGGCTCGGACGAGGGAGAGCGAGCGACTCGGCGGAGCGGCTTGCGCTCGAATTGGAGGCCGGAAGCGAAAGTCGAGATCCGTTGCGGGACGAGGGCGTATCGTCTCCTCCGTCGCCGGTCTTCTGCTGCCGTTCGGCGAAGAGGTAGTCGAGGATCTTGCGGCCGACTCGATGCTCGAGCTGGAGTTTGATCGGGTGAAGGTGCAGCTCGAACCGCTCGATGATGGCGATTCCTCCGACAGGCGCATGCGTGTTCCACAGCGCAGCAGCGAAGATGTCGACCTTGGCCAGCTGGTTCTCGTCGCTGCAGCCCTCGACTTTGGCAACGATCTCGGCAAAGACCTGTTCGGGGCTGCTGTTGAGCGCGCGCAGGTCCTTGATGACCATGCGGTTCGAGGCGGACCCGTCCTGCTTTGAAGCCCAGGAGAACTCGGCGCCAATGACGGAGAACTTGGCGAGCGGCAAGTCGCCCTTGTCGAGCATGTGCCAGGTGAGCTCGGCGGCGTGTGCCTCGAGCTGCAGGCCGGCCCGCTTGCTCGTCGTCTTCGGACCGTTCGAGTCCTGCGCGCGCGTGAACGCCTCGACGACGAGATTGAGCTCGTTCGCCGCCTTAAATAGCTCGGCGCGGCTCATGAAGAGCTCGAGGCGGCCTTCGTCGTCGAGCTCGTCAAGGTGGATCTGGTATTCCTGGCCGAGACTGCCAAAGCGCCGAAGTCGTTGCTGTAGACTCGACACCGTGTCGATGAGCGTGCGAAGGTTGGAGAAGTCGCGGGTAAAGACGAGCGCTTCGATGTCGCGGCTGCGCGACTTGCGGGCCGGATCGCTGTACAACACGAGGTTGGTGACGACGTTGTAGACCGCCGCAAAGTGCGCCGGATTTGCCGACAGGGTGAACTTGTCGGCCTCGAAGGAGATGCGGTCGGTTGAAGTGTGGAAGTGGCTCTCGAGCTGCGACGAGCCGGGACCGAGGCCGCCGTCGTCAAAGTCGCGCTTCGAGCTGAGCCGGAGCTGATTGAACTTGTCGTAGCGAAGGGCGGCGGACGTACGGGCGACGACGCGGTCGAAGCCCCGCGGCTCGACTCGCAGGTCGATGAGCGTCTCGAGCGGAACAAAGGCCTGGAGGAGACGGCGGTCGCGACGCGGGAGCTGCTGTCGAGGGTAGAAGATCTGCATGCCGTCGAGGCGTGCGAACGTCTGGTGCAGGACCTCCGAATTGACGGGATCCTCAGGGATGCGGCTGTCGACGATCTGGAAGACCTTGACTTGGGCTCGGAAGGCGGTGAAGATGAGCGTCGACTTGTCGTCGACATCGCTCTGCAGCGAGACCTGAGGCTTGATGAACATGCACAGGTGGCCGGAGTTGGCGTCGAAGACGTCGGGGAGTGCGGCGGCTGCGAGATACGGATCCGTCTCGAGGTGGTCGCCGAAATGGTGGCGCCCTTCGTCCTGCTCCTCGTTCGTCGCCCAGAAGTCGCCTTCGCGCTTCGAGAGCTCCTCAAGCAACTTGTTGGCTTGCTCCGAGTCGTGCCACGCACCGCTGCGCTTCTGCGACGACCCGCCAGTCCGCGTCGACTTGCGCCTCGACCAGTCGCGTCGGTGCTTCTTCTCGTGCTTTTCCGCGAGGTCGCGGATGAAGCGCAGGACCGAGGCAGAGGCGTAGTAGACGAAACCCTTGCGGTCGCGCGACGAGTAGTAGTACTTGAGGAGCAGATCGCGTGTAGCGTTCGAGACCTGGCATGTCGGGTTGTGGATCATGTATCGGTTCTCCCACTGGCCCCACTCTTCGTAGAGACTGTTCGTGAGGTGCGGTAGGGCGCCTGCATCAGCCGAATCTTCCTCGACGCTCGTGGGCGTTGCTGGAGTCGGGGGGCCACGGCCGTGCTGGTTCCTCGCCGACGAGCTGTCGAAGTCGGGGTGAGCATTCACACGAACCTGCGCGAGGCGTTCGATGATGCGGTGGACAGCGCGAATGCGGAGCTCGAGCTCGGCGGACAGGTCGTCGTCGTCGGTGTCGGCGAGCTGCGTGCGAGGATGGTCAGCAAAGGACGCGCTTTCTGAGCGCAGTTTGTAGCGCACCTGGCCCTCAAGCTCGACCAGCCGCATTTGCGCCTCCTTGATCTGCACGGTGATGGTGTCTGCTCGAGGCAAGGCATCAGTCCAGCATTCGATGTACTGCAAGCGGCGTCCCGCACCCGTCGCGCAGCCCATCAAGCAGGTATGCGACTTCTCGTCGCCGAACTTGGTCTTGGGCTTCTCGGCGGGCGAACCGGAGGTGCCGTTCGACGAGCCGTTCTCCTCAGGCCAGTCCTTGGACATGGTTGCATCTTTGTGGCGGTAGTAGGTGAAGCGTGGGCTGACGATGAACGGCATGATCCGCATGCGCGGCTCCTCCTCGACAGGCATCGTGTAGATCGAGTCGTGGTAATCGTTCAGGTTGACCCAGTCGTGGTCGTCCTCCGAGAGCACGAAGTCGTCGTACGTCGGCGCCGGGGAGACGTCGTCTTCGGGGTCGATGTCGGGCGGCGCAAGCTCTGCCTTCTCCGGCTCGCGGAAGATGGCGGTGATGGTGCGCAAGTCGAGCGAGTCGAGGTCGACTTCGGCCATGTAGAAGACCTTGTGCGTCACCGTCTTGGTCTCGGACATCTCGGGGCGACGGATGACCATCTCCTGCGCGCGCTGGTGCAGGTCGACATTGAACCTGCCGATCTTGGCCTTGATGCCCAGGACGGTCGTCTCTCCACGCGCCCAGTCTTGCCAGTTGTCTTGCCGATAGGTGTGCGAGATGAAGAGCGGCGCGAGGGAGAAGCGGTACTTGATCGTCGCGGTGTGTCGACCGAACTTGGGGGATGGCGCCTGTGCCGACGGGAAGAGCTTGCCTTGCCGGATCGGCAACGACATCGAACTGTCGAAGAGTTTCCACCAGCGGATGAAGTGGGTCATGGCGTTCGGCGTGAAGTGGAAGCTGTTGTAGCCGTGTTCGCCCGAGTAGTCGACACTGCCGGCCGACGATGTCGAGTTCTTGAGGTTCGGTAAGGAGAGGTTCGCTGGCGAGGTGAGAGAAAGCGAGAAGTGAACGAAATCGGAGCGGAAGCCGGCGAACGAGTCATCGACCTGCAGGGACGACGGTCAGCGGTCGGTTCGAGATGCATGACGAGCAGGGAGACGCACCTCGCCGTCCAGGCCGATGGCGGCAGACGTCTTCGTGTGGACCTCCCAGTGTGGACGGAAGTCGAACATCCGGCACTGCCGGTGGAAGGGCGCGAGTCCACAACATCCAGCCTTCTCGCAGCCCTTGTCGCGGCAGGAACGCTCGAGCACGACGCCCATGCCCCATCGAACGCCGTTGACGCACTTGGCGCAGATCTTGATCCAGTACGACGCCTCGTCCTCGTCGGCCGTGACGGTGCTCGCTGTGTCGTACTCGTCGCCGCCGACAGTCGAAGGGGCGTAGGTCGAGCCATCCGCGGGCGTCTCGCCGTCAGAGTCACGGGTCGAGAGGCCAGTCGCTGCGGTGTCGACGTATTCTCGCAGATTGGGTATGCCGAGTACGTACTCGTCGCTGAGAATCTGGAAAAACTCGCGGTCCGGGTTGTCGAGGCCGATGCGGAACTGGACGTCGCCCTTCCACGCCTTGGCGAAACCAGCGCCAAAGCCTGTAAGCGCGTATGGGTCACGCGAGCCCTTGAGGTGGAACAGGACGGCAGCCGCCTTGCCGGGAAACAGGAGCTGGACCCGCCAGTGAACCTGCAGGCGGATCTTGTCCCAGAAGCCTATACGTTCTGACGGGTCTGGAGACGCCTTCGAGAGAGTGTCGACGACTCGAGCGACATCCTGGATGGCCGGCTGGATCGAGTTGCCCCAGCCGATACGGGTAGGCTCCGAGGCGTGGATCTTGACGACCGGCATGGCGTACGTCTTGACAGGCATGGCGGAACGAGGCACGACAATCGTGTATGGGGCGCCCATTCCCTGGAAGACGTGCGCTGGAATGACGGCGCAGGGCACTCGCCGTACCGCCTCGGGACCGCTGACCTCTTCGGCGATGACCAAGTCGGACTCGCACTGCCAGCTCGGAACGTCGCGCCTGCCGCTGCGAGGGACGTGTAGGAGCGGGAGAGGGTAGTCGCGGATCTGGAAGCGGGCCTCCTCCATTGTCCACGAGAAATGCAGCGGGACGAGGAGGGTGAACCTGGTGTCGCGAGGGAGACCCTTGCCGACGTCGTGCAGAAAATCGTGCAGACCGTCTTCGCCGAACGAAGGCTTCGTGATGACGAAGCTGAGGCCGTGGAAGGTGGCGCGAGCGAGCGGCGCCGACCGGCTGACCGCGACGAGGTCGATGGGCAGGTTCGCAGTCGCTCTCGAAGAGCGATCCTTGGGACCGTATAGTCGACGAGCGAGGGTCTCCTCGCGGCGCGCCTGCTCTGCGGCGGCGTTGCGAATGCGCCGAACCCAGTGCGACGAGTTGTACGCAAGAAGGTCGCGCTGCGCCTCGTCGATGCCAATAGTGTGCCGAGCGTTGACCTTCGACTTTGCGCGAGACGCAAAGCGAGTGCCGGAGTCTTCGGTATCCGGGCCCTCATCTTCGTCGTTCCCGCCGTCTGCTTCGGCTCGTCGGATCGCCTCGACCTTGGCGTCGAAGGCCGCCTGCCGCTCAAGTCGCGAGTTCTGCTCGTCGGATCCGGCGCGCCAGATGATGTTGAGCTTCGTCTCGAACGGGTCGTCCTGCATCTCGACGGCGAAGAGCCCGACGCGAAGCTCGATCTGCGGCAGGCGCTTCGGTCCTTCGGGATGAGGCTCGATGATGAAGCCATGTCCACCCTTGACGTGCTCGTACACGAGCTGCTTCGTCGCCTTGACCAGGGAGGCGGCGTTGTCGACGATGCGGGAGAAGATGTAGCGAAAGGGAATGCGAAGGCGAGCCGTCTCCGAGCTGAGCGAGATGATGAACGGATGGTTGCCCTGGTTATCGGGCTCGGGTCGCAGACGGAACTGACTCCCTCGCAGGCGGATGATGTCCTCCCACTTGCCCGGCACCGTCGGGCTTTGCCCCGCCAGCATGGCCTTTTCCCAGTTGACGGCGAGACCGCTCGTCTTGTCAAAGCGCAGGTTGATCTTGCGCAAGTTGACGAACAGGTGCGTGTCGTGCGGGAGGGTCGGAAACATGTGGAGGTCGCCAATCTCGCCTTTGAGCTGGATCAGGGGAGAATGTCGTTTAGTAGTGACAGGCGCATCCCGGATGTCGCTGGAGGAGGCGTCAGTCGGAGGTGAGACGCTAGGTCGGAGGACACGCAATGAAGAGATGGCGACCAGGCAAAGGTAGATGCTGAAGAGCTCGAGGCGGAGGTTGATGGTTTCGGATGCAAACGAGACGATGAACTCGTCGATCGGCGAGGTGGCGGTGGCGTCTGACGGCGCCGCCCGCTGGCATCGCAATCGCACGGCGAGATGCGGCAGGACGATGAGGCCTTTGCCGAGCTCCTTCTCCTCGACAGTCGTGGTGGCCGACGGTGTGAAGCGTGGGGGTACAATGCTCTTCCGCCGTCCCGTCAAGTCGGCCAGGTCCGCCCGACCGCGCATCTCCCAGCCGTCGTCCCTTTCCTCGCCGTGACCATCCCCTCGTGCCTGCGCGTACCGCTTGCGGCCTCGGCTCGCTCGTGCGTCGACGACCGGGTCGACGCTGAGGTCGAGGATGCTGAACTTGGCGAGGGCGATGCGACTTGGCAGGTCAGAGCCGCCGAGCGCCTTTGGCGCTGGGTTCGCACACGCGTTCGCCTCGAGCCGGATGTCCTCAGTCAGCTCTAGCGCGCTTCGTTCGGCAAAGTTGCCGACCAACCCGGGTTCGTGCTCGCTTTGCAGCAAGTACTGGAGGACGACCGGTCCCGAATGCAGCGCGATGCCGCGGCAGGAGTGCGCGTCCGCCTTCGGGTCGGTCCCAGCGATGCGGAGGTCGAACGAGGCGAGAGCGATGTAAAGGTTTTGGTCGCTCGGCAAGATGTCGACGATTGGTGACGGGCCGTCGCGAGCGGAATCGGTGCGCTCGGCCTCCTTCTTCTGCTTGGTCGAGGTCGCGGAGGCAGTGGCGAACATGGTGATCAGGTCGCGCAGGCAGCCCATGACAATCGGCCGCCAAAGGTCGACCTCGATCGTCTCGAGAAGGATGCCATGCTCGCCTCGGCAGGTCGAGAGGTCGACGAAGGGAAGAGGCGCGTCCGCTCGGGCTCGAGTGGTCTCATCGCCGAGAAGAGTGACGGCCGAGTTCCACTCGAGCGGTCCGAAAGCGAGGATGTCGAGTCGGACCGGATCTGACGGCAGCATCGGCAGTCGAGCGTCTCGTTTCGTCCAGCCGCCGTTGCCCGCGCTCGAGTCGCTCGAGTAGCCGTTCTCGTGCGTGAGCGAGTCGGAACTGCTGGCGAGGATGTAGACGTTGAGGATGTCGGTACTGAGGGAAAAGCGAGTCCTGTACTCGAGGCCGAAGCGATCCTGTGAATGCGGAATCTTAATTAAATCGCGTTTCAGCATGCGAGTGGAACTTACCAGGTCCTTCGTCAGGTTTGGAATAGCCTTCAAGGGCTTCAGCTTGCGCTTGTGGTACTCCTGCGTCAACGGCGGAGGCGGCGGGACGCCAAACTCCTCCTCGAACGTCCTCGTTGGCCTCTCCTCGTGTCGACCCCGACTTGTGCTTCGTCCTCGGTCATCGCCCTCCCGCACTCTTCGCTCTTCATCCTCGTCTCCATCCTGCGCGCTCCGCCTCGACTTGGACGAGTTCCGACTCTCCTGCCTGCGGTGCTTCGCCGCCCTCCTCGCGGCCCTGCGATCCGACTCGCTCCGCCTGACACTCCGATCGACATACTCTCCTCCGAAGCTGACCTGCCCGTTGGGAAAGCTGAGGCAAAGCAGTTCGGGCGCGGACCAGTTGCGGAAGAAGGGGTCTGTTGGGTCGCCGTTCAGTGTGGGCGAGTCCAGCGGGTCGCGGTCTGCGGCGTGCGAGGTGCGAGGAGCTTGGATACGAAGCTCGACGCCGCCCATCATGGCTGTGCCGACGATTCGAGGCAGACCATGCACGAGGCGAGCCTTCTTCTCCGTCTCGTCCTGCTGGTGCGCCTCAAACCCGGCCCAAGTCGTGGGCGAAGACGGTCGCGACGGTGTAGCCTTCCTCGGTCGAGCCTTGATGATCCGCAATGCCGAATCGATCGTCTCGAACGGAGCATGTCCGCGTACCTCTCCGAGGAAGGCCTCGAGGACAACGACGGCATCGTTGTGGTTCTGCGGGATGTGCAAGCAGCAAGGACGAGGGGCGCAGTCGGTCGGCGGACAGGTCGAGCGGGAGAGGAAGGGAGGGTGCCAGGTCGAGGTGACGTCGAGGCGGGACGGACCGAACGAGAGCGCTTTCGAGGCGTCGAGGAGGACTTCCTCTGTGCAGTGGAGCGTGTTAGCCAGGAATTGGTGGAGAGATAAGTCGCCAACTTACCCTCACTCCCGTCCATCTTGATCCTCCCCTCGACTTCCCTCCACTCAGCTCCGACAATCCAAGCGACCTCCTCCCCTCTCCCAATCCACTCGCGATGGCCACCCCTAACCTCATCGCTCAGCCCGCCTAGCTTGACATCTGCCCTCACGTCGTGCACCGACAGAGCGAACGCGATCGTCTTCGGTAGAGGTGCGGCGGAGGACGTTGAGGGAGCGGAGAGTACGTGCGGGGGAGTGGTGTAGTGTGCTGAGATGACGAAGGCTGGGACGGAGAGGAGGAGCGAGTCGAGGTAGGCGAGCGGGGGAGGGCGAGGCGGTGTACACTCGTCTAGACGTTTCGGCGGCTGCTGTAGCGTCGGCTCCGGTTGCCGCGGTGCTGAGGGCTTCGCCGCCTTCCTCTGCGCCGCCAGCTCCGAGACAGTGTCCAACACCCGCTTCAACTCGTGAACCCTGACATGCACTCCTCCAGTCTGTTCCGCCTCTTCTCCCTCTCGCGCCGCCCGTCTCGTCTGCATTGAAGCCTTCCGTATCCGCCCCGCCAGTCCACCGCTAGTCGAGCCTCTCCTCGTCCGCTCGCGAGCCTGCGCGTCTTCCTGCGCTGGCTCGGCGCCGCCGAAGAGCACTTGCAGCTTGACCCCCCGTTCCTTCGGTGCCCAGCCTTCCCGCTGATGAGCGCTCGCCCGAAGGTGCTGCAGAGGCGCCTCGACGCGTACAACCAGCGGCGCACGCATCTCCAGCGCCGGGCACGGCTGCTTCCCCATCCCCTCCTCCTTCGTCGCAACCTCCGCAAACCTCACCTTGCTCAGCCTAACCCAAGCCTTGACTTGCTCTGCCCCCGCCGAGCGGAGAGCGATTTCCCCGCCTATGCAGAGCGTGCCGGAGAGGACGAGGGTGTCTTCGAGTGTGAGGGAAGTGATGTCGATGTGGAGGGCGAAGAGGACGAGGAGGGACGAGAGGCGGGAGAGGAGAGCTGAGAAGCGAGAGGGGTGAGGCGGAGGAGGGGGAGGTGGTCGTGGTGAGTCTCCTGGAGGAGGAGGCGGATCCCGCTTCTCCCGCGGCAGCACAAGCGCATCCTTCTTGACATCCACCGTGACGCCCTCACACCTGATCACAAACCACGCGCGATCCTTGTCCCTATCCGTCTGCGTCTCACCGACAACCCCCTGCCCCGCCCTCCTACCCCTCCACCGCACACACCTAACCTTCTCGACCCTGGCCGTGACACCATCCTTCTCCCAGCTTATCCCCGAGACGGACGAGAATGAGAAGCGGCCGATTCGGAGGTGGTGAGGGAGGACAAAGAGGCGGAGGAAGAGAGGGAGGACGAGTTGGAGAGTTAGGTAGGCGGCGATGAGGTAGACCACGAGGGTCGGGGTGAGGGTCACGAGGGTGGTGAGGGACATCATGGCGTTTGTTCTGTCGTCTCGACAGGCGCGGAGAGAGCTGGAGAGCGGCCGAACTGGAAAGTGGAGCTGTGGGAGCGAGACGGTGGGGTCAGCGGGCGCCGACAGCACGAGCGACCCGCACGGTTAGCGCCCCGTGATCCTTCGAAGTCACTCACTGAATCTCGAGTCTAGTTGCGCTCCATCGTCGCGCGCGAGAGCAGCGAGTTGTCCGACGAGGCAGGACGAGTGATCGAGGAGTTGAGGGTGCGCTCGGTCGCTCGGTGTGGCTCGAAGCGGCGTTGGCGCTGATGCTGAACCCGTAGCAAGCGAATCAGCTGGTCCAAGCCAGCGGAGGAGCGAGTCGAGCGAGAAGGAGCGGTCGAAGCGACGAGGCAAGCGGACGTCGTTGAGCGGGGACGAGCAAAAGTACGTTCAACGGGCTTGCAAGCAGCATGCAGTGGGACAGAACTAAGGAGTAGGCAGGAGCTCGCCGAATGACAAGCGAGAAGATCCAGTGTGCGGAAATTGTCGAGCGGTGTTGCCAGACCCTCGTCGATGAGGCTGGGAGTGCGAGGGGACGTGCAGGGGTAAGACGGAAGTGCAGGTGAGAGGGAATAGTACAAATTGCGGGCGAAGGTGGCGGGGAGACTGTACAAGATGGGCGAAAGAGCCGTTCCTTCCTTTCCACTCCTCCTCCTACTCGGTCGGTTCGGTGGTCGGTCGACGTGTGTGCGCGCTTAGAACCCGGCGGGGACGATGCCTTGCGGTGCTGCGCCTGCTTGAGGGGCGGGCTGGCCCGGGAAGGAGCCTGCGGGAGGGGCGCCGTACGGGTTCGCTCCGGGCTGCGAGGGGACGATAGGTGTCAATCACCGCTTGGTACGAGCATGCGGCTCTGGATTCCTCAGACGGCAGCCCTAGGTAATGTGCAAGAATGCGCAACGAGCCTGGGCAGCCTGAGCGGACCAGAGAGCGGAGGACGCACCTGCGCGGCAAACTCCTTCTCCTGCTGAACGATGGCTGCCTCTCCCTCGATGCTCAACAGCAGAGGCAAGCCGACGAGCAGCGCGCTGGTAGTGACGATCCACGCCGCGTTTCCCGCCTTTGCGACCGTCCAGCTGAGCCAGCCCTTGGTCGAGCTCGCCGCGTCCGAGATGGCCGCGCGAGTCGAGGGCGAGACGATGTCCTTCAGCGCAGCGATGCGCTCAGCGATCGTCTCTTGCGACGGGTCGTACGTGTCGAGCTGGAGGTCAGAGTCGGAGATGACAGAGTCGAGGTCGGAGCCGGCGTCGGACGAGGCGGACGACCAGGCGTCGTCGGAGACTTCGGTAACGCGGACCCTGCAGCGTCGTTCGAGCGCATCCAGCGGGCAGCAGAGCGTGTCGTGCGAGTGTGCGATGGCGGTGCGGGAAAGTTGGCGATGGCGAGCAGGGAGAGCGGGTCGGGCGAGTCGGGTGGTTCGAATGGGTCAGCGTGCATTCTGTCGAGTCTGTGAGCGTGCGCGTGCTCACATTGTGGCTATCGGCGAGGATGGGTGGATGAGGTTGGCGAGAGATGAGCGATGAGGAGGGGTCTATGGTCGATTACAAACTGAATACAACCGGGTTTGTATTGATGCACGATTACGAACTGATTACAACTCGCTCCCTATTCCCAAATACAACTCTCTCTCACCTTGACATCGCTCGTCTCTCGCTTCCACGCGATCGTGCTCGCCTGCTGAGCCTGCTGTGCTCCCGACTGGGCTTCAGGGTCGCACCCACCGCTGGACCGGCGCCCGCATGCAGAATGTCGAGCTGAAGGAACTCGCCTCGCTCACGCCAAAGTACCGCGCTCATCTCGTCAAGGGTGAGTTCGTGGGCATCGCTTGAAGATTAGGAGGTATCACGTATGAGCTCTCGAGGGCTGGGCGCGCGGATGAAGCTCTTGCGAGGCCCTGAGACGAGCGACATCGCGGGCACTCCTCGAGACCCCCTCAAGAACAGGCTTTGAAACCAACGCTAGACATACAAACGCTGACCCTGGCTCTTCGTCACACAGCGGGCTACCTCACAGCCGCCGAAGTCCTCCTCTCCTCGCCGAGCGCCCTCACCCAGCGCACGAAACTCCCGCCCGCCGAAGTCCTGCACCTTCTGTCCTCGATCTCGCACGCAGTGTGCTCGCTTCCTTCGACTGTCGACAAGAGCGTCGCGGAGATTGTCGAGGAGGAGGAAAGGAAAGGGCTCGGCGCGGTCTTTACGACCGGAGACGAAGGGGTGGACTTGCTTCTCGGCGGCGGCATTCGAGTGGGCAGCTTGACGGAGCTCGCGGGGCAATCGTACGTCACACCGAACCCTCTCCACGCTTCCGTGAGCTAACCGGGACGGTTGCACGGCAGCTCCTCCGGCAAGACTAACCTCTGCCTCCAGCTCTGCGTCACGGTGCAGCTGCCCCGCTCGCAAGGCGGACTAGGCGGCGGAGCGCTCCTCATCACCTCCGAAGGCAAAGTCCCTTCGACGCGGTTGTTCGAACTTGCCGAGCACTACTCCTCCCTCGACGGGACGGGCGAGACGAGTCGATCGGCCTGGGACTTTCTCGACAACATCCATACTGAGAAGGCGCCCGATATCGAGACCCTCTCCGCCGTCCTGTCGTACCACGCTCCCGCAACAATCGAGCGCGTCGCTTCCGCCTCCCGCTCTTCCTCTCCACCCTCCTCCGCTCCGCCTGGCACTTTCACCCATCCCACCGGCCGTTCTCCGCTCAAACTTCCCCTCCCGATCCGCCTCCTGATCCTCGACTCCATCGCGGCCCCCTTCCGTGCCGAAACGGAAACTGGCACGCTCGGGTTCGCCAACCGCGCGAAAGACTTTGCCCAGCTAGGGGATACGTTGAAGCGCTTGGCGAACGTGTATGGCGTTGCTGTGGTGGTGGTGAATCAGGTGACGGACGTTTGGGAGGGGAGGGGTGGGAGAGGAGTCAGACTTGGACCTGAAGCGTTTACGGGCGAGAATGGCGGAGGAAGCGGGACGGGATACCTGTCCCGCACGTCGACGACCGGCTCTACGCACACGACAACCTCGACCAGCTCCACACTCTCCTCAACCGGCCTCCCGCCTCCGCCTCACACGCAATACTCCTTCCCGCCTCTCCTCTACTCGCGCTTCCAATCCCCTCACTTCCTCGGCCCCTCGTCCTCGCTCTCTCACCCGTTCCTCCCCCTCCCATTCATCCCCTCCGGCCCACCAGTCTCCGCAGCCCTCGGGCACGCCTGGTCCAACATCCCCAATACTCGACTCTTGTGCCTCGTCAAGCGTGATTCCGGAGGTGTTGGCGCAGGGAGGACGAGGAGGTGTATGTGCGTTGTATGGAGCCCGTATGCGCCTAGGGGAGTCGTGGAGTATGAGGTTAGGCAGGGAGAGGGCGTGAAGAGTGTGGGAGAGGTGCGGGTTAGGGCGGTCGGGCGGCCGCCGGCTTGGATGCGAGACGAGGGTGATGTAAGTGCTGCTCGCGAAGGTGTGGGAGAGATGGACGTCGCGGAGGAAGAGGAGGACGGGTTGTGGGGGACGAACGGGACGCTCGATGCGCAGGTCGCGTGGGAAGCACTCGACCAGACGGCGAGGCAGGCGCAGGCGGAAGCTGGCGGGTCGAACGCGGTGGAGGACGTCGAGGTGACGGATCAGGCGGAGAAGGCAGATGTTGTTTCGTGAGTTGTCGTTGTGCCGGTTTTCCGTCTCGTTAGTTCCCCTGCTTGTCGTAATACTAGCCGCATCATCTCTCGCACGTTTTCGATGGACTGAAGAGGGAGTCGAAGCGGTACAAAGTGCAAGAGCGAGGAAGGACGAACTACCGAACATCGAAGGGATCGCAAAACGACAGTAAAACACCGAGAAGGAACGCTCTGTACACAACCCATGCACGCCTGCTCTATCCGCCCCGCTCACAGGATCACACACCCGCAGCATCCTCCTCCCTCATCACTATCCCGCCTCCTCGACCCCGTTCTCAAGTCCTTCCCATGCCCACCGTCGTCTCCCAGCCCGCCTCCGCCGCCTCCGTGGTGTCCGCCGCCGCCGGAGGAAGGATTTGCGCGCACGAGCATGGCGGCACGCGTGGCGGCTTCAAAGGTCTCGTCGACGCCTTCGTTGAGCAGGGCGGAGCATTCGTGGTAGGAACGGGCGCCGATGGATTGTGCCATCACTTGACCCTGTGCGCGTTTGACCAACATCAGCAATCAATCAGCTTGCCGAGGAGCCGCAGATTGAGGTTAGAGCAGTCCTGGCGCACCTGCTCGGTCGTGACGAACCTCCCCCTCTCGCCCGCTCCATCCCGCATCGCCTCGTCCCTCAAGTCCCTCTTGCAGCCAACAAGCAACACGGGGATGTTGGGACCACACAACTCGCGCACTTCCTCGATCCACTTGACCGAGACGTTCTCGAGAGAGTCGGGCGTGTCGATGGCGAAGGCGATGAGGATGACATGCGATTTCGAGTAGGACAGCGGGCGCAGGCGCTGCATCAGAGCGTGTTAGCCTGGGTAGACGATAAAAGAAGGGCGAGTTGAGGAACCTCGTAGTCTTCTTGACCCCTACGTGCGAAAGGAGGGTGAGTTCGTCGCGCATCTGGAAAAATGAAAGGACGCACGCAGTGTCCCACAAAGCCAGCTGTACTGCTTTGCCGTCAAGTCGGATCTCCGCGACAAAGTTGTCGAAGATGGCTGTGTGGGCAAGCGGTGAGTCTTCGTCTCCGTCCACTCAGACATGCAAGATAAACCCACTTGGTTCGTACTCGCGCGGGAACTCGCCCATCGCAAACACCGACAAGAGGGACGTCTTGCCGCATGCGCCGTCGCCGACAATGACGAGTTTGCGGCGGAACGCTCCGCCCTGTTCAGTCCGGTTCGTCGACAAGGGGGGATGGTCGACGGTGGAGGATGGTCGACGGCGGAGGTCATTGTAGAGATGAGGTTGACGGAAAGAAACCAAGCAGTGGCCGAATGGGTACGGGGAGAAAGGGATGAGGACGGACGGGAAGTCCGGGACGAGGAGGAGATTCGACGAATCAAGCGCAAGAGAGGGCGTGGGTGTGTTCAGTCATCGTCAACAAAGGTCAGATACCGTCGTAGGCATCGTTCGTGGTGCGTATGGCGAGCGAGGTCGTCGAGGGATGAGTTGCGAGAGGGGGGCGGTGCGGTGAGCGAAGGGTCGTCAGGCGAGGCGGGAGGGCGTGCAGGCAATCAAACAGCGTCAGCACACTCGACCAATCCACTTCGCGCCGTCCCGTACTGCGTTGTCCGTCCGCAAGCGAGTCCCAAAGGCGTCGGGGTGGGGGATGGAGCGTGCGGCGAGTGTGCGAGCTGAATGAACCGCTGCGACGCACAGGTTGGTAGCTCATGCTTTCTCAGCCAGTCTGTGCAGTCGAGCCAAGCGAACGAGCGAGCGAGATCAAGCGGACGAGGGCAACCAGCGTACTTCCGGGCGAGCCTCTCTCGCTTGGCAACCCGCGACTTCGCATGAGAAAGTGGCGTGAAAGAGTCACTGAGGAACTCGTGAATCGTCGTTACAAGAACAGCCAGGACACAGCCTCGTTCAATCCGCCGCATCAGACAACCTCATTCCGCAGCGCACTCTCCCTCTTCGGGCTCCAACGATGTTTCTGCAGTGTGTGCGCGTCCCGAACGACGGGTGGCGGTGCCGCGGTCGTCGAGGCGCGGACAAGCTTGTTAGGCTGGCGCGCGGAGGGAGGAGGAACGGGAGCGGGCTTGGGCGGGAGAGTCGGCGGGGCGGACGAGACTCGAGGCGGGACGGGCGCGGGCTGGAGCGGGACTGCCGACGACGGGCGGGGAGGGAAGGGCGGCGCAGGTCGTACGGGAAGAGTCGACGAAGCCACTCGGCCAGCGAGCGGCGTCGGTTCGGGCGCATTGGTGAAAGTCGTCCAGCGCGACGTGGGCCCTTGCTCCTCCTTGACCGGCGGCAGCGGCGCGCCTCCTCGCCGTCCTCCAAACTCCCTCTCAACTGTTTCCTGCGTCGGCCGCTCCATCCTCCTCACCTCCTTCACCTCCACTTCCCCGGCACTGGACCCAGGCACCTTCGCCCCCTCCTCCCACAACAGTCCCGTCTGACTCGTATGGCTCCATCTCTTCGACAGCGCCTTGTCGTCGAGAAAGTCGCGCGGGAAACCGTCGGGGTAGTCGCGCGAGTCGGCGTAGCGCGGGCTGTGCGCGAGACGCTTGACGAGGTAGATCACAGTGAGGATGGAGAAGACGACTGCGGGGCGGAGTGGTCAGTACGAGCAGAAGCGCGGAGAGACAGGGAAGGACCCACTGATACCGATGATGACCAGGATGCCGACCATGAAGAGGTGGTTCGAGGGAGAGAAGATGTTGCCGTTCGAGCTGTCTGACGCCAATGTAGCCGATGCGGACGGCGACGACGTTGCGCTCGAAGACTGCGAGGCGGGCGAGGCAGACGACTTGATCGCGGCTGACGAGGACGAGGCGCTTGCGCTCGAAGAGGCGGGAGCAGACGAGGGCAAGTCGGTGCTGCTAATCGGCGCCGCATCGGGCGTCGGCACGCTAGAAGACGCGACAGGACGGTTCTTGAGCGGCACGGCCGCGGCAGACGTAGTCGCTGCAGCCGGAAGAGGCATGTTGGCGCTCTGAACCGCTGGAGTCGCCACGACCGGCGCGGCGGGAAAAGGGTCGGCCGAGCTCGGCTGAGCGATGATGAAGGTCGGTGCCACTGCCTGAGCGGGCGTGTTGACTACCGCGGCGGTCGCAGCGACGGGCGCTACAACGGCGGGAGAGGCAACGACCGCCGGGGCGGCAACGTTGGGAACGACGACTTGGCGCTTGGCGAGGTGTCGCGACCAAGCGCGGCGCTCGTGTGCGTCGGCGAAAGGGAGGGTGTCGGCAGCGGGGTGGGCGGAGGGCGACGATGCGGGGGGAATGCCAGCCAATTTGGGGTTGAAGGTGGGTGCGGAGAGGGCGAGCGAACCGGCGCTGGCAAGGAGGAGGAAGGTGAGGAGGTCGCGATACATGGTGGATAGAGGTGTGAAGAGCGAATTGGGCGGAAGAAGGGAGCTGCGAGGGCGAAAAGGTCAGCAGGCAGGTAAGGCGAGGAGGGGAGAGGCCGGCGCACCGTCAAGCTCGGATGAACGCGTTCGCAGAACGTCGAAAAGAATGCGCAAGCGCTGTAGGAGAAAGCAGAATCCCGTCCTGCGGGGCACGAGTCGAAGAAAGCCGAAAGAGGGGACGAGGGGAGCGTCAAGCGAGAGCAGCTGGGAGCGAGTGAACGGTAGGAGCACAACGTGTGCCCGCTCGTTGCCTGTACGGTCAGATGCGTCGCCCAGGCCGAGCTTCGGGCATCACAGCGCGAGTTGAGCGAGATGGCGCGCCTTGAGGAGATGGCTTGACGAGGGAAAGACGGCGGTTGGCGGGTCAGGCGAGCTCGCCTTTTTGCCCAGCACGGTCAATACCATTACTGAAGCGTATGAACCTGCGTCGCCCGTCCCAGATTGGCGAGATGGTGAGTTTGCGACCAGGGTCGGGAGGAGAAGAAGATGAGGACAGGGACTGCGGTGTCGAGGCTCGCCGGTGGTGCTGAAGGTTTCTATGTGCCCTTCATGAGTCTAGCGAGCGGATGGAAGCCATTCACAGCACGTTGAGCGGGTCGCGCTGTGAGGTCGCGGCCAACCTCTCGCAGGCCCTCCCTTGCTCTCTTGCACGATACGACTGCCTCTCAGAATTGGCTCAGAGGCCTCGGAACAAGTGACGAAAGGCTTTCCTGTGCTCGCTCACCGGCTCCACAGCGACCGCACGTTCCTCTCGCTCCGCTTGAGACGGCACGGCTTGAATGCAGCAACAACCTACGCCAGCGACGAGTCTACTCGCCTCGCCTGATCCGGCCTCTCTGGCTTCTTCCGCTCCTTCAGCACTTTGGTCCAGAACTCCCGGTCACGCTCGCGAAGGTGTGTCGGGATGAGCGGTGGGAGGCGGAGCTTCGGAACGACCGGATTCTCCCTAGGAAGCGTGCCGAGGAGGTCACACAGGTGGTTGAAGTCTGCCTGAAAGGTAGCTCCGCTGTGCGTCCCCGCTGTCGGCCACGACGCGAACCCATGTATAACATTCAGCTCGGTGACCTGATGTCTGAGCACCACGGTGAGGCTGGTGAGGCGACGAAGCGGCGAGAATGGAAGGTTATCACCCCCGTATGCCTTCTCGTCCCAGTAGTCCCAGGGCCCGAAGTGGTAGTAGTCCAGGACAAGTGAGGTGAGGCTAGGCGCGACGAGCTGGCAAAGCCCGGAGAGATGCTTGTCTCGGACGCGGTGGTGCAGAGCTAGGTATGTGAGGGCAAGAGTGGGCAGACGGGTGGAGGAGCTGGTAAAGTCGAAGTCCCGAAGCGCGAGTGATTGTAGGCTTGGAAAGGGGAAGGGGTCTGCGCCGCTCGAGTATCGCCGTTGTCCACGCATGCCAATGCTGACCGCACATCTCCAATCCAGGTCCGTGAGCCTAGGCATCTTGCACGGAAGCTGGAGTTCGTGACAATACGCGACACAGGAGGAAGAGGATGGCGATTTGCCCTCGGGGCACAGCAAGGCGACGCGCACTGTGAGGTGCTGGATGTAGGGCGCGACAGCTGCAAGAGCCCGGTCCAAAAGGTTATAGTCCGTAGGCCACAGAACCGCGCTCGCTCGGCACGATCCGTGTGGCCCCCTAGCCTCGAAGCGGCGGACTAAGGCCGCAAGCCGCGTTGTTCTGCTCAGCATCGCTAAGCACGCCGCGCTGCCCCGCGTCAATGTCCAGAACGGCGATTCCCATCCGCCTCTATCGCTATAGAACGCCTCCAAGCAACTGTTACCTTCTTCGCGAGGCTGCTCGACATTGGCGAATTGCACCTCGATCCGCTCGTACAGCAGCCATCGTGCGCTCGCATGAAATCCCCTTGAGACCCGAACGAGGCGAGCGAGGGCGCAACGACGGTCGTCTGGTTCGAGGAAGCCAACGATATGCTCGACGAGTTCTGCCGGCAAAGCTTGCGATGGTGGGCGGGGCTTTGGGCGTTTCTGGCGTCGCGAGCGAGCCATAAGGCACAGCGGAAGGTCTGGAGAAAGCAAGGAGGGAGCGAGCGAAGGGGAGGCAGGAAAGGAAGTTGTCGGGGCGGGAACGCAAGCTGGACGAGACTGCGACTCCGTGACTCGGTTCGAGTGCGAATAGCGTGACTTCGCTTTCTCTCTCGAGGGCGGGTCATTCTCCTTTGCGCAGAGCTCGCACCTGATCCAGGACTTTTTGTCGACAAGCGCTTGGGAAGGTCGACCAAAAATCGCTTCTTCGCTACACCACGTAAAGACAGCGCTCATGGCGCCATACACTGCTCCTGCTCACACTGTCAACCAGTCTAGCTTCCTCGGCAACCTGCCCTCGTCCTTGTCACGCCCGGCGCGGCGTCCTCCAGGAGGAACGATCCTCGTATCGCGGCTTGACGCGACAGAGGGGCGGCAATAGAAGCTTCGGTACCACCGAATTAATCCTTAGGAGTGTGCCAATGCGTGCGCAAAGACAACGGAAGCCTGCCTTAAAGGGGGGGGGGAAGCGTGAGAAGTTGGCTCGCTGAAGTCCAGTCACAGCTTGTCAGCCAGCGGAACTATCTGGTTGCTGTTGTGTGTACGTGAGCGAATGAAAGGACTGCACGAAGGAGGATGGCGAAAGATTCCAACAGAAAGAGCGAGCCGGAGGGGTATCTACGAAAGTCGACGAGGGGGTCGTGAAGAGGAGTAAGATGGCGTGAAGATGTAGCACAACGGGTGAGTGAAAGGGAAGAGGTGCGGAGCAACAGGGATGGGATGATGCGAGGGAAGGGTACGGAGGGAAAGCGAGGTATGGAAGCTTGGGCGGCGGAGGCTCGTCGGCGGCGGCGATCAGGCATGCCACACGAAGCGGGAGACCGCCGCTGAAGAATTGTCGAGCGTACGACTGGCCTACCTCGCATAGCCGTCGTCTCCGCCCGCGTACAACGCATGCTGCTGGCCCTGCCTAACCCCAACCGGCGTTCCCTGCGCACTCCCCGCCTCCTGCTGCTGCAAATGATGATGCGGCGTCTGCCACCCTCCTCCGTTCCGCGGGTCCATCATGCTCGGATCGCGGTGGTGCGTGTAATTCTGCTGAGCGTACGGGTCGGAGTAGTCTGACTGCTGCTGCTGCGCGGCGGAGGCGGAGAGATGGCCGTGAGAGGCTTGGTGATGCAGCGTGCGATGAGGAGTGTGAGGGACGGAGTGGGAGTGGGAGAACGAGCGTTGGTGGTGGAGTGAAGGGTGGCCGGCGTCGTGTTGCTGCTGCTGCGGAAGCGGAGGAAGACCGTGCGAGTCGTGCGAGGGGTAGTACTGCGACGCATGCGAAGGGGCCATCGTCGAGGAAGGCTGGCGTTGCAAAGGCGGAGTCGGGGGAAAGAGGTCGAAGAGAACGTCGGGTCGGTCTCGGCTGTCGTCCCGGGAGAGAGGAGAACGGTCACGTACCGGCACCGTCGAATACAAGTCGTAATCGTATCCTCCTCCCCCTCCCTGCGCGCCAGACCCGCCTTGTCCGCCGCCCTGCCGCTGCTGGAGCTGCAACATGTCCGCTCGCTGCATCATCTCGGCATAGTCCTGCTGCTGTTGTTGCTGAAGCGAGTAGCTCCCGCCCGCGCCGCCGCTACGAGGCGGATAGCTCCCGCGCGGACCGTGAGGCGAGATCGGACTCGGGTCGAGGTACCCTCCTCCTCCTCCGCCCGACAACGGCGACGGCAACTGACCCATCTGCATTCCCGCGCTGTTGGGCGGGACCGGAAGCGTCGGGTCTGCCATCAACCCTTGAGGCGGAGTCGGGAGCGGAAGAGGCATAGGCGGCGGAGGCTGGATCGCAGCTGGACGAGCCTTGCCCGACACTCGGCGGTTCGTCGCGATAGGTCGGCCGGAACGCTGGCCCGTCTTGAGCGAGATTTGGCCGCCGTGGACGGACGAGTTGGCTTCGAAGTTGCCGGTGGACGAGGCGGTTGTCGGCTGGTACGCGGCCGAGAGGTTCGGAGGGCCGTCCTTCGCTTCCTGCGTCGACATCGCGGGTACGCATCAGCGACATGTCCACAGAGACACTCGCTGAGTGAGTATGAGACGCTCGACGCACCAGACACGCCGCGATGAGCTTCTGACCCGCCGAAAGCTGCCCGTTCTCGTCCTCCTTGACAAGCGGCTTGAACTTGTCTGTCGTGAAAGTGTAGACCCATCCGGACTCGGAGACCACAAGGAGCAAGACTTGGGTGCCGGTCAAGGTGGACAACTCGTAGGCCTGTCGCGAGCGAGAGAGTCAGCACCAGTCGTTCCGAGGAGGATCGAGGGCAACACACCTTCTTCATGATGCCGGCCTTGCGCTTCGAGAACGTAATGTGCCGCTTGCTCTTCTCCTCGATGTACTCGATCTGGATCTTCCTCCTCGCCTTGTCTTCGCCTCCCTCGGCCCCTCCCTCTCCCTCGCTCTTGCTCGTCGCAGCAGCCGCAACAGGCGGCGGTGGAGGCGGCGCACTCGCCTGCGCCTGCGCCTGCGCGGCAGACCGCAAGTCCCGAACCGACTTGCGCTTCTTCGGCCGGCCTTCGACTTGGCGCTCCTCGTCTTCTTCCTCGTCGTCTTCGAGATCGGATCCTCGGTCCGGGTCAAACGAGATGAACCCTCCTCCTCCGCCTGCGCCCGATGCAGCCGAGCGCGAACCAGGCGGAGGGACCGCGCCGCTCCTCAACCGCGTGACAGGTCCCCTCGCTCCCGCACTTCCACCGCTACTGCTCGACCCGCTATGGGTCCTCACCATCCCCTGGCCCGTCGCGAACGACCCCGACCCCGACCCACCAGGCTGACCGAGTCCCAGCCCGCCCATCCCAGACGGAGAGCCCGACGACCCTCCACTGCCCGAGGAAGTCGTGGCAGCTGGATCGATGCCGACCATCATTCCGTTCTCGAGCGCTGCATCGTCGAAATCGTGTGGGAAGGCAGGGAGGGGAGGGAAGTCGGTCGAGAGGTAGGCGGAGGGGTCGAAGGGTGCGGAGGGGGTTGTTGGTCGAGACGAGGTTGCGAGCGAGGGCGCTGCGAGGGTCGCCATGCAGTAGGTGCACTCCTGAGAGTCTTGGAAAGTGGTCGCGCGTGTCCACTAGCCCTGCGATGCGGAGTTGGCGGCGTGAGAGGGTTGTTTGGCGGGTGTTTGTTGGGCGAGCGACGAAGGGGTCCTGCTGGGTCGCGCGTGAAACGAGTGACGGGTGCAGCACAGTCCAAGCGAGTGTGTGGTGTCCTCTGACAGCAGTACGAGTACCAAGCGGAGACTTGCCGAAGCGAGGAGAGCGAGAGCAGCGACGAGGAGCTCACTCGCGTGGGATCACTCAACATCCGCACACCGCTCGCTTCCTTGCCTCGTTGGGTCAAGTCGCGCGGCTGTCTGGACTCTGGAGACGCAGGGAAGCACGGGCAAAGTCGAGCGAACGAACGGAAGCAGCTCCTCTCGTCCTCTTCCTCGTCTCGCGGCATCCGCGGACCGCATACACCCAAATCGACTGAGCAGGCTCGAGTTGCACTCGCGTCCTACGTCTGCGCCGCCTCAGCAAGCAGCACATACTCCCTCGTCGAAAAGGCAAACTTGAGGACTGTGCGAGTCACAACTATCGACATCAGCCTCGTCCGCCTCTTCAAGCGGGCTCGAGAGGAGAGAGGAAGAGCGAGTGTGAGACGCACCGTCACCGCTCCGCAACTCGTAGTACCGCGACGCAGGGATCGTCTCGTCATTGACCATCGTGCCGTTCGCCGAGTCGAGGTCGATGATGAACGGTCTGCGCAACACCATCTTCCGTCAGCTCGGAGAGCCAGAAAGAGAGGGTGGTAAAGTGAACGCACTTGGTCAGGCTCTTGGTGTCGCCAAACTCGTTCCGCTCGACGACTTGTCGGAATTGCAGGACGGCGTGTTGCTTCGAAGTCGAGGGGTGGTCGACGGGTATGTCGGCGACCTGCAAAGCGGACCCACGTTCGAATCAGCATCCGCCTGCTTGGTACAGCAAAGACGCTGAACGAGCGGAAAGGACGACGCACCACCCGGTCGCGGCCAATCAAGTACGCCGACTGTCGATGGACATGGAACAACTCTGCCCATCCCCACTTCGTCAGCGCTTACTCGAACCTGGAAGAGAGTATGAGGAGGACGCACCGACTTGCTCCTTGCCCTTGAAGACGTACAGCCGCCAGTTTCGAACGGGTTTCCTCGCCTCGGGCGGTTCGGCGTATTTGAGCACGACACCATTGAGGGTGCTGGACACGAGAAATGACAAGAATACACGCCTCCGTCAGCTGACAAGCCTAGAGACAAAGACTTGGAAGAGGGGACGCACTTAGTCTCCGCGGCCAACGCCCCGCTAGGCTTGAAATCCGGCTCGACCTGCTTCACCGGCTGCTTCACCACCTCCCCTCCTCCTCCGCGCTTTCCATACTCCATTTCCCCTCCTGATCCGCCAGGGACGAGCGCGCGTTGGTCGGGCAAAGCCTTGCCTTTCCCCCCTGCAGCTCCGGAACGAGGAGAGTCCTCTCGCTGCCGACGGGTCCAACCGCCGTCCCCACCGGCCGCCGCGTCCCTGTCCCGCTCTGCACCGCGAATAGGCGAGCGAGAGCGCGACCTCCTCCGTCCTCCGCCTGCTCCTCCTCCTCGTCGCTGGTCGTCACTCCGTCCACCTCGCCGGTCGTCGTAGCCTCCACCTCGCCGGTTGTCACGATCGTCGTAGCCGCCTCGTCGGTCGCGCTCGTCGTACCCTCCCCGTCTGGAGTCGCGGTCGCGGTCGTAAGATCGAGAGGGAGGGGAAGGCGAGCGTCGATGGGAAGAGGAAGGCCCAGCAGCAGTAGAAGAGGGGTAGCGGTCGCTCATCCTTCTTGTAGCACACTTGCAGGCGGCCTGAGAGGCTAAGAGCTGGTTTGAGCGAGGTGAGCGGAGTGGAGGAGGAAGAGAGAGGTTGAGGGAGGACCACTTCCTGGCATCGCTCAATTCGGCTCATTCGTGCGCTGGATGTCTGCTAGGATTGTTTGGACCGCTACTGGACTACTCTTACGCTGCCCGCTCGCCTGGTTGTCGCCGACGACTACCACGCTCGACGCTCATCAGTCGAAGGGCTCACAGGAACGACGACGCCTTAGGCCGGGCTGCTAGTGCGCGTCGAGCCTCGAGCAAACAGTTGGAGTGGGCAGGCCGAACGAACCGGCCGGAACCGGGGGAGGGAGGACCAGCGAGGCGGGCTCCATTCTCCTCCTCGACGGACGGGCTCTACACGGCTCATCACGGCAGCGCGACCTTCATCTCGTGCTCCATGATCTTCGACAACCCAACTCACCGCCTTACAGCTGGCGCACAGCCGAAGCCGGTGCCCTAGCAGCCTCAACTTTGCTCGTTCCTTACCACACTCGCATTTCCTGCTCTTCCGCTCGCTCGACGCTCTGCGGATCTTGACTCGCTTCGTGGAGACCTACATATCACCCTTCTCGACCTCCTCAATGTACTAGCGACGCTCCCCAAGCCTTGCGGCGGACGCAACGAACGTGCCGCGGCTTGCTCCTGCGTTCTTCTCGCTCGCCATCTCTCGTTCACTCGCTCGTCCCGGTCCGATGGCAGTCGCTCAAGCACTATATGATGGGTGTGTTTACGGCGGTCGCAGCTGGAGGGGGCCTCTGCAGACGGTGGATCAGGACCTTTGCTTTCTCGTCTCTTGCCCTCCTTCATCCACCCTCCTTTGCGGCGACTTCTCTCTCCCATTACCCAGCTACTGCATTTTCCCGACGGCACCCCTTTGCGGCAGGATACGTGTCCCTGGGTGGATGTGCCGAGTGTTCCGGCCGGCGGAACTGACCCGACTGACTGAGCGAGCGCGCACAAAGAGTGGGGGCGACTCTCTCGCTTCGTTGCGTTCTTCTGCTTCTTTCACACGAGTTGAGCAGCTCAGAGTGTTGCTCAGAGTACACTCGAGACTGCCCAGCACAGACCTGCGAAAGACCCGTGCTCGTCGCTCCTCTCCTTGACCTCCCCACATCCCATCGCACACACCTACTACTCTCAAACTCGCACCAGCGCCAAACGAGCCATTTCTACCACTCTCAACACTATCTTCTCGTCACTACCATGTCCCCCACCGCCCCCATCGAAGTCTACACCACCTCGAACGTCTTCCTCGACTCGCTCGTCGAAGCAGGCATCAAGCGCGCGTACGTCAACCTCGGGTCGGACCACCCTGCGCTCCTCGAGGCCTTTGCGCACAGGAAGAAGTATGGCTTGGACAGTCTCGAGATTGTGACGTGCCCGAATGAGGTGAGTCGGAGGTTTCTTTCGAGGAAGAGGAGGAGCGAACGGTCCTGGTCATCCGCTTCTTGCCTTGAGATGGGCCGCGCCGTCACGAGAACAACGTTGTCAATCTACATTTGCAGGAGCGAGTCCCTCAGCGACACCCGCTGACCCTTGGCCTCCCTCTCGCGCAGATGGTCGGACTCTCCGCTGCGCAAGGTTACGCCCAAGTGACCGGCAAGCCAGCCGCCGTGATCGTCCACGTCGACTGTGGCACGCAGGTCCGTCCCAATTCCCCCGCCCTCTCCCTCCCTTTCTCGCGTGAACTAACGAGAACCTCGTTCGAAACAGGCCCTCGCAGGCGCAGTCCACAACGTCTCGACTTGCCGCACCCCCGTACTCATTTACGCCGGTGCTTCACCCTACACGCAAGACGGCGAACTCGCAGGAAGCCGCAACGAGTTCATCCACTGGCTCCAAGTTCGTCTCCCCCTCTCTTTCCCTCAAGAAATTCCCGGGCTGATGCAGGGATGGGCAGAACGCAGTCGACCAGCCGCAGATCTTGAGGCAGTATATGCGCCATGTGGGCGAGATCCGCTCGCCGAAGAACACGAAGCAGGTCGTGAACCGCGCCTTGCAGTTCGCCAAGTCTGAGCCGATGGGTCCGTCTCCGCTTCCCTTACCCTCGTTCGTCGTATGTGGCTGACGGATAGTCTGAGAGGACAGGACCGGTGTATGTTTGGGGACAGCGAGAGGCGACGGAGGAACACATCGACCCGGCGAGCGTCCCCAAGGTCAGGAAGGACATCTGGTCTCCCGTCGAGCTCTCGCCTCTCAACGACTCGTGTGCGTTCCTCTTCCCCTCTAGGTACTCGTATGACCCGCTGAGCCGCAGCACCCGCAGCCGTCGCCCGCATCGGCGACGCCCTCCTGCGCGCCAAGAAACCCCTCATAATCACCTCCTACCTCGGCCGCAACCCCCTTGCCGTCACTGCTCTCACTCGCTTCGTCGACCTGACCGCGATCCCCGTCTTCCAGCCGACTCTCAGCACAGTCAACTTGCCTTTCGACCATCACTGTCATGTTGGAGTTGCGTTTGGGGGACGGTGGGAGGTCGTTGAGGAGGCGGATTGTATCCTGATCATTGATTCGGATGTGCCTTGGTGCGTCGCGGATCTCTCCGTGTCGAGATGAACCGCGGGCTGACCTTCTCGACATTCCTCAGGATCCCGCTCCACACCAAGCCCCGCGAGGATGCCGAGATGTACGCTCTCCCTTCCCTTCCTCTCTCATCACTACTGACGTCCCTCGCGTTGCTGCAGCTTCCACCTCGACGTCGACCCCCTCAAGGAACGCATGGCCTTCGCATCCTACCCCGCCCTCCTCCGCGCAAAAACCGACGCCGCAACCGCCCTTTCCCAACTCTCCCAGTACATCCAGTCCTCTCCCTCGTTCTCGTCCTCCAAATCCGCCATCGACGCCCGGCGTGCCGACCTAATCTCGAAGCACCAGAAAGCGACGGAGGACCTGATGAAGCTTGAGCAGGTGCCGAGCGATGGAGTGATGACTAGCTCGTTCATTGTTGGGATGTATAGGAGGGTTACGGAGGAGATGCGGATCGAGTCGCTCGTTTGTAACGAGGCGATCTCCAAGTGCGTCCATTTCTATGGCTCCTTTCCTTCTCGCCCTTCGTGCGGCGTGCTGACCGATTGCGTACCATCCTCTGCCGCATTCGCACCGCGCAGCTACCCCAAGTGAGTCTTCGCCTCTTCCGCCTCGCCTTCTCACGCGCGACCTCCGGCTAACCTTCCCTTCCCCTTCCCTCGCCTCGCAGCGTCTGGAACCACATCATCCCGAAGCGCGCCAACTCGCTCATCTCCTCCGGCGCCTCCTCGCTCGGCTGGGCCCTCGGAGCGGCGATCGGTGCCACGCAAGGCTCATACGACTTCCCCTCCCCCTCCTCTTCCGCAAAGAACGACCTCGTCACAGTCTTTGTGGGCGACGGGTCGTTCATCTTTGGTGTTCCGAGCGCGGCGTATTGGATGGCCAGGCGGTACGAGACGCCTTTCTTGACTGTCGTGTTCAACAACGGGTTGCGTCCACTCTCTCCTTCTCCTCTCCCTCGCCGTTCGTACTGATGGGAGACTGTGCGCAGCGGGTGGAAGTCCCCCAAACTCTCCCTCCTGGGCGTCCACCCCTCCGGACTCGGCGCTTCCGGCCGCACCTCGGACCTAAACGTCTCCTTCGGACCCTCGGACTCGCTCAACCCGGACTACGGCGCGATCGCCGCTGCAGCCGGCGGGGCATGGCACGAGAAGGTCTTGAAGGCGGGTGAGTTGGAGGAACAGATGAGGGAGGCGGTGAGGGTCGTCAGGGAGGAGAAGAGGTGCGCGGTGTTGGATTGCTGGTTGAGTAGGTTCTGAGGGCGTGCGTCAAAGGGCGAGGGTGAGGAGGGTGATCAGTATCGTTTCGTTTCGTTGTAAGGGACCTGTATGCGCTGCAAGGGACTTTGATCGTCGCCTCGAGCCGCGAGTCGAGAAAGGATCTTCCCGGGGATGCTCTCTCCTCGCACCACGAAGCTCCGGTCGTTTCGTTCGCTTTAATGCTGCATTGCGCTGCGCTAGTGAGGGCACTGCTCGGGAGAGAGAGAGAGTGGGAACGAGTGACGGGATGCGGGCGAGGTGTACAACAAGGACGGAGGGAGGGAGGGACGTCGTATCGAGTCGAGGAGGGAGGGTTGTCATACGTAATGGCGCAAGGACGGGGGGATCGTGAAAGGGGAAGTCGTAAAGGCCGACAGCGGAAATTCAAGGCGACCTCATCGGAGGGGAGTGAAGGTGTTGGAGTGGATCTGCTCGTACACCCACGCTTTGACAGCCGGCGGTCCTCCTCCCTCCATCATCAACCCGTCCGGGACCTGTTCCCTCTCGCAAGAATCAGCACCTGCCGCCTGCGAAACGAACCGCGGCATGCGAAGCAAATACGGGAGGGGAACGCACCTTGAGCAACCGCACGTCCGGGTTCGCGACTTCTGCCAACATATCCCGCACGTCGACCAGTTCAAAGTAGCCACCGCAGACCTGCGTGCAAGCACTCGAGGGTCAGTCAGTCAGTCCCGCTTCCGTCGGGAGTCGACGACGAGGGGTGAACGAGTGGCGGCCGCACCAGGAGGTCGACTTTGGGTATTTGTGCGTTCAAGACTACTCCACAGTCCTGTCGAACGCATGAGCGGGTCAGTCGGAGGAGTTGAGGCATTTGAGAATCGCTCGGGAGGAGAAGAGGGACGGACCAGGATGTCGGACACTCCTGCCACGACGCGTACGAGTCCTTCCTCGTTGATCATCTCCGCCAGCGCCGTTACTCCTGCACGAGCGCTCCCTCGTGGTCAGTCGCGGGCTTCATCAGTCGTCGGGGAGAGAGATGGGGGGGCCGCACTTGAGGGGTGTTGGCCGAGCAAGACTGCGCGGATAGGGTCGCCGTTCTTGGGGAAGAGTGGCTCGTCGTACTTGACTGAGGGATGCTGGGAGAGGTCCATCATGGTCGGGTGTTGGCGAGGGCGGTGGGTGGGAAGTGACCGCGCGAGAGAGAGAGAGAGAGCTGGCGAGGCGCGAGTTGGCCTGAGCGAGTTCGACTGACTCGGCCTATTAGTGTAGCTCTGTGTGCGAGTGCAAGCGACAGCAGTCGACAGGCGCAGGTGACTGTCGGGTGAAGCGAAGGCGGACGACGAGGATCTCGACCGCCGCAGCGCACCTCGCTCATCGACCAGCAGGAGGATCTACACGACGGGGCTCTACGACCCAGAGAACGTCACACAGACGAACAAGCGCACAGCAGAGTCGTCGTTGAGGAGGAGAGGCGTGCTGAGCGGAGTCCGGACAGGAGGTCGGTCCATCGAGCAATGTCAACCTCGTCGTCGCTGTACTGCTTCTTCTGTGTGTCAGTCGACGCCAAACGTCGTCAATAGCCTCACGGACGACGCACTGCAGTCGAGTGAGCCGCCCTGCGAGACCGCCTTGACACACTCCTTCTCCTCCTCATCCTGCTGCGCCGGCCTCTCACGACGCAGCCTGCTGGCCTTCTGTCGCCGCCCCTTCGCAGCCGACGTCGCGCTTGACGTCGCTTCCGGTGCTCTCGACGTGCATTCCAGCAAACTGCGCACGCGAGCGAGATTGATCGCGTCGTGCGTGCGCGCGGAACCCCGGCGCTCCCGGACGTGAAGCAATCCTCTCTCGCCGTCGCGCTCGTCCTCGTCGCTGGTTTCTCTCCCTGGCTTGCCTGTTCGCTCCTTCATACACGCACACTCGCTTGACTCGTCCCCCGACACTGCCTTCCTTCCTTCCTTCCTACCTCCTCGATCGCGTCCCAGACGCGCCCTCTTCTCTCGGCAAACAACCTCGTCAAAGATGCGCTTCACAGCGACCCTGCTCGCCTGCTCAGCGCTGTTCGCTCAACTCGGACACGCGCACGACGTGCGGGACCAGCAGGTGAGGCAGAAGCGACACCACGATGCGTCGGCGGCGGCCAAGATCGAGAAGCGGTATCCGCCTGGGCGCGAGACGTTCATCCCGACTACGACGCCCGCGTACGCTCTGAGTACCTCTTCGGCCACTCCCGCGGCGACAAAGACCTCGTCGACCTCGTCCGGAAGCCAGACGACTCCTCCGCCTGGACAGTACACGACGGGGACGACTCGCGCGCATGTTGCGGCGACGACGACGACGCCTACGACCTGCGCACCGCCTTACATCGCCACGAGCATGATTACGGGGACTGGGACGCTCCCGAAACCTACGACGTTCGTTACCAAGGTCTACCGCTCGAACCAGTTGACACTCAACGGGTCGCCGTTCACCATCGTCGGTCCCAGTGCGTTCGCTCTCACGCTCTTCTGTCTGCTACGCGCTGACTTTGCGCGCGACAGACATCTTCTGGCTGTGCCAGGTTCGTTCGCACCCTGCAGATCCGCCTCCTCCTCCCGCTGACTCCTCGTCTCGCAGGGCCAAGACTACGGACCCCTCGGCTCGTACACCGACAAGTCGATGGTGCGCGAAGCACTCGCCATCGCCGTCGCCATGGGCGCCAACACCGCGAGTTTCCCCTTTCCCTCCCCCTCCACCGACGATCTCCTCCCTGACCTTGCCCGTGAACAGATCCGCGCCCTCTCGTGCGGTATCTCCACCGGCACATACAACAACTTGAACCCCTACAACCTCGAACCGACGTTCAACAACTTCGACTCTGCTGCCGTGCGTCTTGGCTCCCTCTCTCTCTCCCGTTAATCCGCTGAATGTGCAAGCGAGCAGTGGGACATTCGCGACTATGTGCTGTATGCCGCGAGGGAGTACGGGCTGAGGGTGATCTTGACGCTGACGGATAACTAGTGAGCACCATCTCCGCTTTCCTCCCAATTTGGACGAGCTGACCCTCGCTTCTTCCACAGCGCTTACTACGTGCGCTCATCCCCTCGGTCTTTCGCGAGTCCTGCTGACCAGCTCGCGAGCGCAGCACGGAGGCAAGTACGACTTCCTGAACTGGCGCAAGGCGAGCCTCGCGAACAACGGCGCAGACTTTTACACCAACCGCGCCGTCATGTCCGCTTACAACGTGCGCTTGCTTTCTTTCCTCCCCGTAACACCAGAATGTGCGAAGCTGACGGGTTGAGAGGACAGACGTACATCACGAACTTTATCACGCACGTCAACTCGTACACTGGCGTTGCGTACTACAACGATCCGACGATCGTCGCCTGGGAGACGGGTAACGAGCTCGGCGGTGCGGTTGCCCTTCCTGCCTCTCTCTCTCCCCTCGAAACTCCGCTCACCGCCTCGACAACAGGCTACATCAACGCCGAAGTCTGGCCGCCTTACTCTTGGACCAAGTTCATCGTGCAGACTATCCGCAAGTACGACACGAAGCACTTGATCATTGATGGTGCGTTCCGACTTCGCTTCTCCTCATCGAGAAGGTTGAACTGACTCTTCCGTACGTCTTCGCAGGAACCAACGGCTTCTGGAACTGTGCGTTCTACTCACAAGGACCACGAGGAAGAACTTGTATCACCGAGCTCAGTCTGACCCTTCGATCGCAGACACCACCGGCGCGACTTCCGCCGGCCTCACCCTCTCCGGCGTCGACATCGTCACCGACCACGGCGTGCGCTTCCCATACTCTCACTCACCTCGTGACGGAGAGGACTGACGAGTTGATGAGCGACGCAGTACCCGCGCAACACGGGAATTATCAACAAGGAATTCTCGCTCGCCAAGCCTGCGCTCAAGAACTTCTTGATTGGTGCCTCCCTTTCCCATCCTCTACACCGACTCGAAAGCTGACCGGCGAGTCTGCGCGCAGGCGAGTTCGACTGGACAACGACTTACAGCTCGACGGACCTTGCGACGTACCTCAACTTGATCGAGTCGTGGAAGCCTCTGGTCGGCGAGTGCGTCTCTGCTTCTGTCATTAACATTTTCTGCGTGGGCATGTGGATTGGACGGGTCGTTGAGGGCTTGGGAGGCGATTTGCGGGCTTGGGAAGGTCGGAACGCTGACGCTTCTTTCTCTTTCGCTTTCCCTCCTTCTCCCTCGACGCCTCCTGGGTGCCTTTATCGCCCAACAGTCTCGCCTGGAACGTTCAGGGGCACGACCCGACATGCTGCCGATTCATCTCGCACAAGTACGCCCATCCGCGCCCAACCTCTCCTTGTTCTTCCTCCTTGAGCGCGGGATTGACCCGGGCTTGCTTCTACAGCGACGGGTACAGCATATACTACCCAAACGCGAATTCTGCAGGTGCGCAAAGCTTCTTCCTCGTCCCGCTAGCCGTCCAGCCAAGTTGACACCCTCTTCCTCGCTTCCCGCTTCTCGTTTGCAGCCGACCAAGCGAATATCCTCCTCCTGGCACAGCACTGGTACCGCATGACCAACCGCGCGCCTCCCGCCGCCCTCGTAGGCGTTGCCTGCCCCCAGCCCGTCTTTTAGACCGACGCGGCTGCTTCAGTCCTTCCGTTTCACGACATAGACATCCGTATTTCGCATTTCTCTCTCTCTCTCTTATCAGTCATTCCACTATGTGGTTCTGTTATAGACCCTGTCGGGACGGGCGACTCGCCAGGCAGACACGAGAGAGGAGAATAAGTTCAAGCCGGTGCATCCACGCTCGACGCGTACTGCACCCTCTCCTCCTCGACCTCCCGTACAAACTGCCACCAACTCGTCCCGAACCCTCTGCGGAACGTCGCCCGTTCAGCGGGTCCCGAGTCTTCGCCCCGCTCTTCGACCAGCACGTCCGCTCCCGCTTCTTTCGCCAGCTTGAGGAGCGCGTCTATCCGTCCGCCTGCAACCATCACGCCCGCATCTTCTTCCTCGTCACTATCAGGCTCCTGCATCTCCACCGCATCCACATCCCTCAACGTCCCCTCGATCCGCAAATGCTCCACCCCTCTCCACGCCCACCTAAACTCCCGGTTGCTGAACAGGCTCTCCAGCGTCGCCAAGAGCGAGTCAAGTGCTGCTGGGTACAGGGCGAGGTGGAGGAACGGTGGGGGCGAGCGGGTTGCCGAGTGCGTGAAGAGGGACGAACCGACGAGGGAGTGGTAGGCCGGGTCCCAGTAGAGGCCGTAGCAGCGCAGGGTGGGGAAGTCGAGAGGTGTAGTGTCGGTGTGAGGAGGGTAGAGGACCTCCTCGGCGGTGTGGTCGAGCGAGAGAGAGCGCAGTTGCGCGGCGACGGAGCGGACGAGTGAGCGGATCGTCGTGGGGGACTGGTCGTGTGAGCCGGTGTGTACGAGGAGGTGCTGGAGCGAGGGAAATGGACGATACGTCGAGTCGAAGGAGAAAGGGAGGAAGTCTCGTCGGAGGGAGCAGAGGCGCAAGTCGAGGCGGGTCAAGGAGGAGTAGGAGAGTAACGGGGGCAATTGATCGGCTGGCGGGTCGAGTGAGGGGTAGAAGAAGGATACAAGTGTGCATTGTCGAAGCGAAACGGACGCCAGGTCTGCGAAAGGAGCGTCAGCAAGCGATTCCCCCGAAGAAGAGGGAGAACGCACTCGGTCCTGCCGCAATCTCGTCCATCCGCAGCCGCTCCATATGCACCAATGCGAGCTCCTCTAGCCCCATGCAAGCTCGGACAGTCTGCACGAGCTCCTCTGGTTGCTCCTCGCCCCACAACTCGATGCTCATTCGCCGCAACAGCTTTCCTAAGCCCTGCTCACGCCGCGCAAGCAGCCTCGCCAGCGGCCGAAACTCCCTCGCATGGAACAAGTCCACCTCGGCATCCTCCAGCAATGCCTTCTGCGCAATCGGTCGCCAGTCGGAGCAGACGAGCGAAAGAGACTCGAGTTGGCGTTGGCGGCGTCGAGCGGCGAGAACGTCGTCTTCCTGGCCGGTTGGCTGAGCTGATAGCAGGACAATGTGTTCGACTACCTCTGGAGGCAAGCTAGAGAAGCCTGCGAGCGGTGTAGCCATGTTGCGGCGGAGTGAGAGAGCGAGAGGAGGGCCGATGACGGTTGGCGACTGACACGCTTGCTCACCGCGCTCGGGCGGCTCACTCGGCTGCTTGAGAGGTTAATCGGGGTCTTTAGTTGCAGCCGAACCGGTCACTGCGACCTGAACGGTGGAGGACGACCCTCTCCTCCCTCCTCCGTTTCTCATCACTCGACGGCCACGAATCGATGAGGACGCAGTGCGGGGACATGCGAGGGGTGGCAATGGAGCTATCGGCGTGCTAGGTACGACCGGGACTCAGCAGCAGGACCGCCGGACGGCTGCGCAGTCGACCTTGACCTCCTCCCTCCCGACTCCCGAGCGCTCGAACCTCTCGCTCTGGATCGTCGAGGCCATGCGAGCTCCGTGGCGTTCCCGAAGCTTGCGCACAGGCCGCTCATTGATCGCGCTATCGCCTCGTCGCTCGGAAGTCCAGCATCTCGCGGCATTCGCTCCTTCTTGCCTCTCTTCCATTCGTTCATTCCGCCTACTCACGCTCGCTTGTATCGCTCATTCTACACGCTACTTACCTGCTGTAGCCGACTAGCACCGCCGATTGCGCCTGCACGTTCCATTCGCCGCTCCTCTCGCCTCTCGCCCGAATCGCAAGGTCAGATGCGCGTTGGTCTCGTCGCCCTGCTAGCGAGCGCGACTGTGTTCGTCCAACTGGGACACGCGCACGAAGTTAGCCTGAGCGAACGGGCCGTCCGTCAGAGGCGACACCACGAGCTCGTCGCCGCAGGACAGACTCTCCGGCTCGAACGTCACGCCTCGACAACGACCAAGGCCTCGGCAACTACAAAGGCGGCGTCGAGCACGAAGCTGACCTCAAGCAGCAAGAGTGCTTCGCGCAGCAAGAGCTCTTCGGTTTCGAGCAAGGCCTCCTCGTCGAGCAAGACCTCCTCATCGAGCAAGAGTCCCTCCGTCACCAAGGCATCATCGACGAGCAAAGCGTCCACCACTACGACGAAAGCCTCCAGTACGTCGCAGACCAGCAGGTCCTCGTCTGTAACAAAAGTCCCGACCTCGCCTCCAACCACCGCCTCTGCGTCCGCCTCTTCTGGTTCGACTTCCGCTGCTACAACGACGAGCTCGACGACTACGACATGCGCACCGCTGTACACGGCGTCGAAAATGATCACGGGAACTGGGACGTTGCCGAAACCGTCGACTTTTGTCAAGAAGACGACCAACTCGAACAAGCTCACGCTAGACGGGTCGCCCTTCACCATCGTTGGCCCCAGTGCGTCACAGCGGCTGTCGTGCTCTGCTACTTACGCCTCTACTGACGCCTCGTCTCTCGCCAGACATCTTCTGGCTTTGCCAAGTCTGTCCCCCTTCTCGCGCCCCTGGCGCGGTGACCTGCTGACATCGGCCACTACAGGGTCAGGACTACGGACCTATCGGCAACTACACGGACAAGGCGATGGTTCGCGAAGCGCTTGCGATGGCAGTCGCGCTCGGCGCCAACACTGCAAGTCCTCCGCCAGCGCACGCACCTGAATTTCGACTGACCTCAGCTTTGCTGCAGATCCGGGCACTCTCTTGCGGCATCTCGACTGGCACCGCTGGCGGCACGAACCCGTACAGCCTCGAGCCGACTCGGGGCACCTTCAACAACGCCGCCGTGCGCTTCTTTCGCTTGGCTCGAAACGACTGCGTCGCTGACCTCTCGCAACAGTGGGATATCCGCGACTACGTTCTTTACGCTGCGAAGCAGTATGGCCTGCGCGTGATTCTCACGCTCACGGACAACTAGTGAGTCCTGGTCACCCTCTTCCCCCGACTCTTCCGCTGACGTTTTCCTCCTCCCAGCGCCTACTACGTGTGCTCGGTCTTCCGCCTGCGTTGGTTTGTATGCTGACCAAGGCCCCGCGCAGCATGGCGGCAAGTACGACTTCCTCAACTGGCGCAACGTGAGCACCGCGAACAAGGGTGCAGCGTTCTATACCAATAAGGCGGTCATTGGTGACTTTGAGGTGCGTTCCGCCTGCTCCACCGCGCCCGCCAGAGCAGACGCCAGCGCTCACTCTTCTCTTCCCGGGCACACTCAGACTTACATCACCAAATTCCTGACGCGTGTCAACTCGTACACTGGCGTCGCTTACAAGGACGATCCGACTATTATTGCATGGGAGACGGGAAACGAGCTCGGAGGTGCGCCAACCGCCTTCATTGCTTCGTTCCCTCGCTGACCTCGCTCGTCTCGCCAGGCTACATCAACGCCGAGGTCTGGCCGCCCGCATCGTGGACGACCGCTATCATCGCATGGATTCGCAAGTATGACACGAAGCACTTGATTATCGACGGTGAGTTGCGAGGTCTGCTGCTCCTCGAGAAGGTCGAGCTGACCTTACGACCCTTCGCAGGCACGAATGGCTTTTGGAACTGTGTGTCGTACGATTTGTACCTAATTCGCGCCGGCACTGAGCTCTGAAGCGCAGACACGACCGGCGCGACCTCGCCCGGCTTGAACATCTCAGGCGTAGACATCGTTTCGGATCACGGCGTGCGTCCCGCCATCGTTCGCTTCCTCGCAGGTTACTCTTGTTGACAAAGGATCGCCCGCCAGTACCCTCGCAATACCGGCATCATCACGAAGGAACTCGCACTCGCCAAAGCCGCTCGCAAGAGCTTCCTCATCGGTTCGTCACGGCACGTCGCGCGCAGCCTGACCCACGACTGACGCATGCTGTGCATAGGCGAGTACGACTGGACGACGCAGAGCTCAACCTCGCTCGCGACGTACCTCAAGTTGATCGAGTCTTGGAAACCTCTGGTCGGCGAGTAAGTGTCGTCGCATCTTCCGTGCTTCGAGCTGAGCGCTGACGAGCATCCTTCATTCCCCTAGCATGTTCTGGTCTCTGCAAGGACGTGACCCGCAGTGCTGCAACTTCATCAAGCATGGAGACGGCTACTCGTAAATCTCTTTCCTCCTCGTTATCGCGGGCCTCACTGAGCTCATAATTGACTCGTCCTCGCTTCCTCGCAGAATGTACTATCCCAACGGGGGTACAACTGGTCCGTCTCCATCGGCGTCGCTTCTGGGCGGCAGCCAGACTAACCGCTTCTTTCCGCAGCCGAAACCGCCAATATGCTGCTCGTCGCCCAGCATTGGTACCGCATGACGAACCGCACGCCGCCAACACAGCTCGTCGGCGTCACATGCCCGCAACCCGTCTTCTGAGTAGAGTTCCTCTCTCCTCGTTGTCCCTCCCCCTCACGATTTATCGAGCATGGCTCGCTAGTTACCCCAGTCAGTACCTGCTTTGCAACGCGTACCTAGTCCTATCGCGTCAATCACTTTCGTCTTCTTCCTTCTTAACCCGCCGCCGCTTTGATGCGAGCTTGTCCTCCTTCTTCGCCCCGCTCCTCGTCCGCTTCTTCGCCTTCGCCGGCTTCTCTTCGTCTTCCTCCTCCTTGACTTCATCGCCATCCTCTCGTTTGACGTCCTCCGCCTCGCTCTCCTCCTCCTCCTTCGGATGGCTCTTCAACCACTCCTTCTTCTCCTTCTCCCACTCCTTCCGCAAATCCGCATACCGTTCCCGACTCTTCACCCGCTCCCACACTTCTCGAAAGATGGCGGCGCTCGCAAGCTTGTCCTTCGCACCAGGGTGGTCGGACGGTTTGGGGAGGAGCGATCCGTCTTCGGCCGAGTACTTGCGTCCTCCGGCGCGGTTCGCGTAGCGCATCGAGCGAGTCATTCCCACTGTCGTCAACAAGCTGTAAGCCCAGAGGAAGCGTGAGAAAGAAGCGAAGGGGACGCACTCTGGATGAACTTCCTGGCCATGTCGCATCCCACAAAGTCTCCCTCATCCTCGAACCGCTGAAACTCCCTCTCGAGCCTCCTCGCGCTCTCCTCCGCAATCTCAGGCGTCTTGAACCTCCAAAGCGGCAGGAGGTAGCCCTTGTACGGCTCGAAAGTCAAGACGCCCTGTTCTCCTCGCCCGATCGAGTAGCGCAGGCGGGTTGCGAGGGGCGCGAGGGGTGAGGGACGCTGAATGGGTGGAGAGGGCGTGCGAGGGCGTTTGGGCATCGTTTGGAGAGGATGAGCGTTGAGAAGGTCAAGACGACGTCACCGCGAGGAGGAGGGAGTTGGCGGGAACGAGCTGGGGCAGGCTAGAACGATTCGCAGGCGTAGAGAGGCTGTTTCTAAGTGTCTGCAAGCGAGAACAGCGAGAAAATAAGCGAGTGAGGCGATGGGAAGAGGGAAACCCGCTCGAAGCCAACTTTCGACTCCTCGACCACGCTCACACCGCTCGGACTCGCTTGCAGAGCACGCAGACTGTTTGCTAGACCTTTCTGAGCCACCATGTGCGGCCGCTTTGCGCTCGGGCTGAGTGGAGGGGAGTTGGAGGAGGCGATCGCCAGGGATTACTTCCAGCCACCGGCACACCACCAGGGGGCGCGAGACCAGGATGGCGAGCAGCAGCAGGATGGAAACGAGGCAGACGAGCAGGAACAGGCTGGCGGAGCGGCGCAGGACGGGGAGGGAAGCGCTCCTCGCGATGAGGTGGGGAAGTCGACTCACCAGGACGCGCTTCACTGGAGCTCGTTCGAGGCGCAGAGCACTTTCAGGCCTCGCTACAACGTGCGTGTAGGCTCCCGAGCGCGTACCGGAGCTGTTGACGGACGGTACTTTCCCTCGACAGGTCGCGCCGACCACCCAAATCCCGGTTGTGAGGAGGACAAGGAAGGACAAGGAGACGTACGAGCTGGACCTGATGAAATGGGGACTCGTGCCGAGGTGCGCACAAATCGCTATGAGCGAAACTCCCGTCTTCCGTGTTGACCTTTGCCTCCTTCCCTCTTCTCCCAGCTGGTACTCGGAGCCTCCTTCCGCCGGTCTCTCTACGATCAACGCGCAATGCGAGTCCGTCTTCGAAGGCACGCCCGCTTGGCGTCAGCCGAGGCAGACGAAGCGGTGCCTCGTCGTCGCGCAGGGATTCTACGAGTGGCTCAACAAGCCTGGCATGAAGGAGAAGCAGCCGTACTTTGTCAAGCGCAAGGATGGCAAGCTGATGGCTTTTGGTGCGTCGGCCGTTGCGCGCTTCAGCTTGAAGACTGCTCGAAGCTGACCTTTGGCTGATGCGTCAACGCTCATCTGGCGCAGCGGGGCTTTGGGATCACTGCGAGTACGTTGACGCTCCCTACGTCAAGTGCATGAACTGACTTGCCTCGCCTTGACAGCTTCAATGGTGGGCGATCTCTGCGGAACTGCAGCACTCGGCTTCCTTACAGTGCGCTTGTCCTGACACCATCACCACGCGGGCGCAGGCAACTACGACCCCGTCACGAGCTGCACGATCCTCACCGTCCCCGTCAACAAGCAGCTCCGATTCGTAGGTCGAAACGGTCATTCTGCTCGTTTCGCGGCGCTGAGTTCTCGGCTCTTCCCCTTTCTACACCCCCGTCGCTCGTTCGCTTCTTCCATCTGCGCCTGCGCCCCTACTCGCCCAATGGCAGCTCCACACCCGCATGCCCGCCATCCTCCCCGACCACTCCGCCATCGCGCTCTGGCTCTCGCCCGAGGGCTGGTCCGACAAGCTCAAGAGCATCATCAAGCCCTTCGAGGGCGAGCTCGAGTACTATGCGGTCGACAGGGGCGTGGGGAAGGTGCAGAATGACAGTGCCGACTTTATCAAGGTGCGTCCGCGATTCGCCTTTCTTGTCGAGACAGTGCTGAGGTCATCTTTCGCAGCCCGTCGCACAGAAGAAGGGCTCGCTCGATTCGTTCTTTGCCAAACAAGCCGCCTCGTCTCCCTCGAAATTCACCGCCTCGACCTCGTCGCCGAAAAAGTCGTCCGTCTCTCCTCCCGCTCCGACCAAGAAGTCCGCTTCGCCACCCTCCGCCTCGTCCTTGCCGGTGAAGGGGATGAGCAATGCGAGCACAAAGAAGGAGGAGGACGAGGAGGCGTTGGACCCGGACGAGGCGGACTCGGCGAAGCTCGCCAAGATCGAGGAGGACGTGAAGAGCGAGGAGGAGGCGAAGCCTGCGACGGCTGGGAAGGGCAAGGGGAAGAAGCGCGCGAAGCCGGAGTCTGGGTCGGAAGGCGAGAAGGTCGAGGTGCTCGACCTGTGCGAGTCGGACGGAGGAAAGGACGAGGACAAGCCGTCGCCGGCCAAGAAGAAGAAGAAGACGGCGGAGAAGCGGAAGGAGGAGAAACAGACGGACGGGAAGGGGACTGAGGAGCTGACGAACTTCTTCCCCGTCGTCGAGTGATGCGCCGAAGGAGGACGGAATCGCTTGCATGGTCTCTCTGGCTCGTTGGCCGCGCCGTAGTCCCTTGTTGTTGTGCATAGCAGAAGCTTGCCTCGCGTATGATCCGCAGCAGCAGCGAAAGCGTTGTTCATTCCCCGTCTTCGCCGCTCCTCTCCTCTACTGCGCCGCCTGACTCGCCTGACTCGTCGCTCGAGTCATCCTCGTCGCTACTCTCCCCCACTGTTTGACGTAGCTGGTAGATCGCGTTGAGCATCCTCCGCGTCGTCCCCTCCAATCCCTGTCCCTCAAGAATCTCGCGCACCATCGCCTCCTCGTCGCTATCGAGCTCCTCGTCCTCCTCGTCGCCGCTCTCACTCTCCGAGTCCCCGGCAAACCTCATCCCCTCCTCGTCCCACAGTGCCTCCTCCCCTTCCCCCTCGACCAATCCATCAAAGTACTCCAACACGCTCACATCTTCCTCGCGCAGGCGGACCTCGCGTTGCGCGGGAGTCTCGCCGGCTTGGAGGGCGGCGTCGAGTGCTGGGTCGGGTGGGCCGAAGAGGCCTGGGTGGGTGTAGTGAGAGGCGGGAGAGCGAGGGGTGAAGGACCAGGAGGGAGGCGGAGGGGGTTGAGGAGGAGCGGAGACGGTCGAGGCGGTTGTCGATTCGGATGTGGGCGCAGGTGCGGTAAGGAGACCGGTAGTTGGAGCAGAGTGACGGACGATGACTTTCTCAACGCCCGAGGTGTAGAGAAGCGGGAGGTTCGGGTGGAAGAGCGCGGTATTGACGATCGAGCGGTGACCAGTGAGGATAGACGAGGCGGGAGAGATCGAAGCTGGTCGCAAAAACGGCGCACTGTCATCTTTTCGGAAGACTGCATGAGCGAGAGCTAGTGTCAGCCTGTGTAAGAGAAACGAGGGCATCAGTCGATCGCACCGATGTCGCCCGTCTGCAGCTGATCCTTCTCGACCTTGCACCTCTGCTCTCTCAACGCCTCCAGGCTTGGCACCTTCCACACATAAGCCCTGAAGTCGTCCGAGCCCGCAGCGTACAACAATCCTTCTCCTGGTGCTGCGCCGACCGGTCCACCGAATGAGCCGTGCTTCGTAGTCGTGGTGTTGCGATAGCCGTGAGGAAAGGAGAGGGCGGTGTGGCGTTTGATGGGTGGGGGAGATGAGGGGCGAGCGGGAGGAGCGGAGTCTGGCGGGCCGGGCGAGGAGAAGGTCGCGAGAGGAGAAGGGTCGTTGAGCTCGTAGAGGGTCGGAAGATGACCGGACAATGTGGCGCAAATGACCGAGCCCGATGGAGAGAAGACGGCAGACGAGACGCCGGGATAAGCGGATCGAAGAGGGTCGGAGGCGGTCTTGCGGCGCGTGATGCGTGCTTCGTACTGCACGACCGCGACATCTCGTGCGAGGTTGATGCGCGCGGCAGGAATCGAGGTGGGATCTCGCCAGGCTGTCCTCGCATCGAGCAAGCCCATCTGCCCATCGTCTCCTGCGTAGACCATGAGCTCGGGTTGGAGCGGGTGATAGGCGATGTCGTTCATTCCGCATCGATCTGGTAGTATGCTGACGGGGTCAGGCGAGCGAGCATCGTGACTTCGCAGGGTACCGTCGGCGGAAGCGGCGAGGAAGAGGTGAGGATTAGTTGGGTGCGCGGCGAGACCCATGATCGAGTCGTCGTGGTCGAACCAGCCGTCGCACGGAGGGATGCCGGAGTGCAGAGGGGAAGGGAAGACCTGCCGCGTCGTCTCGAGGTCGTACTCGAGGATGGACGAGTCGTTTCCGGCGGCGAAGATCCGTTGGCCGTCGCAGGAGAACGCGATCGCGAAGAGGTTGCTCTGAGCTCCGACATACGATGCAACTGGCTCTGCCGCGACTCCCGCACCCTGATCCTCCGCTGTCGTGTCCCACAGCAGGATTCTCCGGTCGTCTCCTCCGCTTGCGAGCCAGCGTCCGCCTTCTGCCGGCCCAATTGCGAGCGCGTTGACACAGCTATGGTGCGCTCGATACGCCGTCTGTCGAGAAAGGTCTGTCTGCCAGAGAGACGAGGTGAAGTCGCTTCGAAGAGACTGAGCCGGGCGAGATGGGTTGGCGAGAGCGAGGTCGATCGGCAGAGCCCGTTTCCTCGGCGTGGCGGTCATGCTAGGATGCTCCACAAGCAGTACAGCAGGTTGATCAGCCCGTTGAGCGGTGTTGGCACGGTGGAAAGTAAGGGGTCGAGAGGAAACTGATGAGAACGGGTTGAACGGCGACGACACTCTGCTCGACCCGCTGGAGAGCCATGTGCATCGTGTTCTGGTCTGATACACCGATCTACAGCCTGTGCGTACCGGTTCACCCGCTCAGACGCTCCCTGGACCGACTGACATCGACTCGTTCCCCACCTCGCAGAGTTGTCGCCTCGAATCGCGACGAGTTCCTTGCGAGACCGACGACAGACGCAGCGTGGCACTCCTGGGACCCCCGTGCGCTTGCCGACGAGCCCGACGAGCGACGACGGACGCTGGCTGGCCTCGACTTGAATGCCGGAGGGACATGGTTCGGGATCTCGCTCGCGCCTGAGGACGGACCTGGCACGGGGCACGGACGACGGATGCACTTTGCGACGCTCACCAACTTCACCGAGGAGATCCCGCCCGGAACGAGGCCGTCTCGAGGCCAGCTTACCCGCGACTTTCTCGACCGCATCTCGTCCTCCTCTGCCTCCGAGTCTACCCTTGAAGACTACCTCGCCATCGTCGAGAAGCAGAAGCAGGATTACGCCGGCTTCAACCTCGTCGTCGGCGAAATCAGCCGCCCTCCTCCCGCCGATTCTGCGTCTCGAGAAACCCAAGTCCACCTCGCCTACATCTCGAACCGCGAGAACCCGCGCAAACGAGCTCGTGTGCTCCCTCCGCTACCGCATGCAGGCGCTGGGGTCGTAGCCGGCTCCGACGGTTCGAAGCGGGTGCGGGCGGTGAGCAATGCGACTCTCGAGGTCGAAGATGGAGAGGAGGAGTGGCCAAAGGTCAAGGGCGGGGCAGCGGCACTCGAGCAGGTGCTACAGGATGTCGAGCGGGATGGGCTGTCTAAGGAGGAGCAGGAGAAGGAGCTGGTGGAAGGAATGTATCGGGTACTAAGGTGGGTCTCTCCTTCTTTCGCTGCAGTCTCTTTCCTCAACTTACAGGTTTTCCCGGTCTCAGCACCGCACATCCGTCGCCCATACTACACCGCACCCATCTCCGCCATACCGTCCTCGTCCGCCCTCTCGCCCTCGACCCCTCCGCACCTCTCCCCGCCATCCCTCCTCCCTTTCCCTCCACCTCTCCCTCCCCGTCGCCTCTATCGCCCGACTCGACAAAACGAGAAGGAGAAGACGGCGTCCATTGGTACGCGACGAGGGTGCAGACGTTGTTGCTTGTTGAGCGCGAGACGGGACGGGTGGTCGTGAGGGAGAGAGAGGCGTATGTGCTTGATGAGGAAGGACGGCCAAAGTGGAGCGGGAAGGAGAGGGCGTTCGAGTTTGTGCTGTAGACGAGGAGGAGCGACCGCGTTTGCGCGGCTTGCACCGAAGCGGAGTCCTCGACCTCCTGTAAGGTCCCTCTGTGCGTGCGTCGTTCGGTGAGATTGCTGGAACTTCAGGACTGCTCTGTGCTACAGGAACTAGTATGCTGAGAAGCGAGGCAAGCGGCGTGTGGAAAGTAGGTACAGGTAGGTAAGCGGTGAATCTCCTTCCTTCCTCCTCGACAGCGACGACTGCTCAAACAACCAAGTCGAACGCCTCGCTCTTCCATCCCTCGCGCCTCGCCTCCTCCCTCTGGCGCCTCTTGGCAATCTTCCTCGCCTTCCTCGACTCCTCGTCAACCGCCTCTCCCACACTCGCCTCGACCTCGTATCCAACCTGCTCGACGTTGTCCACGCTCGCGCCCGCCTCGCGCGCAGCACCGATAAGCTCCGCGCGACCCTCCTCGAGGAGACGCTCGACCGAGTGCTTGCGGGAAGTGATGTCCTCGCCCTTGCGCTGCAAGGCGGTGCGCTTGCCAGGCAACAACTCGTCCTCGATACCGACTTGGAGGACCCACTCGCCGTGCGGTCCGACCTTGCGGATTCCCGTGTTGGTCACCTCGTCGACGAGTGAGGAGGACGAGCCCGAGGTGTTGAGGATACCGCGGATGTAGGCGAGAGGGTCCGAAGCGGCACCCGCTGCGCCGGCGGACTTGACTTGGAGGAGGAAGAACTGGCGGTCCATCTCCTTGAAGGCGACCGCGATCTGCTCCTCGAGCTGCGAAAGGCGGACGTTGCGAAGGTCAGCGACGGGACGAGGAGACAGCTGAGCAGGACGGCTACGCACAACCTCCTTGACCTTGACCTCCATGAACGCCCTGACAGCTCCACGCGCGAACCAGTTACGGATCGGGTGGCTCGACTGCCTGATGCCGATGTTGAAGTTCTCGAGCGAGACGTCGACCTTCTCGAGCTTGAAGAACGACTCGCGGTCCTCCTCGGTCGCGTTCGAGACAGTGAGCGTCGCATCGAGTCCGTCGTCGGCCTTGGGGTCGTCGGGGTTGCCGATGTAGATGTCGAGGAGACCTGCGCCGCGCTCGTCCGTTAGCAACGGTCGACTCACTTTGCAAGAAGGGGCACGCACCGCTGTCTTCGAGACCGAGCCAGTGGCGCTTGATCGAGATGTAGTACGAGATGTTGGTGGCCTTCATGCGGAGACCAGCGAACGCAAGCGTCGTCTTGGCCGAGAACTCGGAGGCGTAAGCCGCGTAGCCCTTCTTCGTCTCGAACTCGACGTTCGACTTGAAGCGCGCGGCGTCGGGGATGAACGAGGCGCTGCGCCAAGAGCGAGGTCAGCGCAAGGGTGAGGAGAAAAAGTCGAGGAGTGGACGCACGCCTCGAACTTGATGTTGTCGACGATGAGGTCGACGTCCTCGCTCGAGAATTCGACGCGAGGGAGGGGGACCATCTGGACTGCGCCGAGGAGACGCGGCAAGAACACGGTCGAGATATCCTGCCAGAGCGCTCCGCCGTCAATCCCGACGAGGTTGTATCCGGTCTTGGCGAAGACGGCGATCGAGTCGCCGAGGTCTTCGAAGGCGTCGCCGAGGGCGATGAGCGCGCGGTCGTTGGCGGCGTTGTCGAGGAGCTTCTGGACTTCCGAGATGAAGGCGTTCGCGTCGCGCTTCCAGTCGGCGTTGCTGTCGACGATCGCGCGGGAGCGGTCGTAGATCGCCTCGAAGCGGCGGCTGGCCTGCGCACGGACGTTGAGAGTCAGCTCCAAAGTCCGTGACCAAGCTGGAACGACCGCGGACACACCTTCTGGCTCGTGAGGTAGCCGGGGTCGTTGATCGAGCGGTCAACAAGGACCTCAAACTCCTTCCAAACCTGCTGGATCCTCTCGTCGTTCTTGAGGTCATTGTACAGCGCGTCGGTCGCGCGGAGAGCGGGGTCCAAGTTGCCGGTAAAGCTCTCGATGATCTGGCGCAAGAGGGAGACGGCGTCCTTGGCTTCTTCGTTGGCCTCGGCGTCGACGTTCTTGAGCTTGGCCGTCGAGGCTTCCGCTGCGTGCTGGAGCTCATCCTTTGCGAGGTCGAAGTACTTGCGCGTCAAGTCCGAGAGGGTGTTGACCGCGTCCTGGTACTCGGGCTTGCTCTGCGCGATCGGAACAGCACACATTCACTACAGCTCTGAAGTAGTCCAGATGCGAGCGGAAGCACGGCGAGCGGACGCACCTGGATCTCGTTGACGATGGCCCTCCAGCGCTCGATGACGGCGTCCTTGACGTCGGTCGGGAGCTTCTCCTCGGCGTACTCCTTGAGCTGCGGGACACCTTTCTAAACATCAGTCTCTGCCGAATCCGAGGGAAGCGGACTGAAGGACGAAAGCGAGACCCACCGCACGGCCCTTCTTGACGCCCTTCTTGAGGAGCTCGTCGCGCTTGTCCTCGGCGCCGCGCTTGATGCTCTTCCTGATGTCCTGTCCGCGAGCGATGACGTCCTCCCAGTGGTCGTCGTCCTTGACGAGGCCCGTCTCGTGGCGCTCCTTCTGCTCGTCGCTCGGGCGGACCTGCTTCGCAGCCTTCTTGCTCGCGCGGGTCGCAGCGATCGTTCCCTCGGCAAACTCTTCGGCGGCGTCGGCAAAGAGGTCGCGGAAGAGGTTGAGCGAGTCGGCGAGGAGGTTGCGGAGCTCGTTCGAGGTGAGGAGGAGCGAGAGGAGTTCGTGGAGCGACTTGCCGGCCTCCTTCAACTCGCTCGCGGAGGGGACGGGCGGCTTGGGCACTTCGAGCTTGACGTCTGCGTCGACGTCGACGTCGATGTCGGCGTTGCGGGCCTCCCAGATGAAGCTGCGAAGCAAGGAGATCCGATGAGCCCGTGCGATCTGGCGGGTGAAGGAGCGGGATGGGAACGCACCGCTGGATCTTGTCGTCGTCGTTCTTCTCGAGGACGAGCCTGGCGATGGCCTCGAGGACCCTGCGCTCGTTGACGACGACGTCCCTGCCCTTCCTGCTCAACTTGCCTCCTCCGACCTTCTTCGCTGCCATTCCACCGATCTCTGGCTGCAAGAGTGACGATGCGAGGATCTTGCGGATTCCGCGGACGAGCTGGTCGCTGGTGGGCATCTTGCCTGCCTTGAGTGCGCCATAGGCATGGGCGAGTGCGCTGAGGGAGAGGTCTGCCTGCTCTGCGTCGTCGCGGGAGAGGAGGGGGACGCGCGAGAGAGTGTCTGCCATTGTAGTCTGTTGTTAATGAGTTGTAAGAGAGAGAGGAAGAGAACGAGAGAGTTGGTCGTCGTTTCCCCTTGCTGATGCTTGTGGGGCTCGAGGTGACATCACCCTCAGATCGTGACAAGCTGCAAAGGGCTCTCTCCTGCGCAGTGCGGTGCAGCATCAAGTTTCGTAAGAGTCGCTCGCAAAGCAATCCAAGCGACAGTATCGACGTACGGAGCAGTGAGGAGAGGCGAGGAGGAGGAGACAGAGTTGCGATTTGACCGTACCGCAAGGGCTGAGCACATTCTGCGACTCTCGATACTTGCTTCGCTTGTCAAACGACGAGGATGTACGCTCACAGCACCCGGACGACGCGAGGAAGCAGTCGGCGAGGAGGAGAAAGGTGTCCAAGTTGGCCTTCTCAAGCGGGAGAGGCGCCTTCGCTGCTCGTCCTTCAACACTGCTGATGAGGCTGGACGGACTGGTATCGACGTTGAAGAACGTCTAGCGGCCAATACAGCTCGTCCGACCGGTCCCTGTGCCGTGTGACCCGCCAAACTCGCCCTCGACCTCTCCTTTCTCCTCCTCTTCACCCGCTTCACACCTCACAGCGATGCAGCCCCTCAAGACCTCCGGACTCGTCTAACAAGACGACGGCAGGATCCCCATTCCCGATTCTCCAGCCACCGAGTCCCTACTCTCGCCGTTGACAGAGCCGCTCTTCTCCCCGACCTCTGCAGGTGGCGGAGACACGCCTCGCGCTTCGGAGGGCCTGTTGCTTGGTACGGAGGACTGGGAGGAGTTTCTAGGACGCTTTGGAGGACTCGGCTTGCCTCGCGAGGAGGAGGCAGCGCCGGAGCAGTCGAGGATGAGCAAGACGGGCGGACCTGGCCAACCGCACGCCCGTTTGCACCGTCCTCCGGCGCCTCTCCGACCTCTCTCGCGCCCTCTCCAACCTACGACCTTGTCTCCCTCTCCCCCTCGCAAACGCTCTCCTCGCCCTCCGCCTCCCCCCGCTCATCCTCGTCCTAAACCTCAACCACACCTTCCTTCACCGCTCCTCACACACGACAAAAGGCTCGAAGCGGCCGACTTACAGGCCTCACTTGTCGACGTTCCTTGAGTGGGTTTGTCTGGCGAACCAGGAGGAGGAAGGGAAGGGGAGGAGGAGGATCGAGGTTGTTGTTTACACGGCTACGAGGGCGCACAACGCGCGTACGTTGCTCGAAGGGATGAGTCTCATTTCCTCTCCCTTCGCCTCTCTCACCTCCGACCCCAAGCCCAAATCGTTCATCAACCTCCTCCTCTCGCGCGAAGACTTCGACCTCTCCGCCTCGGACTACAACAGCGATATCGACACGATCAAGGACCTGAGTCGCGTGTGGAGGAAGATGGGGATCAGCGAGGAGGAGGGAGCAAGGAGGACGGTGTTGCTTTGCGACGACGAGGGGGATGCGGTGCGTTCCCTCGCTCTCGCTGTCATCTCTTCTTTTCTTGAGGAGTGGTAGGACTGATGCGACGGGGAGATGCCGGCAGGTCCTCCAACCCCACTCGCACCTCCCCATTCCTCCCTTCGTCCCCTCCCTCTCGCTCTCCACCGACTCCTCCCTCCTCCGTACAATCTCCGCCCTCGAACTCCTCTCGCACGAAAGCAACGTCGCTGCGTTCATTCGCTCGGGTGGGCTGGAGGAGGTGAGGCAGGAGGAGGGGAGGAGGGAGTGTGAGGAGGCGAGTGTTGAGGTGAGGAGTGGGTTCGATGCGGAGTGGTGGAGGAGAGTGGCGCGAGGAGAGGAGGCGTGAGGACTCGGGAAATGGGAAAGGCGGGGAAACACTTGATCGCTTGAAGCGAGGTTGGGAGGAAGACGCTTGATCGCTTGAAAGGAGACACGCATGCATCTGGAATCGCTTCAGCCGTCCCGTCTCTCTCAGCTATCTCGATCGCAACGTGCGAGCGAGCTCGACAGCAGACTGTACAATACAATACGAGCGCGTTGGCGAAAGCTACGCCGGTCGCTCGGGTCGAAGAGGGGCTTAGTCTCGCTTGAGGGCTGTGTGGGAGCCCGTCGTCAGTCGTACACTCAACTTGGACTCAGTATCCTGCTGCAGCCGCGCGGGAAAGCGCGGAGCAGAGCAAGCAAGCAAGTCAAGGTGAGGAACCACCGAACTCACGCAAGTGCACCCACCGCATCTCCATATCCTTCTCGACAACAAGCACATCCAGTCCGTCACCAACCTCGATGTGTCGCTCCGCGGCGCCGGTGAAGGCGTCTGTCAGAAGGGACTGGACCTCGGCGAGGTCGAATTCGGGTCGTTGGCCGGGGACGGGTGGGGGAAGGGAAGGGTCGGGGACTTGGTTCTTCTTGTAGACCTGCGAGGGGTGCGCGAGGGGAGCGAGAGTCAGTGTTGCGCTGGATGCGTAGGGAGCGCACGAGACGCTGGCAGGTGGAGCTGCCAGACCTCGCAGGCATGCAGGTCCCGGCGAGCACCAACTCAGACGACAGCACACGCACCATATTGTCGAGGAACGGCTGCACCAGCGACTGCGCGCTGCCGTACGCGCGGCAGCTCTCCCGCTCGTAACTCCCCACCGGGTCGAACGAGTACACCGCTCCGGTTCCGTCTCGGTCGATTCCGGCAACTACACGGGCTCCTCGTCAGCTTGTAGGAAGGTGATCGAGGGAAGAATGGGACGAACGGATCACGTAGGAGTAGTAAGGGAAGAAGCGTTTGCCGTAGAGCATGGTTTGGACGAGGCGCGCGATCGATTTCAGCGAAGGGACTTCGTTGTGCGTGTGGTGGTACCACTGTGTGACAGTACTGTCAGTTGCGCTATCTCATCTCTGCAGCGAACCAGCCAGCCAAGCCGGATTCGAGACCGGAGTTCGCAACCCAGGCTGCAGAGCCCAACTGACCTCGAGCCTCTGCTTCAACCGCTTGACCAAGTTCATCGCATCGCCCATGAACCCCTGCACCGCAATAGCCGCCTCGGGCGTGAGCTGGAAGACGCGCTTGGCGGTTCGGGTCTCGATGTTGTAGCCGGACGACTGGCGCGTGTCGCCTGCGATGACGGCGAACTTGGAGGAGGAGATGGCGAGGATCGATCCGCTATTGTCCTGTAAGCGTTCGGGCAGAATGCGGAGTGTCAGCGAGGGTGTCGTCAGCTGGCGGGGAGGGTGCTGTAGAAGTCGGGAGCCGTTGGATGTTCCGCGCATCCAGTCCACCGGTATCCGACTAGTTCTGGCAGTGTACCGACTTCTCTGCAAGCTTTCCCAGCCGTTCGCTCGCCGTGTTCGCCCAGACCCCCTCATTACCTTCAGGTCCTTCGGACGGCGACGGCCTCCAAAACCGGTCCTTCTCGCGCTCAAACATGCTCGGGTTCCGTCCTAAATGCCCCAGGCAGTTCGCCTTCCTCCCCGCCGCCGCTGCCATCGAGTCCTAGACCCTCGACCCGTCCTCATCGCTCCCAGTCCTCCAGCTCCTCAAACGGCGTGTAGAACGGAAAGAAGCGCACGGCGTAAGGGTTGAACTGGTGCTGGATAGGTCCCATGGTAGCGCGAGGCAGCAAGAGCGAGAGAGCGAGGTGGAGAGAGCGGAAGGTGAACGTCGTCAGCGGAGCGGGTGGTCGACCGCGAACGGCTCACGCGAACACGGCGGGCGGGCTTGTAGACGCCGGCACGTTGCTCATCTGAGGCTACTGCTGGACGCAGCGAAGTGGCTCGCGCTTCCATGGTGTTGCGCCTTTGCCTCGTCCTCCTCCCTGCTTCTTGGACTTCGCCCTCACTTTCTCGCTCGCCGTGGATCCTATGGGCGTGTGCGGAGGCAATTGCGGACGCGATAGATATGCTGCAAATTGCGCGCAGCCACGGATACGGGATAAATGACACGGAGACACACAACAAAGTCGACAACTGCCTCACACCTGCCTCATCTCCTCGTCCTCGCGCTCGCCTGGCGCAGTTCCTGCTCCTCCGCCTGCTGACACGCTCGTGACGCTACCCTCGGTCCCGCCCTCCACCCCGCTGTCCGTACTCGCGCTCGTTCTTCGACTCGACTGCCCGACCGACTGATCCTGCTGCTGGGCGGTGACGAGGTTCCCGAGCCTCTCGAGCCTCGCCAAACGCTCCTCCAATCCCGCAAACCCATCCGCAGCCCTCAACCCGGCGCTCCTCTCCAGCCTTGCAAGCCGCTCCTCAACACCCGTCCACCTCTCCTCCCACTCCCTCCTGACCTCGCTAACCCTGGTTTCAACAAGCGCCTCGAGCTGTCCCTCCGCCTGCTGCAGCGTCGACAACACCGCATTCGCGCGCTGGACTTGGAAGTCGAGCGAGTGTGTCAAGACGCGCGAGTCGGACAGGGAGTCGTAGAAGGTCGAGAAGAGGCCGAGGAAGGCTTGTTTTGAGGCTGGGCCGGGAGCAGGCGCAGAAGAGGGATGAGGTGGGTAGAGAGGTGTTGATGGCGCCGGACCGAGAGGAGCGGAGGTCAGAGGCGAGTGAGGTTGATAAGCCGGGAGGTGGTGAGGCGGGGGAGGGTAGAAGCCTGGCAAGTGCGCCAACGCGCTCTGCGAGCTGTGCGAGAGCCCGGGCAGAGGAGGCGGAGGCTGCTGCTGCTGCTGCTGTTGCTGGGGAACCCGCGACCCGCTCGTCATCCTCGAGATGGGCGGCAACCGCGGACCCGTCTGCTTCGGGTCATCCTTCCGGCCGCCAGCCGTCGATGTCTTTGGCGACGTAGACGATGGAGGAGCAGGCGGGAAAGCGACTCCAGGACCGAGAGGCTGATTTGGGCGGATATAGTACGAACTCGACGAGACGAGCGGCGGCTGAGGCTGTACATTGCCGCCCGACTGTCTCCTCGAGTCCTTCTTTCCTGAAGACGCAGGAGCGCCAGACGACGACGCACTAGGCCGCATCTGAGGTGCCTCGCGAGCTGCTGCCGCTCTCGCAGCGAACGTCGCTTCGAGCGGAGACCCGACGAGGACCGAGGGGATCTCGACTGCCGGTGCGCTGCGCAGGGGAGGGTGGTGGAGCGCAAAGTCGTGCGCTGGCGCCGTGTGCGAGGTCGAGGCGTTTCGTCGGTGCGAGGCGGGCGCGGCAGACGAACCGGTCGCAACGGCTGGCGGACGGTGTCCCCTCCTCTTCGCGAGTCCTCCTCCTCCCGCTGCCGTCGAAGACGAAGTCGAACCCGTCGAAGCCTGTTGCTGCGCGCGAAGTTTTCCCAGCGCCGCCTGCACGCTGCCCGGCGCAGGTCCAGCCGCGAGTCCCGCCGCTTCTCTCCTCCGATCAATCTCGCGCTGCTGTTGCTCCTTGATAGCCTTGGACGCCTCGAGAGCCGAAGAAGGCGAGGTCGCCGACGAGGAGGTCGGTCCGCTGAGGAGTGACGAGATCGGAACTCCCGACGACGAGGAAGCTGGTCCCGCCGCGTGCTGGGTGTGCGAGTTGTTGTGCTGCGAGCTTGCCGGTGCAGAGGCAGAGAGGATGCTCGTAGCGGTATCGGCGAGCGACTCGAGAGGCGAGAGCCTTGTCCTCGGTCGCTTGTTCGACAGAGTCGGCGATCCTCCTCCTCCTGCCCCTCCCGCTCTCCCTCCTTCGCCGGTTTGGCCGAGCGAGTGCTTCGGGGAAGAGGAGTCGGCACGACGCCGATCGAGCGAGGGGGCCGAGTCGTTGCGAGGGAGCGAAGGAGGGCGCTTGAGCGGGAGAGGGAAGGATGACGGGTCGCGCCCGTTCATTCCAGACCTGAAGAATGGCCGTAGAAAGCGAGAGTCAGCGCCATGCGATGCAGCGTCACAAGCGCATCTTGGGAAGTCGCACGAGGAGGCCGAAGAAGTGTCAGGAGAGGAGGCGAGCGGTTCGAGAGCGCGGAGGAGGTAGGGTAAGCGGCGACGTCGACCGCGTTGGCGAGAACAGGAGCCGTTCGTCGAAAGGAGCGAGCAGAGAAAGGAGAGACACGCACGCATTCGCCTGGACGACAGGAGCGAGCTGGTCCTCCTCATCCGACACAAGAACCCTCTTGAGCGAGCCCCTGCGCCCTCCTTTTCCGCCACTCGGCGCCTCGCCAAGTCGTTCGATGACGAGCGCCTCCTTCGATTCTGCTGCACCAACGCCGACTCCTTCGATCCCAAGTCCCGTCGTGATGCCGTTCGGGACGGGAGGACGGCTCGGTGGTCCTGGTGCCGGGAGCGAGAAGACGGAAAAGACCGAGGGCGCCGCAAGGACGGAGGGGTACGACACTCGTCGGTCGTTCTTCGTCAGAGAAGGAGGAACGGCCGAAGAGGGCGTAATGGGAGGAAGGGCGGTCGGAGGAGCGGTCGCCGCGCCAAGTCGTCGTTCTCCTGGCGCTCCTCGAAATGGGGGGATCGGGGCGACCGCAAAGTCAGCTCTCTTGAGTTTCGATGGAGATCTGCGTGTCGAGGAACGAGTGGTCGAGGGAGGAGGGGACGGCATCGGAGGGAGGTAGTCCTTGGGCGTGAGAGGCGCGCTGCTCTCGATGGTCGAGCTCGTCGAACTCGCACTAGTCGGCGCGGTTGGGTACTCTGCGTGGTGCTGGTGCGCGGGATGGGAAGGAGAAGGGAAGGGACCGAATGTCGCGGCGAGAGAAGGGAGCGAAGGGGGACGAGTGGGTGCCTGTACGGCAGGAGATGCCGCCATTCGGAGCGGTCTGGTCGGTGAAGCTGACTGTAGGAGAGTGAGGAAGGACACGCCAGTCAGTCGCTGCACGCCAGCACGCTCAGGCCGTCGCTCGATCGCTCGAGAAGGCTGAATGGGGGAACGGTCAAGGGGTCGAAGAAGAGTACACACCTCGCTGGCGGGCAGACGAGCCTCCTCCTAGCTACGATAGCCTGCTACTGTACGACCTGGGCGTTCGTCGAGTCCGGGCGAGGCTGGGAACGCGAGTGCGAGGAGGGAGGCAGGCTGTGCTCCGACCTGAGAAGGGAAGTCGAGTGTTCTTTGTCGTCCAGACGCGTCGTGCACGGGTGTCGCTTCTCCTGCTACGCGTTCAGTCCGCGCTGAGGTCGTCTCTGGCGCGACCGGAGGCGTTCGGCGGCGAGGAGGACGGCGAGAGCGGAGTCCGGGCGATGAGGGCAGGGAGTTGGAACAGCGGCGGCGGGCGAGAGTGCGGGTATCGGCCGGTCGTCGAACAGTCCCTACGAGTCGTAAGCGCGAGTACAAGCGTCGCCAGAAGCGGGTGCAGCAGCGATGGCGAGAGACGACAGACGCTTGCCGGGAACAGAGTTGGGCGCCGTTGACAGCAACGAGTTCACTTGTGAGCGGTGTTGTTTCCAGAACCCTTTGCAGAGCGTGCCCTCGCTTTGTCTCGAAAGCCTTTGTCGACGCCGAGCGAGACATGGTTCACGGTGGGAAGGTCTCTTTCTCTCGCCTCCCGTCACGACCATCGTCCCGTTCTCCTGATCCTGTTTGCGTTCCTGGAGACTGCCCAGCGTCGAGGGTTGTCGACGAGGAAGCAGGACTGGGACCGGGACTTTTGACGAGCGCAGTCACTGCTGAGCGAAGTCTTCCTGCTCGCGACGAGAGCCCTGCTGGCGAGACAACCCCGGTGATCTCACTTCATCAAGGACAAGCGCGATCATCAGCGACTGCGCCGGAAGCGTGCACCACTGCGTCCGACCGCGCTCGCGCTTCTCGAACGCCTTGCAAGATGCGACCATGGCCTCTACTAGTCGAGCTCGCATCCCAGTATCGCGCTTGGGCAAGCGGGAGATGCGCGACGTCGATAGCGGATATAGAGGCGCGGGCGAACATCGCGAGAGAGCTTTGGGAAGAAGGAGATCGTGGTCTCCCGGCTGCCCAACTTCTCGCTTCCCGCGCTTGTGCGTCGCGCCAGAACGATCAGCGACGAATATGAGGCCATGCAATGCAGTAGGGACAACATCAGCGATACGCAGATGAGCGAGAGACGGCCTCCTCCAACCAAGACTTGGAGTCTCCTCACTGCTCCTCTTCCTCCTCCTCCATAACGACCGCTACTCGCCCCCATTTGCCATCATCACCTCGTCCTCCTCCTCCCGCACCTCCAGCAGCCCCACCAAGACCCGCATACCTCCCCTCAAACCTCGACGCTCCTCCTCCACCTCCTCCGCCCCAAACCCGCTCCGCGACTGGACTATCCGCCAACTTGGGCGAAGTCGTCGGTCCCGCTCCCGCCCCTCCTGCTACCGCGCTCCCGTCATTCCGGAACGAATGCTGTCCGAGTCCGCCACCGTAACCTTCCAAGTCGTCGTCCTCGTCAACCCATTCGCCGCCGTCTTCTTTCGGTGACTTGACTGCGAAGACGTCCCTGATAGGTTGTTGCGATTGCGTAGGCTGAGGGAGCGGCCGAGCGGCGGTTCGGCGGTCAAGGGCGGAGAAAGAGGAAGAAGTCGACGGCGCGTGAGGCTGGAGAGGCGAGCCGAAGAGGTGGGTCGTCTTGTGCGCTGTGAAAGTCGCTGGCGGTCCGCGAGATGCGTTACTCCGCATCGAAGGAACAGGCGAGCCGTGTCCCGAGTGCGGGTCAGAGTTGCTCCCGCTGCCGCTGACCGTCCGATGCGGTCTTGGCCGCACAGATGGCGGGGCGAGATGCACGACCTCGCTGGAACTCGCCGCAGTCCCAGGCGCAGACTCCTCCTCGTCCTCCTCCATAATCGGGTCCTCGCCCGCATCTTCCTCCTCGACCGTCTCTTCGCCGTCGCTTGCTCCAGCCCCTCCGCTCGAGCTGCTCCTGTGCGCCGAGCTTGCGCCAGAAGCAGTACGTCGATGATGCCTGCCCGGCGTCCCGCCGCCGTCCGTCGAGCGGCGCCCGTGCGAGCCATGCCGCCTTCGGACGACGGTCGTCGTAGTTGGCGGTCGACGGTACACAGCATCCTTGGCAGTCGCGTACGACCCCGCTGACGAGGTCGACGCAGCGCGAGAGTGCCTTCCCGACCGTCTCGCGCCGCTGGGCTTCCCAGGTTGTTGGCCCGAGAAAGACCGCAACGAAGCCGGCCTGGATCGGTCTCCTCGCTCGCTAGCCGATGTGCGGGAGGCGTCGCTCGCTCGGCGACGATGCATCCCTCGTCCGGGAGTGGACATCGAGTAGTCGCGGTGAGCGGACGAGACGGACGACCGGCGAGAAAGCGAGACGCCTGGGCCTGCTGGACCTGCTTCACGTCCGCCATTCACGACGCTGTTGTTCGACGAGCGGCGACTGCCCAGCGTAGGCCGGCGACCGAGAGGCGAGGAGGTCGTGTACATCGACTGACTGCGCCCGACGCCGGTCGCTCCCAGACCCATCGGCGCGTACTCGTTCGATGCTGGTCCGCCGAGTCGAGGGACCATCGACGCACGCTTGCGCTTGCGCGGGTCCTGGCCGAACCAGAGCTTGAATGTCGAAAGAAGGTTTCCGCCTCGTGAGCCCTTCTTGTTCGCCGAACTCGAAGGACCTGTCAACGAGACGGAACGGCCGACGCGAGCCGAGGACGACGTGGTGCTGAACGAGCCGTGGTGCGAGGATGCCGATGCGGACAGGGCGGGTGACAGGGTACGCTCTGGTATCGCCCGAGGAGGCGTCGCGGTAAGTGGAGCCGATGCATGGACGCCTTCCTGTCGTGCAGTCGAGGGAAGAGGCGGAGTGATCGAGCTGGTCGGCATGCTGGGCGTCGGAGGAGCGGATATGCTTGGCGTCGGAACCGAGAGGAGCGGCGGCGACGAGCGCTGCGGCGAAGGTGTAGCTTGGTGAAGCAGTCGAGGGTCGTCGCTCGGCAAGGAGCCCTTCCTGCCTGCGAAGATACCGCCAGGCGATACGCCTTCTTCCGTCGTAGGCGTACCGGCATTGCTGAGAGACGCAAGACCCTGGCCAATCGCTGAAGTCGCCCGAGCAAGCATGCTAACGCTTCCCGCTCGAGCCCGCTTCGCATCGCCCTTCTCCTCCGCTGGCGTTCCTGCGACGCCGAGTTGGTCGCGCGAAGCGGAGCGAGGCACCGAGCTCGACAGCCCTCGCGCCTTGAGCGGCGAAGGCGGCTCGACAGTCGGGAAGTAGGAAGGTACGGCGGTCGAGTGCGCCGAAACTGGGTCGTCGCTGAGGAAGTACGTAAGTCGCGCCTCGGCCTCTTCCTGCGAGGGTGGAGAGACGGGACTAATAGGCGTTGTCGGACGATGTGCGGCAGCGATGGCAGCAGAGGGGGTGAGAGGTGTGGTAAGGCCGGCGGGAGTGTGAGAAACGCGCCGAGATGGTGTTCGTGGCGGACTTGGCGGTCTGAGTGACGCTTCGCGAGACCGGGGTTGCGACGAGGAAGACGACGAACCGCTCGGCTGTCGTTCGCTCACCGGTCGAACCGGTTCTGGCGGCGTCGGCGTCTCCTCGACGAGCACCTCGAGCGGCTCATTCTGCTCAAGCTCCTCATCGCTCGAATCTTCGTCCTCTTCGCCCTGCGTATCAAGCAGCACAGCCGCCGGATCCCGCAGGCGCTCCGCATGCCGCACGCTCATCATCGAGTTGGTCCGCACCAGCGTACCTTCTCCCTCTTCTCCCTCGCCCACTTCCAGTCCCTCAATTTGCTCCTTCTCCTCTCCCTTCCGCTTCAGCATCCACCAAATTGCGCTACAGCTGTCGCATGCGCTCGTGCGGACCGAGTGGGCGACCTGGCCGGCATCGAACCCGAGGTCGGCGATGAGCTTCAGGAGGGCTTGGTCGGAAGCCGAGGAGAGAAGAGGCGGAGCGGAAGAGGTCGAGAGGAAGAGTGAGAGGTAGTCGACTCGAGGTTCGTCGTCGATGTCGGATGCCGCCTGAGCCTCCATCTCCTCGATCGCCAAGGCGTCTCCGTTCACGACTGGCGTAGGCGAAGCGACCAGCGCTCTCGCATCCTCCCCTGTTTCGTCCTCATCGAGCCTGACCAGCCTCTCGCTCGCACTGCCGATGCTCTTCCTTCTCGCAAGCCCGCTCGACCCGCTCCCACTGCCGCTTCCGCTCCCCGAACCTCTATCCCGTCCGATAACACCTCCGGGCCCGATAGACAGACTCTTGACGCTCACTCCGCCAGCGGAGCCTGTCCGCTGCATAAGAGGCGGAACAAGTGGAGCGGGCGCGACGGGTCCGAAGTCGATTGAGGCGGTTGAGGGGTGTCGGCGGAGTGTCGAGGAGGTCGTGTGTCCGCCGATTGGGGAAGATGCGGCGGAGAGGTGAGGCGGAATAGCGGAGAAGGGGCCTGGTGGAGAGGTCTGCCGCAAGGACGAGGGAAGCGATCGAGGTTGGACGGGCGTAGAGAAGACGGAGGAATCGTTCTCGAACGCTCGTTGTTTGCCACGCTTGACGGCGCTCATTGAGAGCATCGAGTCGGGCGAAGAAGAGAGAATGTCGGCGGAAGGGACGGGAGGGGCGAGAGCCAGGCCTCTCGGTTCGCTCATCAAGAGCGGCGGGGCGAGTGAGGGGTTCTTCGGCGCGATGGAGGGCGACGATGCCGTGGAAGAGGAGGCTGCGGGCGCGGCGGGAGGAGGCGGACGCGTGAAGAAAGGGTGAGCAAGGATCTGCTTGAGCGAGGGTCGGAGGAGCGGGTCGCGGGTGAGGATGGATCGGATGAGCGAGGAGGCGTCTGCGGTCGGGCGGGACCCAAATTCAGCTCGCCCTTCATGCTCGTGTGCGGAAGAGGCCGAATCTGCGACCGTCACAACTCACCCTCGTCGAGCCAGTCGGGCATCTCGTACTTGCAGTCGAGAATGAGCTGGCGCATGATGCCTTCGTCGTCGTCGTCGAACGGCAACGAGCCAGTCACGAGCGCATAGAGGATTACGCCAAGCGACCAGACGTCCACCTCTGCGAAGGGAAGGTCAGCCCAGCTCTTCGTCACGCTCGGCCAGGCAAGCGGCAAACTCACGCTCGCCCAGGTACTTGCTCCCCGCGACTACCTCGGGCGCCATGTACCCTAGCGTCCCAACCCTTGTTTCCAGCCATTTACCCTTCTCAAACTCCCTCCCAAACCCCAGGTCCGCAATCTTGACATTCACATTCTCATCCAGCAAGACATTCTCGAGCTTGAGGTCCCGATGCACGACGCCTTCTCGGTGGAGGTACGCGACGCCGAGTACGAGTTGGCCGAAAATCCGTCGAGTCTCGGGCAGGGAGAGGCGGCCGTGTTCGACGAGGTAGTCGAAGAGTTCGCCACCTGCGCATAGCTCGGTTACGAGGTAGATGGAGGACTCAGTGGCGATCAGCTCGAAGAGGGAGAGGACGTGTGGGTGGCGGAGGCGGCGGTGGTGGTGGATCTCGCGAGTCAGAAGGGAGAGGGGTGAGGAAGGATCGGTGGGCGAGTACTGCGGGCAGTACTCATTAGCTGGAGCGTCGGGGACGCCAAGGAATGGCACGCACGGATGGCAGACTCTTCGGAACCTGCTTGATGGCGACCCTCGTCCCCGTCAAGCGATGCACGCCCAGTCGGACCTTGCCGAATGTACCTGCAGGGCAGTGCATCCCCGAGCAGTCAGCAAGTGGACTTGCCACGCGGGACACGAGAGCGCTTTGTCAACGCACCTTCCCCAATCACCCTCCCAAGCGAGTACCCTCCAATTGAGCGAATCTCCTTCTTCGTCAGCTCCGTCGCCAAGGCCGCATAGGCATTCGAGAGCTGTGAACGGCGGAAAAGGGAAGTCAGTTCGAGGGAAGGGCGAAGTCGGCGGGTTGCGAAACCGAGGGGAGACGTCGACACAGGCAAGGAGTTGGTCTCAGACCTTCCCACTCAGCCAGAAGCTCCTCCCAGCACCGCTTAGCCGTGTCAGACGTCTTCTGAGCCCTCCCAGCGCTTCTGTCGGCCGTTGTCACCAAATCGCCGCCCCACCCCTGAAAAATCGCGTCCATGTCGCTCGTCGTCTGCACCTTCGGGGAGAGAGCTGGTGCGCTCGACCTCCTCACAAAAGTCTCTTCTAGACCAGCAGCAAACATGCGCCTCATCAAGCCAGTGCGAGGAGGCGAGACGGACCTCCTGCTGTTTGGCATAGTGCGTCGACCCGTTCCTGCGGTGGTGATGCGGTGCGGCGAACATGCTCTGCGCCTTCTAGTCCGTCTCCCCGTGATCCAGCCAAGCGAGAGCGTTCCAGCAGCGAGAGCGAGCAGTCGAAGTGCGATGAAGGGCTACAAGCGAATCGTAATGAGCTTGTAATCGATCGAATATGAACCAGGTGTAATGGCTTGATTAGGACGCGGTTGTAATCGAGTTGTAATGAGCGATCCGCTCTCTCTCTCGCTTTGTCTTGCCCGCCGTCGCCTCACGATGCAAGTCGAGCGAGCTGAGCCCGACGAGCGCACCCGCACTGACCCACTCTCGCCCACACAGGCCACCGCAGAGCAACCTCCCCGACAGTCGAGGTCTGTCCTCGTCGCCTCGCTCGCCAGACTGACATCTCGCGCGACTCTCACGGGACTGACGCGTGTGTCTGGCTCGGACAGACCTCAATGCGACATGGAAGTTCCTCGAGGAGGGCGTCGGTGCGTTCTCAGCTCCTCACTCGCTCCACCACCGTCCCACATCCGAGTCGAGGGACGTAAGCGGGGAGCCCATCCACGCGCGGCGTGTAGGGCGTCGAGGGGCCCGGTGAGCTGACGAGACGCTCGGTTGACGCCGTGCAGACCACATCATGACGCGCCTCAACGAGGGAATGTCCTACAAGAAGTACATGGATGTGCGTTCGCCTCCCTCGCTCGCTTGCGTTTGGCTCATGTAGTGCCCGAGAGACTTACGCTCGATGTGCTGGCCATTGCAGCTCTACACGGTGTCGTACAACTACTGCACGTCGAGTAGGATGAACTCGGGCGGGATCAACGAGACGCTCGGAGTGAGCGGGAGCGCAGGCAGGAGTGAGTCCCGTCTCGCTCGTGGTTGCTGTGGCTGTCCCTCGCTCGCCTAGAAGCGATGTGTCGCCTTCTCGTTCCTCGGGTCGAGATGGACTCGCTTGACGAATGCTGACTTGCTCCCGCACCCGAACTCACAGGCGGTGCGAACTTGATGGGAGCCGACCTGTATAAGCACCTGAAGGAGTACTTCATCGAGCACCTTAAGGGCGTCCGTGCCGTGCGTCCCACCCCTTGCCACCCCTTTTCCCACCTTTCGCTCACCCACCTTCGCACTCACAGGAAGCCGCCGACCTCTCCGACGAGCCTCTCCTGCGGTACTACACGCGCGAGTGGGACCGCTACACGACTGGAGCGAGCTACGTCAACAGGCTGTTCACGTACCTCAACCGGCACTGGGTCAAGCGGGAGAAGGACGAAGGAAGGAAGAACGTCTATGTCGTCTACATCGTGCGTCCTGGCAGCTCTAGCTTCAGCTCCCAACGTTCCCCGAACTACTGCTGATCCACCTCTTCCCGCTGGATCTACAGCTCGCGCTCGTCATGTGGAAGGAGCACTTCTACACGGCGCTGCAGCAACCCCCCGCGTCAGGCGGCAACAAGCTCACGGCCGCGGTGCTCAAGCTCATCGAGAAGCAGAGGAATGGCGAGACGATCGAGACCGACTTGGTTAAGAAGGTGATCGACTCGTTCGGTGCGTCTCCGTCGCTTTCAGCATCAAGCTCTTACTTGCGAAACCCACGCGCTGACTGTCCATTGCGCACAGTCGCCCTCGGACTCGACGAGACCGACACGAACCGGCAGAACCTCGAAGTCTACCGCCAAGCGTTCGAAGCTCCCTTCCTCTCTGCGACCGACTCGTTCTACTCGGCCGAATCGGAGCAGTACCTCGCAGCCAACAGCGTCACCGAGTACATGAAGAAGGCCGAGTCGCGTCTCGGCGAGGAGGAGAGCCGCGTCGACTTGTACTTGCACGCGAGTACGAGGAAGGGGTTGGTGAGCAAGTGCGAGGAGGTGCTTGTCAAGAACCACGCCGAAATCATGCAGGAGGAATTCCAGCGCGTAGGTTTGCCCGTTTCTGCCCTCTTTCGCTTCGTACGCTGACTCTACTTCCTCGCATCGCACAGCTCCTCGACCAGGAGCAAGAACCTGATCTCCACCGCATGTACCTCCTCCTCTCGCGCATCCCGAACGGCCTCGACCCTCTCCGCGAGCGCTTCGAGCAGCACGTCAAGAAGGCCGGACTTGACTCGGTCGAGCGTGCGGTCGGCGCTGCGGCGGCTGCGCCTGCGGATGGCGACGCAAAGGGCGCGGCGGCGGAGAAGAAGGAGTCGGCGGTCGAGCCGAAGGCGTATGTCGACAGCTTGTTGGCGGTGCACAAGAAGAACAGCGAGTTGGTGGGGAAGGCGTTCAGGGGAGACCAGGGTTTCGTCGCTTCGCTCGACAGGGTGCGTCGGCTTCTCACGCGTGCGACTGTCGTTACTGCTTGCAGTGCGGCGGCCTGAAAGCGCGTCTTGCAGAAACTGACGGGAATTGTCGCAGGCCTGCCGCGAGTACGTCAATCGCAACAAGGCGTGCTCGTCGCCGAACAAGTCGCCCGAGCTCCTCGCCAAGTACGCCGACTCGCTCCTGCGCAGGAGCAACAAGGCGTCCGAGGATGCCGACATCGAGCAGGCGCTGTCGGACACGGTGAGTTTGCGGCGCCGCCTCTCAGCCTTTGCCTGCCTGCTGGATATGAGCTGATGCCGTAGCGACGCCCATTGCGCAGATGACCGTCTTCAAGTACATCGAGGACAAGGACGTTTTCCAGAAGTTCTACTCAAAGATGCTCGCGAACCGCCTCATCAAGGACACGTCGGCCTCGGAGGACGCCGAGTCGAGTATGATCGGCAAGCTCAAGGACGCATGCGGCTTCGAGTACACGTCCAAGCTCCAGCGCATGTTCCAGGACATGCAGCTGAACCGCGACTTCAACGCCGGCTTCAAGGAGAAGATGCAGCAGACGCACGACGAGAGCGAGCTGTCGAGTGCGTACCGTCGCGTTGAATCGACGTCCATCGCTCGCTAATGCCGCAGCCGCACCCGCGCAGTCGACTTCCAGTGCCTCGTCCTCGGCACGTCGTCCTGGCCGCTCGCCGCGCCGACCGCCAAGCTCAACCTGCCCGCAGAGCTGCTCAAGACCAAGGACCGCTTCGAGCACTATTACATGAACAAGCACTCGGGACGAAAGCTTACGTGGCTGTGGCAGCACAGCAGGAACGAGTGCGTCGAGGCGGTTCTTCGCTTGCGCTGGGATTGCGCTCTCGCCAGAGACCTTCGCTTACATAGCCTTCGACTCGTGCAGACTCCGCACGCTCTACACGCCGCAAAAGTACTTCTTCGTCACCTCGACGCACCAGGCGTGCATCCTCCTCCAGTTCAACTCGTCCGGCGACTCGCTCTCGCTGCAAGACCTCGTCACGGGTACCGGCCTGCCCGAAGACTCGCTCAAGCCGATCCTCGCCCTCCTCGTCAAGCAGCGTGTGCTCGAGCTCAAGGACGGCATGTACGAGCTCAACCTCGGCTTCAAGAGCAAGAAGATCAGGGTTCCGCTCAACGTTCCCATCAAGGCTGAGCAGAAGCAGGAGAGCGCAGACGTCATGAAGGTGCGTCTGAGGCGTTTGGGGGCGTCGTCGTGACTGGGCTAAACCGGCTCGCTCGCAGCACGTTGACGAGGACCGCAAGATCCTCATCCAGGCCACGATCGTCCGGTGCGTGCGATCCTCGACGGTGTTGGCTGCGCCAGAATCCGAGCGACGTGCTGACTTTCGCCTGTCTGCTGCCGTACAGCATCATGAAGTCGCGCAAGACGCTCAAGCACCAGCAGCTCATCGCCGAGACGATCGACCAGCTCAAGGCGCGCTTCCAGCCTCGCGTGCCCGACATCAAGAAGCAGATCGACGTCCTGCTGGATAAGGAGTACCTCGAGCGCGAGGAGGGCAGCAGGGACAACTACAGGTGCGTTCGGCCGGAGAGTCGTCGCGCTCGTAAGCTGGGTCGCTGACTTTGCGCCGTTCTCCTCCTGCTTGGTTGTACAGGTACCTCGCATGAGCTCGCCCTCGACGCCTGCCGTCCCGCCACCGCCCGCCTCGCTTGTCCGCCTCCGCCTCCTCGCATGACTCTTCCCCCCTACAACCCGCCCGCATCAGCTTTTGTCCTCCCTCGTTCTCACGCCCACACTCGCATGCAACCCTTCAGTGCCCCCTTCCACCCTGTACCTTTCTCCGCTCGCTTTGCTTCCCCCTCCTCTCCGAAATGCTGCTGTAGATACCCCCGATTTTCCTCTCTGACTCGCTCTCGCTTGTTCAATACACTCTCACCGCACCCAGCGCTGCGCTTCGAGGAGAAGCTCGAAGAGAAGAGAGATGGAGAGAGAAGGGATCGCATTGCTGTCACAAAGCGAGACGCGACGAGATTACGCTAGGAGGATGCGAAGACGAGAGTGGGATGGATGGAGGAGCCGCGTGTAAGTAACAAAAAGCGAGAGGGAGACCGAGGACCGAGACGAGCGAGATCAGAGAGAGAGAAAGAGAGATCTATAGGTTTTTCTGGGTATCGGTGGATGAGCGGGGAGAAAACAGAGGGGCGGAGAGAGAGAAAGTCCCGCTGCATCGTCTAGTGTAAGTCGAAAGGAAGTGCGTCGAGAGAGAGTGGTGGAAGAGGAGGTCGATATCCGCCGAAAAAAGTCGAGCGAAAAAGTCGAGCCGGGACTAGGTACAAAGGCGGCGCGCTCGTGGTCCGTCGCGCAAGTCGAGCGCCTACTCCCTCGGCGCCTCGGCGACCCCTCCAAGCGCCGCGAAAGCCTGCTGCTGACGCTGCTGCTGCGCCGCCGCCGGACTAGTCGGCCTCGAACTCGGCGCCGAGGCAGGCTGACTCGCGTACCCGCACGCCGCATGACGCTCGTCGCTCACCTGCCCCTGCCCCGACCCACGACTCGCGGTCCCAGGCCTGCTCGACCCCTGTGCGGCGAGGACCGGACTTCCAGGTTGGGAGCGGTACGGGTGCGCGCGGACGTGGTGGAGGTGCGTCGAGGCGGTGTGGCGACCGTGGTCGAGCCCATGCTTGGTCGCCTCGATTGCGTCGGGCGTCGCAGCGCGCGAGTTGCTGGCGCTGTTATCGCCGCTCGTTCCCGTTCCCTCGGCGCCGGGCAAGCGCAGGGGCGGAAGATGGACCGGACTCGTTGCGCGACTAGGGGCGCGAGAGACTTGCGCACTCATGAGTGTCAAGCCCTTGAGCGGTCCGAGGACGGGCGACGTCGAAGGCGTAAGCTGGTACGCGAGTTGTTGCTGCAGTTGGCCGATCGCGTGTTGTTGGCCGTGTCCGGGCTGCGAGGCCATGCCGATTCCGGGAACGAGTCCTGCGGCGGGGTGGAGAGGAGGGAAAGGCGAGGAGGTACCGCTCGACGTGGCCGAATGCGGATCCGCAAGCCCGACCGCCGCCGCCGCAGCCGCCGCCGCCACGTTGTGATCGACGACCGCTCCATCCGACGTGTGTTTCGGACTCGAAGCCGGCGAGTTCGCGAGCGAGTGATCCGCGGTCGAAGGGAGCGAGTACGGCGCATAAGCGTGACGGTGCTGGTGGCGGGCCAACGAGCCATGGTGGGTCGGGTGCGACGGGTCGTGCGAGTGCGAGTGGCGCGAGGCGGGATCGTCTGCGGGAGTTTGGGCCGCGCTGTGTTGCGGGAGGAGAGGAGGGGCGGTGTGACCTCCCGCCGGACGACGCGGAGCAGTCCCGCTCAACGCCGCCGCCTGAGCCTGAGCCTGCTGAGCCGCAAGCTGCTGCTGCTGAGCCTGCAACGCCGCGTTCTGGTACGCCGACGCCGCATAAGGCTGACCCGCCATACTCCAATACGCCGCCATGGCCTGCTGAGCCTGCGCAGGGTCGAACGAGCCATACGGCGTACTTCCCGCACTCGATCCCGCCGCGCTGCCCGGTGCAGACCCGCCAACCTGAGGCTTGACGTCGTCCACCACTTGCTGCTGCTGAGCCTGCTGCTCGGCCCGCTCCCTCTCGCGCTCCATCTCGTGCAACCCGCTCGCCGCCGCGAGCGCAAGCGCGTTCAGAGGACGCCCGTCCGCTCCAGCCTGGACTTGCTGCTGCTGCGCCGTCCCAGGCGAAGGGAGGGCCGCCGCCTGCTGAATCTGCTGCTGCTGCTGCTGCTGCTGTTGCTGAGACGCAATCGCCTGCTGCTGCTGCATCTGCTGCTGCAACTGCTGCGGCGCCGGCGGGTACCCATACGGCGTATAACTCCCCGGATACCCGGGATAAGGTTGGGTGGTCGGAGGTGTCTGGGCGCCGGTTGTGGAGGGCAAGGGCGGAGGTGGGACGGAGGGGTAGCCGTAGGGGTACATGGACATTGGAAGGGCGGGGTAGGCGTAGCCTGGGTAGCCGGGCGGAGGGGGGTAGTAGGGTTGCTATAAGCGCGAAGCGAGCGTTAGCGAGCGAGCGGGTCGGGGTAAGCGAGCGAGCGAGGATGGAGGAAGGGACGCACGTAACCCATCATCGGCGCGCCGTACGGACTCGCAGCCGCCGCCGCAGCAGCAGCAGCAGCCGCGTTCACCTGAGCCGTCGCGTCGTCGTTCTGCGCGTGCGGACGATCGTCAGGAGAACGCTCTCGCGCTAGCTCCTTGCGGACAGTCGCTCGTTCGGGAACTCACCTCCTCTCCCGGACTCGCCTGCCTACTCCCCTTCCCCTTCTTCCCCCCTCCACCCTGCGCTCCTCCAGCAGCCACCGCAGCAGCCTGCTGAGCCTGTTGCTGGGCAGTCTTTTTCCTCCCGCGGTCGGACGAGTGGATGCGGATGTGGCGGGTTAGTTCGTCGGAACGGGAAAAACGTTTCTCGCAGCTGTCGTTTGGCGAGGGGATGGGAGGGGGGAGGGGAGATGGTTGAAGGAGGACGAGGAGGGATGGAGGGGCCGCGATAAGGGATTGAAGGAGAGCAAGCGGGAGAGACGAGTCAGTATGCGTCCTTGAGCTCCCTGCGAGTCCTTTGCGAGGGCGAGCGAGCCCCCATCCTCCATCCGCTCGCAACTCAAAACAATCTTATCTCCCGCCCAACCCTTCCTCCTCTCTTTTCCCGCAAAGAGCCAGTCTCGCTCGACTCACCCGGGATGAGTACAAGCATGCGGCTTCTCGCCCGTGTGCGTGCGGATGTGACGGGTTTGGTGTTCGAGGCGGTAGAAGGCGCGAGGGCAGAGGGGGCATTTGTACGGCCTGCGCGCGCGCGGGGGGGACCAAGGCAAGGTTAGTTTCGTGCAACCACCTTTGCGAGCGTATCGAGCATTCGAGCGAGGCGCCCGCAGAGGTGCGGAAGTGAACACGCTCGCCCACCCGGGCTGATGAAAGCGCGCGCTGCTCACCTCGGGATCTGGTCTCGGGAGGGCAGCAAGCTTGCGGCTGTGACACCTGCGGGCGTGTGACCCTGTGCGTCGAGTGTGACCTGGTGCGTTGGCGGCGGTGGCTGCTGGAGGGGAGTTGGGAATTGCTGCTGCGCGGTGCCGGGGGGCGGGAGGGGGTCCATGGCGCACACCGCTTGACCTGGTGGTCGAGTAGCTCTGTGTCTGTGTTGTGTGTGTGTGTGTTTGCTGGGTCCGCTGGGAGGGTGAGCGGCGAGAGCGAGTGCGGGGGACCAGACGGGGGCGGCGAGTGCGAGGGCGACGAGGAGGAGGCGAGGCGGCGAGTCTGTTCGAGTGCGAGTAGTCGGGTGTGACTGTGATCCCTCGTGAGTGAGCCCTTGTAGCCTCGTCTGTTAGCCTCGTGTCAAGCTGTGTGCGAGTGCGCAGGAGAGGACAGGCGCCGCTCGTGCTTTCCGAGGCCGAACCCGTCTCCCTCGCCGCGTCTCTCTCTCGCCCGCTCACATCGCACAGGATCGCACTCGCGCACTCTTCTACACTCGAACAACTCACTCGGTGCTGCACGCGCTGGCACGCTCGTGGACCGTCGCCACGCGCACGCACGCCTTATCTCGTCTGCCCGCTTCTCTCGCCCAAGTGCGCGGTCATCGTCGCACTCAAACGTTCCTCCTTCGACCTTGCTCTCCCTGGACTTGTTACAGTCGCATCGACGCAGCTCGGTCCAGCGTACTGTACGCCTCGAATGACTAATCGTTTGGCTAGCCGCGCTTAACCTCGGAATCGCGGTCTCTCGGCTTGCACACACGTTCGGCAGGATCGTTGGTTGACGGAGGAGGGTGTGGATGACGAGGACGGCGAAGGCGAGCTGGCCGCACCCGGCGGACTTGCTCTCGCTCGACCGCTTCTTCCTCGCTCGCTTCCCTCTCCACCACGCTTCTCTACCCAACCACGCCTGGCTACAATGACGCCTCACGCAGCACACGATGCAGATCCCGTCAGATCAAGGTGGAACGATCGTCTCCCTTGCCGGACGGGGAGAAGGGTGTCTCGAGAAGAGATCCTCGCCCCCGGTCTCGCTGTTCTTTCGTGCGCCTCGCTTGCTTCGCTCGGAGATTGGCGAACGAGGATTTTGCTACTGCTCTCGTGCGGTATGAGGAGATGCATGATACGTGGCGACACCGTCGAGCATCCGCTGGAGGAGGAGGAGGGACGGCGAGGCGAACGTAGAGGACTTTGCTGTCTTCTTCGCGCTTCTTCCCCATTGTCTCTTCAGGCGTGTTTCTGGCTCCTTGCTCCGCAACCGCCTCCCCTTCCCGCTCTCCTACAATTCTCTTCCATGCTGCTCCCTCTCTCCCTCGGCTTCTCGCCATCCTCCTTCCTCAAGCCCGCTCACGCCTCCGTTTTCCGCGCACGCATCTCCACGCTCTCCCTCTGGATGACTTTGCCTTTGCACAGAAGGAGACGGACCTCGCAAGGTTGGAAGACCTCTCACCTTCTCTCGACCTGTTCGGCCTACCCAAATCCCCCTCCGCTCCGCCTCGCTCCCTGCTTCCCTCCGGTGCAAGTACAGACTCAGGATAGAGCTGCTCATCGCTTGCCAGAGCATGAGCCGTTCGCATCTGAGCCAGACGAGGAGAAGCGAACGCACCCTCTTGCCCTTTGGCCTTTGCCATTCCTCGCGTCCCTGCGCTCCCTCGTTCCTTCGTTGTCTTGAGCTCCGTGAGGTGTTCTTGTTGAAGAGGTGGTTGTGGGCGGTCTCTGCGCAAGTTGGCAGAGAGGCGCTGCGAGCAAGAACAGGCGCAGACGCTCGCACGGAGAGGAAGGGCCCGGAGCTAGTGTTACCACACCGGCAAAGCTCGAACTCCTGACACCAAGCGACTAGCGCTAATAGCTCAGTGGTAGAGCGGCCGACTGCAAAGTTCCTAGTAGCAATGCCAGGACTTAGCGTGATCGTCAGGTCGCCGGTTCGATCCCGGCTTGGCGCTGGTACTTTTTGCTGCTCATTTCGAGCGCTACTTTGCTTTTTGGCCCCCCCAAGCACCGGGGAACGACCCGCGAGTCGAGCGAAGTCGAGCGGGAGGACGACGAGGCGACGACGGCGGCCTCTCCTCGACCACGCCCGCCTCACGTCGAGTTAAGGCTCGGCTGCGTGTCTGCTGGCTTGCTTGGACTCGTACGAACCACCAGCAACCATCCCCAGCCGCCCCAGCGCTTGCCGTCGCCCGCTCCCTCCCCCACCTCCTCCTCCTTTCATCCGCTCCCTCTCAACACACACCGCGCATGATCCCCATCCGCCGCCCACTCCCAGCCCAACCACTCGTCTCCTTCCCGCTCGACCAACTCGCGAAACCCGCGCCGCTCCCGATGAGGGAAGACGAACGACCCCGCTCGACGGCGCTCAAGGTCGTGCTGTTCTTGCCGCTCGTGTTCGTGTTTTGCTTGTTGGGATTCGCCGCGTATGCGTTCTTGTGGTCCCTGTGTATCGTGCGTTCCTCGCCTCTCCTTCCTCGACCTGACGCAGAGCTGAATTCTCGCTTCCCTCGGCCAGGAATACCTCCTCCTCCACGCCCACCGACCCTTAGAAGCCCTCCTCTACGCAGCACCCTTCTCATGGTTCCTCTTTGCCTGCGGCGGATCGTTCTGGATGGCCTACTGGCGCGGTGGAGGGATCGTTCCCGGCGCGGGATACTGGAAGAGGGGGGACGAGGAGGCGCGTGTTGGGCATTCGAGCTTGAAAGGTGAGGTGAGGGGTTTTGTGGAGGAGAGAGCGGAGGAGGAGGAGGAGGGGTTGTTGGCTGCGGAAGAAGGGGGAGGGAGGAGGACGTTGCAGGTCAAGAGCGATGGGTCGGTGAGGTTCTGCAGGAAGGTGCGTCCGTTCCCCTTGACGCTTTCGAGAGAAGCGAGGACTGACTCTGACGAGGTGTTCGGGACTCGAAGTGCAATGTCCCGAAACCGGACCGCGCACACCATTGCTCGTCCTGCCGCCGCTGCGTCCTCAAGATGGACCACCACTGTCCGTGGCTCGGCGGAGGCTGCGTCGTGCGTTCCTTCCCTCGCACCCTACCCTAGCTTCTCCCGCTCACCCGACCGACTTTCCGCAGGGCTGGGCAAACTACAAGTTCTTCCTCCTCGCGCTGTGGTACACCGGCATCCTGGGTGTCTACTCCTCCGTCGTCCTCTTCCACGAACTAATCGCCTTCGTAGGCGAATACGACGATGTGCGCCCCGTTCCTCCCTCCCTCTCTTCCTCCTCAAGCTGATTCGAGCGATTCGAACAGGGCTTCGAGTTGGCGCCGATCTCGTGGGCGCTTGCGGCGCTCCTGGGTGTGATTTTTGGTGTTGCAGTCGGCTGCTTCGGGCTGTACCACCTCTACCTCGCCTGCAAGAACCGGTGCGTCGGCCCTCTCCTCTCCCTCATCTTCCCATTTCCGCTGACGCCCGGCGCGGCGATGCAGGACCACAATCGAAGCGATGGAACACCCGACCTCTCTCGCCATCCTCACTCCCCCCTCCTCCTCCTCCCGCTCCCTCTCTCCATCTCAACGCCGCCGCCTCGCGCGCGCCGCAAGGACCTACAACATCTACGACCTAGGCTGGCGTGAGAACCTGCGACAGGTGTTCGCGGGGAGGGAGAGGTGGTGGGAGTGGGGCTGTCCTTGGGGTTGGCCGTGCGTCCCCTCTCTCTCTCGCTTTCACAAGGAGAGACGCTGATTGTGTACGAACGAGCAGGCCCGGAGACGGACAGAGCTTCCCGATCAACGAGGAACACCTTGCCCAGCTCAGGCGGATCACGGAGGAGGTTTATGCTGAGGCGGCTGCGGGACGGCAGGAGGAGCGAGCGTACGAACTGGGGGGCGACGACGACTCGAGTGCGAGTGATGAGGATGGGCCGGTGCGGAGGGCATGAGGAGGCGAGGAGGTATTGTTGTCACCACTATGCAAGGCTCGCATTCTCTCGCGAGCATCCGGGCTCACCGGGAAGCGTTGCGAAAGACGATGCGGACTAGAGGGTACAAAGCTACAGAACGAGTGCGAGGCGAGAGAAGCGAAGGAGCCCGTCTAACTGAGACGCTGGCGCTCGATCGTCGAGACTTGGCCGCCTTCGCCGCGAGAGACGCGCCAGTACCTGCGGAGCGTGCGTTGTCAGCGGAGAATGGCTGTGCGGAGCAATGGACGGCGCACTTGTCGAGAACGCCGGACGAGCCGATCTCTTGCAGGAAGTCCTCGTCGTGCGTGATGACGATGAGCTGGAACTGCAGCGCCGGGCAGACGGTCAGCTCGCATCGACTGAGCCAGAAATATCGACGCACGTTCGACTGTCCCTTGCGCTCCTGGATGAGCCTGCGAAGGAACGGGGGCGTTAGGCGGGACCAGACGGGCGAAGGAACGGTTTGTACGCACTCAGCGAGCGAGCTAGCGAGCGCCTTGATATTCTCCTTGTCGAGATTCGTCGTCGGCTCATCGAGCGCCATTATGCCGCAGTTGACGGAGAACGATTCTGCGAGGGCGAGGCGGATGATGATGGACGCGAGAACCTTCTGGCCGGCACTGCACCGTCCGCGCATGTCCATCTCGGTCTGGTCCTTGAACATGACCACCTGAGTGTTAAAGGAGGTCAGCGATTCCGTTGGAAGGAAGAAAGAGAACGGGACGGACGCGGTAGTTGTATGAGCGAGCCGCGCCGGTCGTCTTGCCCTCCGAGTCGGCCTTGATCATGATCTTGTCGATATCTGCCGCGGTCACTCGTCAGCTCGTCGTACTAGCGAAAGGCGAAGGACGCGAGCACACCTGTACCCTGGTAGGTCTTGGTCCAGAGGTCGGCGATAGTCTCGTTAATCTCCCGCATTTTGAGACCATGGAAGCGCATGATGGCGCTGCGACGAGCGCGTCAGCGAGTCAGCGAAGGCATGAGGAAAGAAGGGAACGCACCCGTCGAGCGCCTTCTGAAGCTTCTCGAGATCCTGGTTCGCCATCTCGGCGGTCTGCGCGATGGGACGTCAGCTGGCAGAGAAGACAATGCTCGACGTTGACGCACCTTCAGGTTAATCAGCTCGCGGCGGTACTTTTCGTCGATGTCCTTGTACTCGGTGTTGAGCTCTTCCTCCTTCTCCTTGCGGTCGTTCGTCATCGACTGGATCTCACCTCCCAGGCGCGCTTGCTATAAACGGAGGAAGAATCAGTACGGCTTCTGCAGTGTGCATCGCGCGACGCACCTCGGCCTGCATCTCGGTTTGCTTCCGCCGCTGCTCGTTGTAGTCCGTCTCGAACTTGCGGTACGCCTTCCTCGCGCCGTCTTCGTCAAGCTCGTCGATTTGCGAGTCGATCGACTCGAGCGAGCGCTTCTCAGAGCGGAGGCGGAGGTTGTCCTGCAAGTTGCGCAAGACGGCCTGCGAGTCGGCGAGCATCTTGTCGATCTGCGAGACCTGCGCCTGCAGGTTGGCGATTCGCGTCTTCATGTCGCCAATGACGTTCTCGTGCTGCTTGAGCTCGCGCTCGCACTTCTGGAGCTCGGCGTCGCCACCGCGAGACTCGTAGCTGGGAGTCGGACCAGCGAGTCAGCTTCGCAGCCTCAACCAGGCTCAAGTCTCGCAAGCGCACCTGCGGATCTCGCGCTTGTTCGAGTCGAGCTGCTCGGCACTCTTATTGAAGACCTGGAGCTGTCGACTCGCGGCCGCCTCGTCGCGCGTAAAGTCGGCTCGGATCGTCGCAAGCTCGCCCTCCTTCTGCCGGATGGGCGTGATCGCCTCGCTCAGCCTCTTGTCGAGCTCCTGCACGCAGTACTTTGTGTCAGCTCACTCGCAGACAAACACGCACGAGTGAAGCGCACCTTCGACTGCTTCTCGAGCTTGGCAATCTCCTCGCGAGCATCGTTCTGCCTCTGCTCAAGCGTCTCCTTGTCCCGCACCTCCTGGCGCTTCTTCGACAGGTCCATCTCGCGCTGATGAATGCTGGTCGAGAGGGTCTGAAGCGTGTTTGTCGCCGACTGCTGCTCGGCGCGGACTTTCTCGGTCGCTGCCTTGACGGCGCGGCTGCGAGAGGATCAGGCGTCAGACGAGCCAAGGTCAATCAGGACAGTCGCGGACGCACATCTGCTCTCCGAGCTGGCTAAGCTGCTCCTGGATCTCCTCCGACGTCGCGGTTGAACCCGTCGCCGACAGCTCCGACTCGAGCTTGCCAATCTCCGACTCGACGTCCTCAGCCTCGCGGTGGAGGCGCGTCACCTCGGTGGCAGCCTTGCGGAGCGACTGCAGGTCGCGCGACTTGTCCTTGAGCTCGTTGAGCTGCGCGTTTGTCTCCTCGGCTTTCTGGCGAGCGGGGACAAGCTTCTCCTCCTGCTGCGAGGCAGACGTCTCGGCCGCCGGCAGCTCCTCCTTCGTGATGCGGTTAAAGTTGACCTCGATGGGCATGAGGCGCTTCAGGTCGTCGAGCTGCTTGGTCCAAGTCTTCATGTCCTGCTGGGCCTGGCGGAGTTCCTGCGGCGCCTTCTCCTTGCGGCGCATGACCTGCGAGGTACCGGACAGTCAGCAAGAGGTCAGGCGAAGGAGCTGGACCGAGACGCACGTAGCGCTCGAGGTCCGGCAGCTCGTCGCGCGAGACCGAACGGTCGCATCCGAGGCAGACGTGGTTCTTCTTGGCGCCATTGAGGATGCGGTCGTAGAACTTCTGGATCGAGGCAAAGTCGGACACCTCCCTGCGAGACGAGTATTCAGTCAGCGAGGCTCCTCGCACGCCAGCAGACTTGACTTACTTAGTCACCTCGGCGAGTTCTTCCTCCGCCTCCTCGAGCGCCTCCTGCACAGTTGTTTTCTCCGTGTCGAGCCCGCGCAAGCCGTCTTTGATCTTGGTCTTGGCGTCTGCAGGCGAAGGACTGGTAGGTCGAGGCGCGGGAAAAGTGAAGAGCACACGTCCTCACCCTCGGCAGCCTGCTTGAGATCCTTGATCTTCTTCTTGGCGATGCTGACGCTCGTCTCGATGTTCTGCAACTCGCGGGCGGCATCGCGGGAAGCTCGCTCGGCGAAAGTGACGTCCTGGTCGAGAGTCCTGCGTGAGGGTCCGTCAGTTCGCGTATCTCCTAAGAGCGGACGCGGCACGCACTGGACAAGGGCCGACACCTGCGCCTCCATCGACTCGCGCTGGGGGTCCGCCTTGGCGAACTTGCGGAAACTCGCTGCACTCTTGTCGATCAGGCTCGCAATCGCCTCATCCTTGCGCATGCGCTCCGTACGCCTGAGCTGAAGCCTCGCGCGCGTGTTGGCCTGCGCATTGAGCCCGGCGAGCTCGTTGTGCAGGGCATCGCGGCGCTCCTCAAGGTCCTTCGCCTCGCGAGCCTTGTCGCGGAGCTGCTGGGTATAGTTGGCGGTCTTGATCTGGTCCTCGACCTTCTGGCGGCGCTCCTTCTCCTCAGCAAGCAAAGACTCTTGGTAGGTGATGTCGGCGACGGTGGTTGTTGTCGCATCGAGCTGGCGAGAGATGTTGGCGATGCGAATATCGGCGGCGCGCTGCGGACGGCCGAGTCAGTCTGCAGTACGGCGGCTAGCAGCCCGAGACACGCACGATCTGGTCCGCGATACTGGCCTTGGCGCGCTCGTCCGCGGCCCTCGCACTTTTGAAAGCCTGGATCTCGTCCTGGTACTTGTTCTCGGTCGCGCGGGCCTCGCTCTGCGCGGATCAGATTCGTCAGCAGATGCTATGTGGACGCAGGCGAAGTCATCGCACCTTGATCTTCTCGATCTTGCGCTGCTGGGACACGATCACATCCTCCATCTTCTCCTCAAACTCCTGCATCTCGCGCTCGTTGAGCTCGTGGTCGTAGCCGGGGATCTCGTGCTTCTCCGAGAGCTCGCGGATGAGGCTCTTGCGCGCTTCGAGCATCTCTTGGTGGCGCTGCGGGACGAAGCGGGTCAGCCAGTTGGCAGGACGGGGATAGCATCGATCAGGCGCACCTGCTTGAGGGCGAGGAGCCTGCCGTGCGTCGTCTGAGCAGCGCTGCGCTTGCGCTCAAAGTTGGCGAGCGTGTCCTGCTCGTCGCCGAGCTTCTGCTTCGTCGCCTCGCGATCGGAGCGAGCCTTGTCGAGGTCAGCTTCGTGGTTCTCGATCTTGGTCTTGAGCTCGTGCTCCGAGTCTGCACCGAGGCCCGATGTATCATCAGCTAAATACGGTCAAGCCGTGCGGAGAGGCCGAGAGGCGCGAGTCTTGCTGCGCACCTGGCAGCTGCTTGACGCCGTTGAGCAAGTTGTTCAGGTTCTCCTCGTGGATCTTGCGCCGCTCACGCAGCGTGTCGACCCGCCCGATGATATCCTGATACTTGCTCGCCTGGGTGAAGAACTTCTTGTTGCTCTCGACGAGCTTGGCGATCTTCTCCTCGAGCTCGTCGTACGTCGCCTGCTTGACGCTGATCTGCGTCGACACTTTCTTGAGGTTCTCGCGGAGCTGATACAGATAGAAGCGTGTCAGAAAGACGGACATTTGAGCGAGCAGGACGGCGACGCACCCTGAAGGCGCGGTCACGGTCCGTCTTGAGTGCAGCGAGCTTCTCCTTGTCGACCTTGATGTCGATGTTCTGGTCCTTGCGAATACGTTTGATCTCGTCGAGCACCTTGGTGTAACTGCGAGAGAATCATTTATCAGACAAGTCTGTTCGCCGAAAGCATGAAGCCGGCGCTCAATGATCTAACGCGGAAGCCGGCATGACTCGGTAACGAGACCCACTCGGTCGCCTCGAAGATGTCGTCAAACTTCTTCTTGAGCGCGGCAGGCTCGGACAGAGGCCAATTCGACTCTTCCTGGTGGCAGAAGATGACGTTCTGGAGGATGGCTTTTGAGACGCCGAGCTGCGTCGGAACTTCCTCGTCGATGTTGGCGCACTTGGTCGAAAGCGTTTGCCGTTTCTGCAGAGTGGTGACCAAGTCAGCCCGCCGCTCCAAGCTTTGCGGTAAGGTTACAGTATGCACCTTCTTGTCGACCTGATCCGCGTCGGCGTAGGAGATGACACCCTCGAGCGTCTTCATCGACAAGCCGGACGCAGTCTTCTTCTTCGTGACTTGCAGGCGCCGCTCAACAAGCATCTTCTCCTTCCGCAAGTTATTGAAGCGGAGCTTGACCTGCGCCTTGACCTCGGACGTGCCGGCGATCTGTCGCAGCGCGCACATCGGTCAGCGTTCAAGAGGGGATGGAGCGAAGAAAGGATCTGAACGCACAGCCGGGTCGTGGATCCAGGCGCCACCTTTCGAACCGGGAGGCAGGTCGCCCGTTGTTGCATACTTGAGGCACTCGATGATGGTCTGCGAGGGAGACGAAAGCGTCAGTCACCTCCGGATTTGACTGCGACATCCGTGAAACAGACGGGAGCGAAGTCGTCGACAGTCGCTAACGCACCGTCTTTCCGCTTCCGTTGTGCCCGACGATGACCGTCAAAGGCGAGTAGAACTGCATGACGGAGATCTCATTCGAGTCGAAGGAGCGGCTGGCGATGCGAACAAAGCTTGTTAGCTCGACCTCCCTGCGCGAGACCTAGGGAACCCGACACGCACATTCCGCGGATGGCGAGTTTGTCGAGGGACGACCTATCCGGCCAAGGAACGGATCAGCAATCCGCGCATCACGGTGAGGGCCGACGGAGCGAACTCACATCTTGCTTGTGGGGAGGAGGGGGAGCCTTTGAGGGTCCTGGTACAAGCGCGGCTTCGAGAGCAGCCTGTTTGCACCCCTTCAGCTGTTGAGATGCGCTTTGCGTGCGTCGAAACCCGCTGCGCGAGCGGATGAGGTGATTCGAGATTAATTGATGAGGACGAGTCGGGAGGAGGTGCGCGGGTGAGGAGAGCGCGCAGGCGAAGGCGTGGCAGTTGAGGACCTCTCAGACAGTCAAGCAAGCAAGACGCACAGCAGCAACGGTCGCTCGAGCGCGACCCGAGGTGAAGAGACGAAGTCAACCTGGGGGTCGTCTCGCGAAGTGAGAGAGCAATGATCAACGAGCGAGAGGTGATCTGGCCAGCCGGATAGCTTGCAGAGTCAATAAGAATTCCTCTGGCAGGCGGGAGAAAGCGGGCAGTCCTCGTCTCAGACCAAGAGCGAGGAAGACAGCCTCTCCAGGTTGACATTGCTTCGCCTGCGTCAATGCAGCTGTCGAGACTCGTGAAGAGGATACAGGGTACAATAAAGCGAGTTCTACATGCACTGGGCGGACCTTGGTGCGCCCTGGGAATAGCAGGAGGCGAGGGTGGATCACAGCGAGTGCTCCTTGAGTGGTCGCAGGTCGGAGCGGATGGGTTCTGCGGGGTGCAACAAGTCAGCGAGCAAGTCCACGTTGTTGAAGGGACAGACCGTCCGTCCGCATCGAGCAAGCGTACTGATGAGCGGATGCAGTTGTGCGAGGTAGGTGATTGCCCACCTGCGGATCGACGAACGGGTCAGCGGGCTTGTCCTGCTTTTATGACCGGGACCAAGCAGTCATGCCCACGCACATGAGCCAGCAACAAGTGATGGCGAGGGTGATACTCGTTCGAATGACACTGCCAGCGGGACGAAGTGGGGTCAGCAATCGCGTAGACGGGCTGAACAACTAGCTGGGTCATCTGCCACACTACGGAAGCCACTGGAGCTGTACTCACACCTGGTTCTCGCCCTTTGGCACCGACACCCATCCACCAGCAGCCGCTCCAGCCGCGATGAGGAGCGTGAGGAAGATCCTGTCAGGCGGGAGCGAGCGCGTTAGCCAGGCGTCCGTAGTGAGTGAACAGGCTCGTGAGCGCACAATCCACCGCCCATAGCTTGCCGTTGAGGGTGTTGCGAGCGTAAGAGGCGGGAGAGGGAGCGAGCGAGGGGCTTCCTCCTCGTCACCACACTGCATCTCGCTAAAGCGGGCTGGCACCCTACGGACTTGCTCATACAGGCTGTTTTTCTCCGCCTCGAGTGCTCCCGCTCGCCCCCGCTGCTTTGTTCCGCCGCTTGTTCCCATCTCCAACCTCATCAGCTCCGAGGTCTGCAGACGGCAGACACGCTCGAGGCGCGGGCTTGGTCGAACAGGCGGAGTTGAATGGGTGAGGGTATCGCACGGGACAAAGTGGCGGGACGATGCACGGTCAACGGGCGACAACAGGCGAGGCCAGCGAGGCAGGTCATTCAGCAGGGCGGCAACAAGCGACCGAGCTACCCCGCGAGCAACAGATGCTACGCGACACCCTTCCCTACGTCTGGAGACCGGCGGCGAACGGCTTTGACGCATCCGGGACTTGCAGTCTCCAGCTGCCAAACCTCGCTCTCGTCTCAACACACCCACGCGTCGGACTGAAGGAAACGGGACATCGACCTGCACGCGAAACTCCGCAAGTGAACATCGAACACCCACATCTGGACACCAAGCGCGCTACTCTCGCGGCTTCCAGTATTTCAGGCTTGTCGAACTCGCTGCGGCGTCCTGCTTGCCTCGCCTCTCTGGCTGCTCTTCCTGTGACCTTGCACTGCGGACACAATATCACCCTGCCACTTCTCGCGGTCAGCCAGTGTTATTGCTGTCCCGCATCGGCTCTACTCACGCCTTTTTCGCTCTATCCAGCTTCAACAGCGGAAGTTCTGCGCTCAATCTGCGCTGCTCAGCTCGGCGACATCGCCAGATCGACACTTTCGGATCAGTCACGTCCGCGCTGCTCTCGCACAGAACGGCCTCACGGCTCTGCCGTCTCCCACGCTCCTCCTCCTCCGCCCACCCCCCTCATCGTCCCCCTTTCATCCTCACTCGGCCGTCCCTTTTCCGACGCCTGCCGATTCGACCGAGCTCTTCGGATGCATCCCGAGCCGGTTTGCATGACGTAGCAGTCGTGCACAAAATCGCTGGCCTTCTCTCTCTCGCTCCTCTTCCTTGCTGCTCCCCCGTGCCCAGGCGTGGAGACAGAAGCAAAAACAGCAAGAAGAGTTGCGCCCAAGCTGCGCCCACGGCTGGCGAGAACGAGGGAGGAGGGCCGTCCGCGGATTCTCCGTCTCGTCCTTGTCCCCCCGCTCGTCTCCTATATCGCCACGCGTCGCTGCGATGGTCGCAGACCTCGTTGCCAAGAGGGCGGATCAGCGACAAGCAGGAGAAAAGAGGAAAGGAAGGAAGCAGACGAGGATAGCGAGGCGGACAAGTGTGGGGCGAAGCAAGAGCCAGCGACGCTAGTTAGCCAACCTTGACGCAGGGCCCCTCTAAGATGAAAGCCGGAGAAGACGTCCAGCTGAAGCTCTGCTGCTTGCTCTTCTCCTTTGATAGCGTACGAGCCGGCGTGTGCAACTCTGCCTTTCCTCACCTCCTCGCGAGCGTCGCACCGCCATCCGCGTTGCCGTTACGAGGTTCGTGCGCGCCAAGGGCATCGATTGTACCTGGCTAACTCCGCATTTGTCGCTCCCCACGGCTCTCCTCTCTGGTCTCCAAGTTGGCCTCCGCTTCCCCTCTTTCTCTCCTTCTGCTCACTCGTCTTCCAGCGCTCTCTTCCTACCCTACTTTCGAGCGAAACGACGACGACCATGTCCCACCCAGTCGACTCGACACACCCTGTCGAGCCTTCCATCGCCAGGATGACGGAGGAGGCGGCGAAGCAAAAGGCCGTCGGTACGTCGGAGAAGAGGGAGTTTGCAGGCGAGGACGACTTCAAGCACCTCGACAACCTTCGCGAGAACCCGAATGCGGTCCTCGAGAACCCTCTCCAGGTGCGTCCCTCATCATCTCCTCTTCATCGCCGGTCGCCGTGGTCCCGCGACAAGCCCTTCGCAGGACTTACTGACGCTCGAAAACGGTACAGGGCATCTCTCACGAGCGTCTTGAGGGTGCGTTGCCCGTCCTGGCGGCGTATGGGCCTGGCAGCGAGCTGATCTTCTCCCTCCAGCAATGGGTCGCGCCTTCGCTCGCGAGAAGGGCCTCGAAGAGTACGAGGAGGAGTTCGCCAAGGGTGCACAGCTTGCGCAGGACCCTCTCGCCTTCGAATCGGTCGCTATGCTCGGCGACGCCGACCGCGAGATCCTCCGCGACGAAGTGGTCCGTCTCCCTCCCCCCTTCTCCTCGCATCGATTCTGACCGCCTATTTCGCAGGCGCACAAGTGGCGACACCCTTGGCAGCTGTACTCGCTCGTCGTGTGCTGCTCGATGGCCGCCGCCGTCCAAGGAATGGTGAGTTCGCCTTTCCTTCGCGTTTCACGGCCGCTAACGCCCTGGGACGCCTCCAGGACGAATCGGTCACCAACGGCGCAAATTTATTCTGGCCGCCCGCGTTGGGCTTGGTAACTACGTCCGATAACCCTAGTAAGGCCCCCTCGTCCTCCTCAGCGGTTTTCAAGCCGTTTCGCTTCGTCCTCCCCGGCGGTTTTGGAGCCGTTTCGCTGACCCGTCTCGCCTTGCTCGCCCCTTGCAGACGCCAGCTACGACGAATGGATCCTTGGGTGCGTTGCTGGAGGCCAGGATAGCCCAGGATCATCGGAGAGCTCGACTAACTGCCCTCCGTTCGCAGTCTCATTAACGGCGCTCCCTACCTCTGCTGCGCTGTCCTCGGTTGCTGGCTCACCGCTCCTTTGTAAGCAGACTTCACAAGTGATATGGGCGTTTTCGCTGATACTCTGCGCCGACAGGAACAACTGGCTCGGCCGCCGCGGCACCATCTTCCTCACCGCCTTCATCTCGGCCGCCGCCTGCATCTGGTCTGCCTGCACGTCGACGCGCTGGAACCTCTTTGCCGCTCGCTTCGTCCTGGGTCTCGGTATCGGACCCAAGTCGGCGACCGTCCCCGTCTTTGCCGCCGAGACGGCTCCTCCTCTGTGCGTCCCAATGTTTCGTTCCCCGATTTCGCTTCCTCTGACTGATGATCTCCCTCTACAGGATTCGTGGCGCTCTCGTCATGCAGTGGCAGGTGTGGACCGCCTTCGGTAGGTCGCATCTCCCTCCTCGACGAGGGGCGAGCTGACATCTTCCTCCGGCAGGCATCATGCTCGGCACGGTGTCCTCGCTCGCCTTCTACCACGTTGGTGACACTGCCCATATCCACGGTCTCAACTGGCGGTTGATGCTCGGCTCGTGAGTTTCCCTTTCCCTCCGCTTGAGAAGGTTGTCAAGCTCACCCAGTTTCTCCCTCTTCTTCTCCTCTTCTTCCTGCTCGCAGCGCCTGTCTCCCAGCTTTCGCGGTCATGGCCCAGGCAAGTCTCTCGCTTCTGCCCTCAGTCGCCCGGTCGGCTCACCATTTCGTCCTCTTCGGCTGCACGCAGGTCTTTTTCTGCCCCGAGTCGCCCCGTTGGCTTATTGGTGCGTCCTCCGCTTTCCCCATCTCCATTTTCGCTCTTGATATCGCGCCGCTGACATCGTCTTCTCTCCCACCTTCGCCTCGCCGTCGCCTCCCTCGCATCTTCTCTTCCAGGTCGCGGCCGGTACCGCGACGCCTACCACTCGCTCTGCCGCCTCCGTTACTCGAAACTCCAGGCTGCCCGCGACTTGTTCATGATCAACGCTCTCCTCGAGGAGGAGGCGAACATGCCCTCTGGCAAGGCCGCTCTCCTCGAGCTCTTCGCCGTTGGCCGCAACCGCCGTGCCGCCGTCGCCTCCGGTATCGTCATGTGCGTTCGGTCTCGTCGGTGCACATCGAGCGGTCGGTGCTGACTCAACATCGCTTCGCAGGTTCATGCAGCAGTTCTGCGGCATCAACGGTTCGTCCCGACGCTCTCGCTGCGCGATCTTCCTCCTTCTCACCTCGGTTCATGCTCGCAGTCATCGCCTACTACTCGTCGACCATCTTCCGTCGTGCGTCTCCTCTAACTTGCCCGGTCTCGAGCCGACCTGACCTTCCTCGTCTTCGCAGAGGCCGGCTTCGACGAGATCACCGCTCTCGGCGCTACTCTCGGATTCGGGTACGTGTCGCTACCATTATGCACCGTTGAGCTTCGCTGATGAGGACCTTCGAATCACAGCGCGCTCAACTGGGTCATGGTCCGCCTCGCCTTTCTCGATTCCTCCGCTCAACCTACTCACCTTTGACTCTCCCGCAGGCTGCTCCCGCTGTCTGGACCATTGACAGTGAGTAGCGCGTTGACGACGTCGCACAACGCGAAGGAACGAACTGACGCTCGCCGCTCGCAGCCTTCGGTCGCCGCAACCTCCTCCTCACGACCTTCCCGCTCATGTGCATCTTCCTCCTCATGACCGGCTTCGCCTTCTACATCCCCGAGACCAGCAAGGCTCGCATCGCTGTCGTCGCCCTCGGCATTTACCTGCACTGTGGGTTGCTCCTTCCCTCCCTCCCTTTTTTCTTCTCACTGATCCGTCGCCTACTCTCGCAGGCATGGCCTACTCTCCTGGCGAGGGACCGGTGCCCTTCACGTACTCGGCCGAGGTGCGTTGCCGCCGCCCAGATTCGCCACCAACCGTCGTCGCTGACCTTGCCTCGTCTCCAGGCCTTCCCGCTCTACGTCCGCGACATCGGCATGTCCTACGCCACCGCCGTCACCTGGCTCTTCAACTTCGTGAGTTTCGCGGCGCCTGGACTGACGCCGAGCTCAACGCTGACCGCTCTTGTTCGAAACCTTCTCAGATCGTGGCCCTCACTTTCCCTCGCCTCCTGACGGCCTTCACGCCTCAGGGTGCCTTCGGATGGTGTACGTCTTCCTCTCCTTCCGCGTGAAGCATCCTTTCCGCCTAACCTGCGAGCTTCTCCTCGAGAACCTCACGCTGACCCTCTCACACGCCTCGCAGACGCCGGCTGGAACGCCCTCGGCACACTCCTCGTCCTCTTCTTCGTTCCGGAGACGAAGGGACTCTCGCTCGAGGAGCTCGACCAAGTCTTCTCGGTCCCGACTCGCAAGCACGCCTCGTACCACGGCAAGGGTGTCGGCTACAACTTCCGCAAGTACATCCTCCGCCAGCGTCTGCCGCCGAGGGCTCCGTTGTACCAATGGGAGGACCGTACCGTCGCGCGCGAATTCTGAGCCAGGCTCGCCGCACCCTTCCCTCCTCGTGTCGTTCTCGTCCCCTTTGCTTTCTCTCGGTTCTCTCCTTAATAGCAGTCCTCTTCGCACTCGCACGGGTTCCTCTTTACGATCAGTATCTCTGTAGGCCCTCCCTCGCTTTCGGTTGCAAGTCATCAGCAGGTTGTGGCATCCCTGCGTGTTCTTCGCGAGGAGGTCGAGCTGGGGGTCCTGGCTGCGCTCATAAGCTCGCCTGTAGGTGGATGCTGCTCGTACGCGCATGTAAGGAGGCGCAAACAAGGATGAAGCCATTCGCTCAAGGACGACTCGCTCAAGATTCCTCCTCCTCTTCATGCGTCGTCTCCGCCCCCGCACCAACACCTTCCATTTCCCCTCTCTCAAGCGCACACACGAGATCAAGGTGAACGATGCTTGATTGGGCACTGCATGAGGGATACGAAAGACTGGTGTTCAGACACTTTTGGACGAGAGGGTGGCGAAAGATGAGGGGGTATAATCAAGCATGAGGGCACAGAAGGATTGAACGATGAAGGGAGGGATGGCACAGAGGCCTTAACTTAACGAATGAGGGAGAGTGATGGCATGGATTCGGAAAGGAGCGAGATGGCGGAGACGATGCGACAGCGTGCGCCGCGCCAGCATGACCAATGTCCGACGAGAGAGGGCGAGGAACCATATGCACAAGAAGCGACGCCGACGAGAGGTAAGAGCGACGCCGCCTCAGTGCTCGTCGACCTCGTGTAGCGAGAGCGCGCTGCCGGACCGACGAGTGAGAACGCCGCGCTCGACCGAGCCGGCCAGGCCGCCAGCGTACCCGCCGAAAGTCGGCACGCTCGACGTGCTCTGCGTGCGCGAGAGACGAAGGCGCTGCTTGGGCGGACCGGCGAGACTCGCGATGTTGCCCGAGCTGGCGTGCATCGCGAAGGGCGAGTTGAGCGCGGCGAACGAGGCGGACGACGGACCGAGACCGGACGGCGTAGGCGGCGCCGACGAGATGGCGGCGAGCGAGACGCCCTGGGCGTTGCGAGCGCGCTCCATCTTGCCGCGGAGGTCGGACAGGACGATGAGGTCCTTCGGCGAGACGTAGTCCTGGCCGGCACGGGTCGAGAGGTACTCGAGAGCAATCTCGAGCGACGAGAACGCCTGCTCGAGCGTGACGGGCTGTCCGGGCATGCGACTCGCCGAGAGCGACGGCGCCATGGCCGAGCTGCCGATGCTGCTGCTGCGCGAGAGCGAGACCGACGCGCCGAACGAGAGGCCGCCCGAGATGGTCGAGCGACGGGTGAGGAGCGGCGGCTGTTGCTGCTGCTGCTGGGAGTCGGCAGATGCAGGGTATGCCTGAAGATGCGGGTATCGTTGTTGATGCGATGGATGCTGGGGATGAGACGAAACCGATGACGATGCGGAAGACCCCTGAGAATACTGCGAAGAAGGAGTGTGCGAGGCGCCCGCCGAGAGGAACGAGCTCTGGAGCTGCGCCTGCTCCGAGCCGAAGTAGCCCGTCTGGCCGGTCGGGTTCGCAGGCGTGCCCGGCGCCGAGCAGATGTTGCCCTGGCTGTCACGGAAGGAACCGTAGAGCGATCCGGTGAGAGGCGTGCCCGGATTCTGCGACGAGAACGCCGTCAAGCCCGAGTAGACCGAGACGCTCGAGGCGGTCGAGCCGGAACGGCGGTGGTAGATCGACGGCGCAGGCGAGGCTCCCGCACTCGCTCCGTGCGTCGCGCGTGCTGACTGCGCGCCGTAGCTGACGAGCGAAGACTGCGAGGACGAGCTTGAGGGACCGCCCGAGCCGGAGAGGTCGTGCGGAGAGTAAGGCTGGGTGAGGCCGCTCGCGTGCCCGCCTATGTCGGTCGGCGAGTAGTCTGCGCCGAGGACGAGGTTCGACGCGCCGTGCTGTGAGGGGCGGGAAGGAGTCGACATGCTCATGCCGGTGGAGCCGCTCGCGCCTTCCGGGCTGTACGAGAACGGCAGGGCGAGTCCGCTGACGCGCTCTGTCACTTCCGTCGACGCGCGAGAGTGCACAGTCGAGTGCGTCGGCGTCGCCTCCGAGTCCATCGACAAGTCGCCGAACGAGCCCCCCGCCATCGAGTGAACCGTGTCTTGCTGCTCAGCACGCGAGACGGCGGGCGAGCTAGACCGCGACAAGCTGTCGGCGAACGCAGCGAGGGTCGTCTTGGCGCTCGCGAGCCGCCGAATCGTCTTGCTGCCGACGCTCCGCTTGCTCCGCCGCAGACCGCTCGGGACGTCGTACTCCTCGTCGTCGTGCGGCTGAGTCTGCGCGACGTCCTCATCCTCCTCGACGGGTGGTGGCAGCGTGCGCCGCGAGTTGGGTGTCGGGGTCGGAGCAGGCGCGGGAGGCGAGATGGACCGCAGAGCAACGGACGATCGCAAGTCGGCAAAGGTCCCGCCGATGATGCTCGCGCGATGCTTGAAGCCGTCGAGCCAGGTCTGACTCGCCTTGAACTTCTCGTCGCCGAGGTCGCGGGCGATGCCGCGAGCCTGGCGTTGGAGGATAGCGTCGCTGAGGGGTTGGCCGAGTGGTGCGTGCTCGCGCGCCCAGGCGTACAAGGCGGCGTCGATGTCGGGGAAGCGTCCGCCGGGGATGAGACCGGGAGGAGGAGCGGCCGTCGAGTCGGCGACCGAGTCGAGCGAGACGATGGACGAGACGGAAGACGAGTGCTGGAGGTGCTGCTGCTGCGGCTGAGGGGTTGCCGACGTCTCGTACAGCGATGACGCGTCCGAACCTGCACGGCGATGCGAGCCACGCAGAGAAGGCCCCGCGCCATGCTGCTCTTGCTGGGCGAGGCGCGAGACGGCACTCGCGCTCGTCTCGTCGTCCGACTCCATCGCGAGGTACTTGTCCTTGAACTTGAGCGTCTTCGAGATCGTGCTGCGCTCGTATCCAAAGTGCGCGCCGATCTCGTCCTGCTTCCAGCCCGGGTGGGTGAGGTGGAACTGGCAGATCGCTTTCCGCTCGGCGTTGGACAGCTTGCGCGAGTGCCTGTTCGCGGCCTTGATGGGCGACGACCGTCTCCGCGCGTGTTTCTGGTGCGAGTCGCGCTGGCTGTTCTGGCGCGAGAGCGAGCCTGACCGGTAGGGAGTCGACGGAGCCGTCGAAGCGCTGTCGCCGCCGTATACCGAGCTCGTCGCCGAGCTCGACTCGATGCGACTCATGTTGAGGTTCGAGACGGACGACGAGTCGCTCGGGCTCGACCCGCGCAGCGACTGGGACGGGTCAATCGTGCTCGAGAACGATCCGCGGTGGTCGTGGAACGGCGACGGGAGCGGGTTCGGGAAGAACGGCGAGGCGGGGGACGTGAGGGCGGTCATCTGGAGTGATGTCGATGCCGCAGACTGCAAGCTCGAGGCGCGGGAACGAGACGGCGAGCCAGGATTCGATGCGGGGTAAGCCTGTGCGAGCTGGGAGGTTCGGAGAGGCGGGTCGCGGCAGAGTGACAGTCCCAGGGTCAGCGCTCGCTCCAGCCGGTAGCCCTGTGTCCCATGTACACCCTCGAATCGAAAAGCGAGCTCACCTGCGCGTGTGCCGAGTCCTGGCGAGCGAGAAAGTGCGACGGGTCTGCGCCGGTGCCCAGGGAGGCTTTGGAGGCCTCGCGCGAGTGCTGGGCGGCGTGCGCGGGTCCCTCCTCGATACCGACCATCTGCATCTGCACCTCGAAGCCCAAGCCGTGCTGGAACGGGCGCTGCTGGGCGTGCAGCGAGCTCGAGGGGTCGAAGTCGTTTTCACTCATCAAGTCGGCGCACGGGTCGAAGAACGCCTGGTTCTGCCCCGGCTGGCGGTCCGGGCTGTAGCCTGTGTGTGTCCACTCTGACCAGGCGTGCGATCCCAGGCTCGGCGACCCCTGGTGGGCGACGACGTCGTCGAGACTGCCGCGCAGCTGGGCGGAGACGGTTCTCAGGCGCTGCTGGGGGAACCCAAACTCGGCGAGGCTCATGGCGGGGCGTGGAGGGTAGCTAGCACCGCCAGGCGGGCTGCTCGGAGGCGAGCGCGAGCGGGAGACGGCGTCGGGAGGGAAGGGGGGAGAAGGGGCGACCCTGTGGGAGAGGAGGTCGAGGGTCAGCGGTGTACGGGGTGTGGGTGTCCTGCTGTGCTCGCCTGCGATGCTCCTGTGCACGCCCAAGCTCGTCGACTTTGACCGCTGTCCTCGACTTGGCTCACTCGCTCGACGCTGGACAAACCAGCAGCTTTCGACGGAGCGAGTTGGACGGCGTGCCCTGGCTGGCTGGCTGGCTGGCAGTACTTTCCAATCCTGTGCCTGGTAAGGCGCGAAACGACCGCGCAGAAGGAACCGACTTTGGGAGTTTGAGTTCCGCCGCTTCCAACCCTTGCGCTCCCGCTTGTCAGCTTTGCTAATCTCGACCCCTTGCACTCCTTGATCAGCCCTTGATGAGCCTGCAACAACGGCGGCACATCGTAAGCGACGGCGCGCGGCAGTCTCCGCGCTCCCTCCAAGTCCGCTCCTCGTCCTCCCATTCTCTGCCGCTCTGCTCTTGCGCAAGACGATCGCCTTCGCCCTCTCTCGCTCAGAGCAGATCTGCAACCCGCCTGTCCGACTCCCGCTCTCGTCTGCCCACGCAGACCGCACGGCATGCGAGCAAAGTGCTGGACGGCGATCCCCTCACCCGTTCAAAGAGCTCGCAACGCCCCGTCTCCCGAAGCGTCGATGCGACGAGTTCCCCTCTGTTGCCGGCCTACGAAGAAGCCGTCCCGCGGTCCCGCCCCGTCGCTTTTCGATATCGCCGCTTGCCTGCCAGTAGCGTCCGCTCACGGCCGCGTACGGAGCTGCGAGCTGCTGTGAGGCTCGTCCAGCGCACACGTACGATCAGTATTGCGCAAGAAGCTTTCAGTAACAAGTAATGCAGAGCCGGCTACGTCGTTCCATGCGGGTCTCGTCCCTCCTCGACCTCTCGGCGCCGCCGCAACGTTTCGCTCCTAATGCAGCGCTTACTCGCCGTTGTAATGCTCAATAGCTACGGCTGATACGAACCCGCTCCTCGAGGATGTATGCCGGCAACCTGCCTCCCTCGCGCTTGGCAAGGCTTCGATGCTTTGCTCGATGCGACCCCGTCTTCTCGACTTTTCCAGCCGTCCCACTCCGTCCAGCCTCACCGCCGTGCAGCCCGCACGCCTGCAAGAAGGACAAGCAAGGCCAGGCGTCGTCGATTTTCGAGTGCGAGACACCCCTGCCTCTTGGTTCGCTCCCCGTCGTCGTCCACCGAGGGACGGGCTCGCGTTCATTTTTTTCCAACGAGGGCTCACTAGCAAACGCTTGCGAGCTGAGACTGTTCTGTGGCCATCGCGCACACTCATCACCAGCGCTAGCGAGCAAGCGTCGAAGCGAACGCAGCGGACTTGCAACGCGGCCTGTGCGTGCGAAACCCGCTTTCCCTCTCCCCAACGCCCTTTCGCTCCATCCGCTCGCCTTCCGCTGTCCCCAAGTTCGGCGCTTCCATCTCCGGACCGTCCCACATGCGAAACCACGGCGGACGATCCTTTGCCAGCGGCAGCTCGCTCCAAGGGTAACGAGGTCCCGCAACGCTACCCTCGCCCGTCCTGCTCCTTCTCGCCAGTCCGCCCGTGTTCAGCTTCAAGCGCTGCATCTGCAAGCGACAGAAGTCGCGCAACATGACCCGCGGCTGCCGGCAGATTCGTCGCAATTCCTCCTTCGCTCTGGAAGTCGTTTGTTCGATCATGCTTCCTCGCCGGGCCCCCGCCTCGTCGGAACCAATAACGGTTCGAGGCGGCAAGGAGGCCGGGCAGCGTGTTCGCCTGGAAGAACTTCGCCCGCCCTTCGCACGAGAGCGAGGGCGGCGTGAAGAAGGTGAAATTTCGAGCGTGGCAGTCGTACGTACGGCGCGCTGCGCAGCATTGCTCAAGTGCTCATGAGGACGGCGTACAGCGGGCGACCAGTCCAACGCGAGCGAACCAGCAGAAAACGACGAGCGAGCCTTCCTCCTTATCGTCCCCCTCGACCCTCTCGACCCCTTCTTCCCCGCTCTTCCCGCAAATGAAAGCGTGGGAAATACTCCGCACGGCGCGAAAGCCAGCGCAGCAGCCTGATCGAGCCCGTGAACTCCGTTGGGCGATTCCTGTCCGATTTGCTCCTCCTCTCGTCGCCTACGAGGACGGCGTGCACCCGCCCGTCCACTCATGCGCGCGCGCTCGGAAGAACGAGCGACAAGATGTTCATTTCGTGCGCCATGCGAGAGAGGCGGAAGAAGCAAGAGAGCGCTGCCTCACTGTTATAAGCCTTGTCGGCGGCGCAACGGAGCAGGGCGATCCACCCGCCTCGCACGATGTGCTCCTCCCATCTCCTGCTGAGACTTCGGCGACCTGTAGATCCCTCCTGCGAGACAGCCGCAGCCCAGAGCAACGGCGGGCGGGGGAGGAGCGAGAGCGAAGGGAGATTTGTCGAAGCCGGCGTGAAGGGGTTGCGCGCAACGCTCCGCAGGTTGCCCAGCCGCCAGAAGAAGCGGTTGTGCACCGGGTGAGCAGCGAGAGATCTCCACGCAGGGACAAGAGGCGAGTTGTGTGCCGTAGACCGCAGGCGACGCTGGCAAGACGTTCGATGAAGCGGCCGTTCCACCTCCGCTGCTGAACGACAACGCTCCCGCCGAGGTGGCGAGAACGTCCCTCGCGGTCGACTTTCCGGCGCAAGTTGCTGACGAGCACCGGCGCAGGCAGTTGAGCGAGTCGATCAAGTCGGCAGTAGCAACGGCGTGAGAAATTGCGCTGGTAGTACAACAAGAGTACGTCGAGTCGTATGTACGAGGAAGAAGGGGCGAAAGAAGCAGGGTTATCGGCCCGCTCCTGCTGCCGCGCTGGAGAATGGCGAATGAAGGAAGTCAGCGGACAAAGCAGCTCAGTCGGGCTCGCCTGGCGCACTTGGTTCGTGTCAGGTTGTCGATGTCTGCCCGCAAGCAGGCTCAAGGAGTCAGCTGTACGGCCACGAGCTTAAGAGAGGGTCAGGAGGACGAACAGGTCTGCAGCGTCTCGTTCTCCGACTTTAGCTTGTTCGCCTCGCCCTGCACTTCGCCTATCCGTTGTAACAGAGCTGTTGCGGTCACTACAACCGTCAGCGAGAGTCCCGAACGACAGGAGGGTCCCCCCACAAGCGACCACGAGGAGAGGGAGAGAACGCACCTCGCAAGCCGTCCTGCTTGTTGACGATCTCCCTGCATGCCACACGATGCCTCGTTAGTCCAATAAGCTCGTCGTCAGGCTCACAAAGCGAGACGGTGGGACGCACAAGATGATCTGCTCCTTCGCCTGGACGTCGGCAGCTGAGAACGCCTCTTCTGGCTGCGCTGCTTCTGGTGGAGGACCCCAAGCGTTGTCTGCGTCGACCGAGCTAGCGTGTGGTCTGCTCATGGCGAGTCGAGCGATGGTTCTCAGCCAGAGGAGTGCGAGCGAGGACCTCTCCTTCACCACCCGCTCGCACCTACACTGGGCGCTTAGACGCTTGCTTGACTGTGCTAGCAGGTGCTACTAAGCTCTAATTGATCCACCACTCGCCTCACCATCGCTTCCTGAGCCGCCGCCGCCACCTTCACCGCCCCATCCACTTTCTTTCGACCGGCGATGAGCAACCGCTTCGACTCTGCAACGTACCTGCGAGGTCTGGGGTGGAATGGACCAGGCTCATCTCTCAACAATTCGTCGGGCGGGCGCGCAAAGCCCATTGTCGTCGCACAGAAGAAGACGCTCTCCGGCGTTGGCAGGGACAGGGACACGAGCTTTGCGTGGTGGGATGCGGTCTTTTCGAGCGTGGCGAACAAGGTCGGAGGCGACAAGGTGCGTCTGAGCCGCCTCATTCGATGCCAGGGACGACCAGCTCACCTTGTCTCTTCTCCCGCAGGTCGAACAGCACCGCACCTCGACCGGCATTCTCTCGCACCGTCCACCACCACCTAAAGGCAGCGCCTATGACGACCTGACTGCTGAGCAGAAGTCTGCCAGCGCGAGCGGACTCAATCTCGATGCGATGGCGGCTGTCAAGCTCGAGATGGCGCGGCGGCAGCTCTACAGCGGTTTCTTGCGTGGATCGGTGCTGAGTCCATCGGTGGATGATGAGGATGCGCCGGCGTCGAAGGGAAAGGGGACAGAGGTGGAGGAGCGCAGCAAGAAGCGGAAACGGGACGAGGACGAGTCGAAGCAGGAGAAGCGGCGGTCCAAGGCGGAGCGAGAGGCAGAGAAGGCGGCGAAGAAGGCGAAGAAGGAAGAGAAGGCAGCGAAGAAGGCGGAGAAGCGGGCGAGCAGGGGCGCAAGTCGGGAGAAGGAGAACGAGCGACCGTCGACCGACGATGCGACCTCGAGTGCCGACCCAGAGTCGCGCTCGGCGACTCTGTCCGGCACTTCGACGCCGGTGCAGTCGAAGGAGGATCGACGAGCGGCGAAGAAACTGCGGAAATCGCTCGCCGCCCTCTCATCCGCTTCGACTTCCACATCTCTCGCACCCTCGACCTCTGCTTCCGCCATCTCTACCTCAACACAATCTCCTGCGACCCCTCTTTCGCGCGCTTCGCCAGCACTCGACGACGATTCACCCGAAGCTCACGCGAAGAAGGCGGCTCGGCGGGCAGAGAAGGAGGAGCGACGACTCGCCAAGAAGGCGGCGAAGAAGGCGCTCAAGGAGCTGGAGAAGGCGTCTTCATAGGCGCGCATTGGGTCTGTACGCTTCGACCTCGTCTGTTTGTTGTCACTTTTACGCCGCGCACCGCCATCGCAAATTGTCGCCTCGTCTCGCTCGTTCGCCCTTCTGCTCGCCGTTTCCTCGCTTCTTCTTGCGCTTGGTTCACCTATCGCGCTTCCTCGCACGCCAGTCGCTCACCTCTTGACGGCCCTCCTCACGGATGATCAGTCCGCGGACCTGAGCTCCTCTCGCCTTCTGTCCGCTCGCGCCCCTTCTCAACGGTCTTCTGGCGCTCATCAAGGTTCGAGTCCACGGTTCCCCGCATGCAGGAGATCAGGCGCTCTCGGATTCTGGGGTGGCGTCGCCGCAAACACGCCCAACCCTCTCTCCCGTCTGCTCCCTCTCCTGCATCCTCTTCCTGCCATCCTTCGCCTCGCCATGCCCTCCTTCAACTTGCGCAAGCGCGCCAACACAATGCTCGGCAGCGCTGCTTCACCCTCGATCGGCCCTCTTCAGGCGAGTCGACTCTCCTCGTCGCTCAATCCGGCGACGACCCCCATTTCTCACGTCAACTGACGGCTCCTTGAGTCTCGCAGACTCGCACACAACGTGCATTGTCACGCTTGTCCCGCCTCAAGACGCCCCTTCGCTCGCGCACGCCGTCCTTCCACGCGTCGGTCTTCGCGCCCTCCTCGCCCGTCTCGCCTCCCTCGCCCACCTTTGCACGCCCGATCAAGCAGATCAGGCGACAGTCGCGCTCCTTCTCGACGTTCACGGCGTCGTTGCAACTGTTTGCTTCGCCTGCGACGCCGACCTCGAACCAGTTCGCGCCTCGCTCGCCGCTTGGACGCGACGACGGCCATCAGCTGAAGCGCACGATCAGCTACCCTCTTCTCGTTCATACTTCTCTCGGCTTTGACAGCGACACTTCGCCTGACTGGTTCGGCACGCGCGACACGACCCAGTGCTTCGCCAACACGACCAGCTTTGTCGACTCGCCCACTTCGTTCGGCAATTGCTTGACGGCCGACGACACCGAGTCGTTCTCCGTCAACTTTCCTCGTCTCGATGAGCCCGAACCGAGCGAGGCGAGTTGCAGACGCTTCTCGGACGAGTCGTGCGCAACTCCCACGAGGGCGACCTTCGAATACGAGGCTTTCAACGAAGTCTCGCGCTTCTCGACCTCGACGGAAAGTTCGCCCTCGACTCTGGCGTTGTCGGAGCAGTCGCACCGACCCTTCGACGTCTTTGACGACCACCGCGCCCAATCACCTGGCGACGAGTCGCTCGACCTCGACTTTGACATGACTTCGGTCCTCCCGCTCTCGCCTCCGCCGTCGCCCGAGGAGTATCGCCACCAGCCTCTGCCCGTCTCGAGCATGTCGCCACCGTCGCAGGCTTGGCTCGGCAGGCCCATGGAAGAGGATACGGACGTCGTCGATCCGATGATGGCGTTCTCGTATTCGCCCACTCCGGCTGGACGCGCGGTGGGTCGCTTCAGGAGGCCGAGCAGCATCTTCACGCCTCCTCAGACGCCGAGCCTTGACGCGGTCATGGCGGAATACCCTTCGCCGCTCATGCTCCCATCGCCAGTCGCCACCTTGCGCTCTTCTGCCTCGTACAACAGTCCCTCGCTGCTCTCGCTCGCCATCGAGGAGCTTTCGACCGAGTTCGAGAGGGCTGAGACGCTGTGTGTTTCGCTTCCTTGCCTCGCCGACTCGCTCGCCTCGCTGACTTTCTGCCGATTCGCAGTTCGATTCTTACGACACCGACCCGCAAGCTTGAGCCCTTCCCTTGCGTCTCGCCAGAGTCGTTCCCGCCACGCCCTGCGACGCCGACGCCGAGTTGCGCCTCTTCCCTCGACTTGAGCCAGCCCTTCCCTCTCCCGCCTCGCCGTCGTGCACTGCGTCGCGTGGCCGATCGCCTCATTCCCGCACCGATCCTCACCTCGAAGCCGCTCCTCCCGCGTACGAGGTCGTCGTCGCCCGCGTCTTCGACCCCTATCACTGCAACTCCTCTCGCATCGCCGTCGCTCTTCTCCCCGACAAGCGACCACACTTTCCTGACCGCCTCAACGCCGATCTCGCCTTTCACGCCTCGTCACGACCTGCACGGCCTGGCGCTCCTCGACGCGACGACCTGCAAGCCTTCGCCTCCGTCGAGTCCGCGCAAGGGCAGGGAGCGCCGCCGCCCCGTCATTATCACGCCCGTCACCTCGCCGACGTCGTCGCTCTTCCCAAAGCACGTCAAGGGCGCCGAGTCTGCCGGCAAGATCAGGATGTCGCTCTAGACTCGCTCGCTCAACCTCAAAACCGAGGCGTCCAGCCTCCTCGAAACGATCTTCGCCTTTCTCCACCTGTCGCATAGAATTTCCCACAACCATGTAGAGTCGGGCTCTCCCTCATCCTGCGCAGGAGGTGGTCTTCCTCGCCGCCTTCGTTCTTCCTTCTTGGGTGTGTAGACGTTCTCCGGGCTGTTGACGTAGATATCGAGTCTCGTTTGCAACGACACAATGCGTGTGGATTCCAGAGCTGATGGCATGCGAGAGGGAGAGGTAGAAACGACTCGAGCAAGAGAACCTGAAGCGAAGGAGAGGAGGAAGGAACAACGGAGGGAGAACAACATCGTTTGGGACTGATCCGGCTCCGGTGAGCTGGACTGCTACTCGACATGGAAGCGGGACAGGAAAGCGGACGACTTGGAAGAACGACTTAGTGCGCCAGATCCTCCCACAGGCGTCCCGCAGTCTTCGAGAGGTCGGTGACCTTGGTCGTCGAGTGGTAGCCCGCAAAGATCTTGGCGTCTATCTCGACTTTGCTGTCAGGCGGAATCAAGTCCTCGGCTGCTCGGGCATGACACGGTGGTCAGCAGGAGGACGAGAAGGTCAAGAGGCGGGGCAACGTACGGATCTCGTAGCGGTTGACGATGGGGATGCCGGAGTTGACAATCGCGTCGTACTGCAGAGGGAACGAAGTCAGGAGGTATCAGTGCAAGGCGAGGGAGAGCGCGACGCACCTTCATGTCGCTCATCGAAATCATGTTGTCGATGCGCTTGATGCCGAGCCAGTGCAGGACGTCCGGCATGAGAGCCTGGAAGCGCATGTCTGTCGCAGTGAAAAGGCGTGAGCGAGGAAGCGAAGAGACAAGGCGGAACGAGAAGCCCGACTCACCCTTGACGCCCGCAATGTCTTCCGTACGGCGGAAGTAGTCCTGCGCGTTGTCTCCGCCACGCTTGCGCGCATTGTAGACCTGCGAGGACGTCAGAGTATCAGCACCGCGGCAATCTGCGAACAAGTTCTTTGAACGAAAAACGCACGAGGTACTTGGTGACTTCACCCAAAGCGCGGCCTTCCTTGCGGTGGTATATGACAGCGCCGACACCACCGCGCTGTGCACACTTGATCGCTTCCTGTAGAAGTCCCGGCATCAGCGCGCGCCTCAGGAACCGGAGAGGGAGGGAACGCACCATCATGCCGAAGATGAGGTACGGTCGGCAGGTACAGATGTCGCTGCAACGAGGGAGCGATCAGCAGTCTGTTCTGAGGCCATCGGAGGTAGAGGAACGGATGCTCACGAGCCAAAGACGTCCGAACCGTTGCACTCGTCGTGCACGCGCACCGTCACCTCCTTCGTCTCGTCGCGCAGGTAGTCGGGGTTGCCGAACTGTGCATCACTGCGTAAGCGGCGGGCCGCCAGGAGAGCGAAGGAGAATGAGCTCACGATGTAGACGGTCAAACCGCCGATGGGAGGGAGGAAGATCTTGAGGTCGGGACGGGTCATGAGCTCCGGGTACGCTCCTCCACACTCCTCGTAAAGCGCACGTCGCAGGTGTCCCTCGGCTGCAAGGAGAAAAGGCGTAAGCAGGTATGATCTGAAGCGAGGAGGAAAGAAGGTCGTGATAAAACGCCCAGACGGCAGACGCACTGATTTCAAAACGCTCCGCAACTCCTGGCAGGTACCACACGGGCTCGACCGCCGCCTTCGAGACGTTGATCTCGACGCCCGCATCGAACTGCGCACTCGCGATGTGCTTCGTCGCCGCATCGTCCGCCGCCCTCGCCGTCTTTGCCGCAGCCGACTCCATGCGGTTCTGGTTGATCCACTCGGTCGGGCAATGAACGACAATCTTGCCGTCGACCTCGAGGTCGCCCGCCTTGACTGCGTCGTCAAAGTCGTTCAGCTTGATGTGCGCACGGGTGATGGCAATCGTCGGGCGCGCGTCGATGCCAGCGTCGAGATACGACTTGTAAGCGGTAGGAACGAGGTGGCCGTACGGGTCGAGCGCGACGATCTTGGTCTTGTCGTCCCAGGAAGGGCTGTGAGGGATCGTGACGGGCGGCTCGGTGTTGGTGTAGTCTGGCTTGTGTTTCGGGTCGATGAGGCCCGATGCGGCCGCGAGAGCGCGGTAGATCGAATACGAGCCAGAGTAGGCGCCAATCGCGTTGCGGACCTTGAGCGACTTGGGCTGACGAGAGGCGACGACGGGTCCGCGCTCCTCAGGGGTCGCGGCTCCCCACTTGAGCGGGATGGGGTTGATGCCAACTTGGCCCGGGTAGGCTGGAAGCGCGCGAGAGGCGATAGCGAGGAAGGAGGAGAAGGAAGAGGATGAGAACGGGCGAGGACGAAGGTCAAGGCGTAAGCGGCGGGCAGCACACATGTAGGGTCAAGCAGTCAGTACCCCATACGTAGCAGAAGACGCGAAAGCGATTCCTAGATTGCGCCACGCACTGGTCAAGATCACGCGCGAGCCCCAAGTCGACTGAGCAGCATCCTTCCTCGCCGGCAACGAAGGCGAAAGCGGCGTATCGGTCGCCTTGATCAAGGGAGTCGCAGTGACTTGCTGGTCGCTCGAGAAGCCATTCAGAGGCGGGATGGACGCGAGCGAGGGAGGCGACGAGGGAGAGGTGGGGGCAAGAGCGAGCGATTCGAGCTGGTCACAACGACGGGATGTAAGTCTTCGGGATCTCCGTCGATAGGGAATGTAAGGCGCACCTTGTGCTCGAAGACGGACTGATTCGCCTTGAGTTGCTGGAGTTCAGTGAGGATCGCTTGGAGGAGGGTGGATTGGTCGGGCGTGTCGGTGGGTTTGTGGCTGCACATGGCGGCTGATGTCGATGTGTCTGTCATGTCGATGTAGCGTCAAAGCGAAGCGATTAAGCGAAGTTCGGTTGTGAGCGAGAGATGGTCAAGCCGAAGGAGCGAGTAGTGGGGGAAGATGGGAGATGAGCGACGACGGTGAGCGTCGGCGAACAACCAGTACGTGAGTCAGAGTACGCACGGAGACGATAAGGCACGTCGAGAGACAGGAACAGGACAAGCAGCCAGCGAGCGACCTCGTTCGTACCGCGTTCGACAGCTCATCCGCTCGCGAGCGGGTCGGCCGGGCTGAAGAAAGCTGAGTAAGCGAAGCTGCAGTAGAGCGTCGATAAGTAGCCACTAGCCAGCGAGCCAACCTCGATAGCAAGCCCACTGATCCGCGCCCGCCCGTCTCGACAGCCGCGATAGAACTCCGCTCATTCCATCCATCGACTACTGCCGCTACACCACTTCAAGCCCTCATGAGCAGTCTCCTAGCCTTACCTACATCGCGCTTGGCCACGAGGATATTGGCGGACCCGAAAGTGGATTGGTAGAGGAGCGAACGGACGCCGCCTTCGATTAGAAGGGAGGTGTAGTATTCGACGAGACCGGGTTTGTCTGCCAATGCGAGTCGTGAGCGTTTCTCGAGCTTGATGGGGGAACAGTGGGAGAGTCGCACCGAGTCCGAAGCGAGTCAAGTCCAGCTGCAAGCACTTGAGTAGCGTGCGCTCGCTCGCTCCTTCGCCTTCTTGATCCTCCTCGTCCTCTGTCACATCCCTCGCCGACGTCCCAGGCGAGACCGGCTCCCACCCCTCTTCCTCGCTCACATCCGAACGCACAGACGAGCCCGAATCATCTTCACTCGCCGTCATCCCTCCCTCCTCTTCCTCCTCATCCTCTTCCTCGTTTTCCTCCCACCCCTCCACCCCCTCCTCCCCCTCCCACGCACCCCCCAACCCTCCCTCTCCACTAACCCAAACCCCCTTCTCTTCCTCTCCCTCTCCTCCCTCGCAAAACACCTTCCGCAACAACCGCACGTCCGCTA